AGTGCATTTTTATGATAAGATGCTGAATGGGCAGCAAAGCTTTTTGCTGAGCAAGTGCAATAGTCAAGTCCGATGATCTCAATCAAGGGGGTGTTGAGTAAAATCACCTTTTTAACCAGAGGAAAGAGGGGCCAGGGATCTAAATGGCTATTTTAGAACTTTAGTGTAAGGAGTACATGTTTGTATTCCTGACAGTATAGTGCTCCATACAAAATGCAGTCAGGAACCTGAAAGAACAAAACAACAGGAAAACATTAGAACTATAAAAGATGTGGGTGCAAGTACAGCCGACACCTACAAGAGTTTCAATGCACTAGCCACTGCCGATGCAAAATGAATCTGAGGAGAATCCAACCGGATCCCCTGCCATTGCCACCAAGGTAGCCTTAAAAATTCAAGCAAATTGGCAACGCATAACCGCTGAACCATTTTCCTGCATAAGCAATAAACCTAGCGTACCGTGGTGCAATGCCAAGTAACGCTGGAGAAGAAAAACTGGCACCAGGAACCTTCTGCCATACAAATTCTAACCCAGACCCAACCTGGACCGTCTTGAACCTAAGGATCCAAAGATCCACCCAACCTCCAATAACCACATCAGTTAATGATAGAGGAGAAGAAGCCTCCACCGATACGCAAAGTGGAGTAAAAACACAAGGAAAATGGTACTTGGCAAAGGAGAGTCTCAAGTGGAGATGCACAGACTGAGCCCAACACCCCAGAGAACCAGCGAAAGGGTGCATCTCCGGTCATCTGACCGCAGTTGATGCTAATCCTTTAGAATTTATTGTACAATGAAACATTTAGAAGCATACTCACACTCCAACAAATTACAGAGAAAGAAAATAGCTGCCAGGGCCTGCTTAATAGAGCACATGGACTCCTGAGTAACAAATCGACACTCTATAGAATTAGTTCAGTTACTAGTTATATAACTATTTGTTTTTGATTACAATCAAACCTAGAGGTTTAGAGAATCTTTCTTAATGTTGATAAAATTTATATGCTGCGGATTTTATAGGAATTACTGCTTAGACGATTTCCCCCCACTTTTCATGTAGATCGGCAGTGTATTCTCAAGTTGTAATAGGACAGCCCATCAGTAGGTGGAATATTCTATCTGTCATTTTGGCCCATTAAGAAGGGGGCGGGGCAGAAAGGGTGTGTTTTGTCATCACCAATGACAAACACGCCCCCTCTCAAAGTGAGCATGTTGATTCAATGCTCTTCCAGGGCTCTAGCATGAGAAAAAAGTCCAGTATTCTGCACAATGCAAGCAAATTTAATAACATGCTTGCACTGTGTTTCCTTGCAGCTTGTCTCTGGTGTCTCTGTAAATGGGATACCAGGAGACAAAAGGGCCAGGAAAGAGTATTGTGCATGTGTTTGGAGCCTGCTTGTGGGATTGCGTGTTTGTAGAGTGAGCTGATTGTGGTGTGGTATTGTGTAATAAAGTCGGTTTTAGTGATGTGTTTGTGGTGTAATGTAATGCATTTGTGGCTAGGAGCTGTAGGGAACGTGTGTATAGGGGATGTAGCAAGTGTGTGCATACACGTTTTAATGTGTGTGTGTGTGTGTATAGGTGATGTAGTATTTGTAGGGGTTGTAGAGAGTGTGTGTTTAGGGGTGTAGTATGTGTTTGCTGACAAGGAATTTAGTTTGTGTATAGGGGATCCAGAGTGTGTATGTTAGGAATGTAGTGTGTGTGTGTAGGTGGTGCAGTGTGTGTGTGTGTGTGTCTGTATATAGGCATCTAGCGTGTGTTTGAAGGACCCAAAATGTGTATAGGAGATCTAGTAAATGTGTGTGTATATAGCGGAGTGTATATATATATATAAATGTATGTGTATTCAGAGTGTATATAGGGATCTAGTGTGTGTATGTGTGTCGCTGATCCAGAGTTGGTTAAGGGATCTAGTGTGTGTCTGGAATGTAATGTGTTTAGGGGTGCAGTATGTGTGTGAGGGGTGCTGTAGTATATATATATATAATATAAATATGTTTGGAAGTATTGTGTGTGTGTGTGTGGTGCAGTGTGTTGGGGAGGTTCTGTGTGTATGTTTTAGGGGTGCAGTGGGTGTGTGTGAAGGGTGCAGTGGGTGTCTGTGAGGGGTGTAGTGTGTATGTGAGGGGGCAGTATGTGTGTGAGCGGTAAAGTGTGTGTGTGTGATGGATGCTGTGATTGTGAGGGGTGAAGTGTGTGTAAGGGTGCTGTGTGTGAGGGTGATGTGTGTGAAGGTGCTGTGTGTGAAGTTGCTGTGTGTGAGGATGATATGCATGAGAGTGCTGTGTGTGAAAGTGCTGTGTGTGAGGGTGATGTGGGTGATGTGTGTGAGAGTGCTGTGTGTGAAAGTGCTGTGTGTGAGGGTGCTGTGTGGGAGTGTGATGTGGGTGATGTGTGTGAGGGTGCTGTGTGTGATGTGGGTGAGGGTGCTGTGTGTGAGTGTGATGTGTGTGAGAATGCTGTGTGTGAGGGTGATATGGATGATGTGTGTGAGGGTGATGTGGATAATGTGTGTGAGAGTGCTGTGTGTGGGGGTGCTGTGGGTGATGTGTGTGAGAATGCTGTGTGTGAGGGTGCTGTGTGTGAGGGTGATGTGCGTGAGAGTGCTGTGTGTGAGGGTGATGTGTGTGAGGGTGCTGTGTGTGAGGATGCTGTGGATGATGTGTGTGAGGGTGCTGTGTGTGAGGGTGCTGTGAGGGTACTGTGTGTGAGGGTGATGTGTGTGAGGGTTATATGTGTGTATATGTTAGAAGGGGTTGTGTGTTGGGGGGTAAAAAGGGGTGCAGTATGTTTGTGAGGGGTGCAGTAGTATATATATATATATATATAAATGTTTGGAAGTATTGTGTGTGTGTGTGTGTGTGTGTGTGTGGTGCAGTGTGTTGGGGAGGTTCTGTGTGTATGTGTGAGGGGTGCAATGTGTGTGTGTGAAGGGTGCAGTGGGTGTCTGTGAGGGGTGTAGTCTGTATGTGAGGGGTGCAGTATGTGTGTGGGGGTAAACTGTGTGTGTGTGTGATGGATGCTGTGATTGTGAGGGGTAAAGTGTGTGTGTGTGTGTGTGTGTAATGGTGCTGTGTGTGAGGGTGATGTGTGTGAGGATGATATGCATGAGAGTGCTGTGTGTGAGGGTGCTGTGTGTAAGGGTGCTGTGTGTGAGGGGTATATGGGTTAAGAGTGCTGTGTGTGGGGGTGATGTGTGTGAGAGGGCTGTGTGTCAAAGTGTTGTGTGTGAGGGTGCTGTGAGTGAGTGTGATGTGGGTGATGTGGGCGAGGGTGCTGTGTGTGATGCGTGTGAGGGTGCTTTGGGTGATGTGTGTGAGAGTGCTGTGTGTGAGAATGCTGGGTGTGAGGGTGATGTGGGTGATGTGTGTGAGAATACTGTGTGTGAGGGTGATGTGGGTGATGTGTGTGAGAGTGCTGTTTGTGAGGATGCTGTGGTTGATGTGTGCGAGGGTGCTGTGTGTGAGGGTGATGTGGATAATGTGTGTGAGAGTGCTGTGGGTGAGGGTGCTGTGGGTGATGTGTGTGAGAGAGCTGTGTGTGAGGGTGATGTGTGTGAGGCTGTTGAGGGTGATGTGTGTGAGGATCCTGCGTGTGAGGGTGCTGTGTGTGAGGGTGATGTGGGTGCTGTGTGTGAGGGTGCTGTGTGTGAGGGTGGTGTGTGTATATGTTAGAGGGGATTGTGTGTTGGGGGGGTAAAAAATCCCAAAACTGGTATTATATACCCCCCTCCCTTCTTACCTTCAGCCTTGGAGGGGGGACCGGCATTGTGGTACCTGGGAGGGGTGGGACCGGCACTCTCACACCATCCCTGGTGGGGCTAGTGTTGAGTGAACACTCCAGAACTAGCAAAAGGAACCCAGCGTAGTTGCAAGATAGAGCTCCGCCAGGTCCTCCTCTCCCTCCCCAGCCGCATGTCTATGCAAGTGGGCCGGTGACGGAGATCTCTGATCTTCCCAACGGCCTGTCATGGAAAACAGCAGGGCCGGCGCTCGGATAGTGCCAGCTCTGCATGGATTGGCTGAGGAGATTCTGTGACCTCCCCTTCCAGCCTCAACCTGTGGACTTCGCAGCCCAACAGGAATTTGCCCGGTGTGACAGATGGCCAGTCCGGGCCTGCTTCTTTATTATTTCTTCACTTTCTGTGTTCCTGACCTTAGCTTGTCTTACCGTTTTTGCTGCTCTCTCCTACGTTTGACCTTGGCGTGCTTCTTGACTACTCTTTACGTTAAATCGGGCCATTCAATACGTTATACCTCTCCTTTAGCAGACAAAACAAATGGGATCCGAAACCCCTCAGTGAAACCCTCCCAAAAAATTCTAACTGTTCTACACCTGAGGTACCGCACGAGCCATTGGAGCAGTCTGCCTGCGATCACCAGCATCCTCTCCCTTAGATGCCTCATCTTAGGAATTTCACTTAGGAAAGGGTTCTCTCCATCTAAAACATTGCACTGCTGGTTGAGCTCTTCCGCAGTGCACACTCTCGTGCTTAAAATGGCTGCCTCTCCACACCGTGGTCTATAAACTTATTCACTGTCTACCGGTAACAGACTCTCTGCGGGAATACCTGTAGAATTTTGGCGTCTCCCTGGCCCAATCCACCTCCATAGATCTGACTGAATGGGACATAGGCCAATTCCTGTTGTTCACAGCATATTCTGAGGCTGGGTATCGCAGTTTTGCATTCAGGGCTTGTGACTTCAGCACGTCGGAGTGCACTGACAGAATATAAGTGCCCCCGTTGGTCAGAAAATCTGACAGAGAGCCCGTGGGGCATGCCAGCTCCCATCCTTCTTGATCCTAACTGATCCGCCATCTTGATCCTCCCGAGTGTCTGAAGACTCCCACCGTCCTCTCCCCCTCAAGAATCCCCTCCCAGCTGGTGTCATCATCATCCTGGGAGCAGCCACATTCTGCCCCGGACCGGCCCATCCAGTCCTGCCATCAGAACGCCACACCGGACTCGGTGAAAGGCACAATGAATGCCTGAATTGTCTGGCCCTTCAACTGCCAACAGTCGCCCTCTCTCAGTTGCCCTCTTTCCCATACTGCCTGACCCAGACATCATCTCCTGAATCAATGAGGTCAGTGCATCCGGACCATGAGACATCTGAAAGTCCTGCTGCAAGGAAAGGAAAGCCTCCCTAAATCTAGCATCAGTCATTAGAAAAATGTGGTGGGTGGCACACTAAACAACATTTACTTGCTTCAAGTTGCTTTCTAATTATTCTTTATTTATTTTTTTGATAGCACAAACACTGTCGTGCTCCCTTAACAGTTTACGGGCGTTGTCTGCAAGCTTCTCCCAATATCCCTTGCTCCTGGTAAGGTCTCATACATAGTATCCATTTTTGGCTGCTATTACTAACGCAGTGGCAGCAGTCATGCCCTCCCCCTCCTTTTTCAGGACTCGGGTGGGGGGGGGAAGCCTTTTTATTAGTATTACTGTTATTATCGATAAACCACAAACATATTCTGCCGTGCTGTACACAGCTCTATACTAGGGGTGGTTGTTAAATACAAGAAAATTCAACAATATCATTTTGATGTATGTGAACTAGAGGTAGTGTGGGCCCCACTGAAACAAGCTTAACGTGCACAAATCATAACTTCTTAATGAATTTTTGAAGGCCTCCATAGAAATGCAGCAGTAATATAGACAGAGGTAAATATTTGCCTCAGGCTGTTTTCAGTAAGGAATCTGCCACAGTCATTGTATAAAGAGAGACTGCTGAATGGGTTTCTTTATGAATAGGACAGGGATCCTATGGAGAAAAGGAGGAGGGAGGGCTACAGAAAGGTGTTCTATTAAGATAATCAACATATCCAGTAGGTGGTGTAAATATGCTTTTGAAAAGGCATCTTAAAACGTAATTTTTCCCTAAAAAAAACAACTTATTGTACAACCAGGAAGTGAAGGGTGCAGATCATTTCAGCGCTTATTGTGGCATTGTCAAAACCAGATAAGAGAGGATCCGACACACAACACATGGCTTCCGAGGAGGCTACTGACAGTAAGAATAATTTACTTATATGGCAATTCTGAATTTCTTTTATGGATATTGTGTGAAGACACAGTGTATGGTTGGGGGACTTTACGGTGTTATTTATATTTTCAGTGCTTCATTGACAAATGGCTCAGCAAAGCTTTGTTAGTCCTCTCTGAGCAAAGCCAAACGGTGTCAGAGACACCGTTCAAAGATCTCTTAGGTCACGTTCACCTTGCTACAGCTGAGGTCCCAGGAGATGGGTACATTTATCCCGACATGTTGTGAATTGAAATATAGGGGCTTTGTAATGATATTACTCCAGTAGCAAACAGAGAAATGTTATGTGCTCTTTTATGTTTTATATATTGTGTATATACTTTATTTTTATTATATAACACCACTATTATGATTTAATTTCTTTATTTTGTTAAACAGCTAGCAGCATTTGTCTGTTCTCATTTTAATAAAACAAAACAAACAATAATACCAGGACAAAGTCTAATATATGTAGTGAATATCCAGATGCACAGAGCAATTTCTGGCGTTATTTTGTTTACAATGAAACAGCAAGGTAAGAATGGAATGTTGTTTCTTCAGGATTGAAAAGAGATAGTAATTCTAAACAGAATCAATATAGATAGAATTAATTTGTCAATATTAATAATAAATTATGTTATTTATTCTGACATCTTATTAAAAGGTAATTGCAATATTTATGTGTGTAACCCTTTAAGGACCAAACTTCTGGAATAAAAGAGAATCATGACATGTCACACATGTCATGTGTCCTTAAGGGGTTAAACATAAATGGGATAATAAAATGACTATGGTTGCCAATTTATTCATTATGCATTGGTTTCCTGGGGATACTTAGTTAAAAGATGAATTAGAGTAAGATTAAATAAATTAATGGTTTGAATGAGTAATGCAATAATAATTCTGAATGTCCTAACCGAATGCCATTCAGCAGTTCCGAAGTGCCAAACCGAATGCCATTAGTCCGAATTGCTGAAGCAGACACATTTTTTTAGTTACCTGAATTTCCGAACCTGACCAAATTTTTGGCCCACGCACATCCCTACTCTTAAGAGTCATAAAACACGACAGTTGTCATTGGTGCTGCAGTAAACAGAGTCTGTCTCTGTGAATACGCCATCATGTTGTACAGGTCATATTGATGGATATTGCAGGGATTTATGATCTGACATCTTGCAAACCCAGCAGTCTCCATCTGTTGCATGTTCAATGTAAGTGTAACTATCCACACAGGGATTTGCAAGAGCATCCAGTAACTGGGACAATGAACTTTTGGCTCAGGTGCAAGTACAAACAAAGTCAATTTGTTGGTACTTGCGCCGAGCCAAAAGTCCATTGTCCCAGTCACTGGATGTTCATTACTATTGGGCACAGACATCCCAGGAACAGTTATTATTATGTATTTATACCATATTCTGCAGTGATTTACAATAATATTAATGGGATATTTAGAGGTTGAAGAGGACCCTGCTCAAAGTAGCTTACAATTTATGAGGATTTGAGGTAGGTGGATTGTTAGGTGTCTTGCCCAATGACACCTTACTGGTAAGGTGATGTGACTAGGATTTGAACCTGGGTTACCTAGTTCTTAGCCAGTTACAACTGCTCTAACCAGACAGGAACTCATGGACTATAGGTGTCCACCCAACACAGCTTTCATTGATGTTCAAAATAAACACTACAAAACTCATTCCTGGATTCATGTACTTTCAGCCAGCTTGCAAAGTGACCCAGCAACGTTTTGACAACATTGCTGGTTTACTTTGAGTGGTGGCTGAATAAAGTGCTAGAAATAAAGGACTGTGTTTTGGAGCATTTATTTTGAAAATTATGTGCATCATCTGAAGCTGCATAAGGAGTCGGATCACTTTGACAGTTTGTAATGACAGTCTGTTTCCTAAGCCCAAGCTGCAGGACCTGCGTTCATCCTCTGCTCCCAGTACATACCAGGATTAGCATGCACCTGGTCTGTTTCTGACTGCCCCACACGTGAGGCAGTCCAGCAATACCCTCAAATGGTTCTCATGCATCATGATCGCTGTGAGAAGCTATCACAGAAGTTGTGCAGTCACTGATTGTATCTCAGAGTAATTAGCCTGTCCCGATGTCCATATGGTTATAGTTAGGAGTAGGGTTAGGGTTAGAGTTTGATTTAGATTTAGAACTAGGAATAGCTATAGGATTAGAGTTGGGATACGTTTTAGAATGTAATTTAGAATTAAACTCAGCTTTGTATTTATTTACTTAGTCTGGGCCATTTTGTATAGGAAAATGGCAGGTTTGTCTTAAGTGGTGATAATAAAAAGGAAAAAGAAAAAAGCTACGGATTGTTACATTTTTGCATTTATTGTGCAATTTCTTTTCTACTGAAGCACATAACATGATGCCACTGACAGCACATTAAGGCTTTACCTAGGTCAGTGTAAATGTACAGGTAATCAGGTAATGTCATTTCAACAAAGGGGATGACTGGGATGCCCATTAGAGGCATTCAAATTTGGGCATTTTTTTAAATTTTGCCCTTTAACTTACCATAAACTTGGCTAAAGTATTTCGGGAGTATTGATGCACACAGGCAATATAGATTAATTCAGATTGGGATGTTTAAAACTGCGTGTTTGTGTTCTAGTTTCTCTAAGAGAGTTAGTGACTACAAAATGTGACTTCTCAAAAGTAGGTATGCCATCTCCTAACTAGACTTGACATTTATTGGGAAAAACACCTCCACAATGTATGGTCTGTGCAATTCAGTAATTTGTTCCTGCACATCCATAGTTTGTGTAAACACAGCGCAACCCATGATCCTAAATAACTAATTGTATGTGATAGCTCTGCTGAGGTCCAGTTTAGATTTTGACTTCTTTCTGTCTTCCATTGCTTTAGATCAGGCTTCCCCAAACCCTGGCCCTCCAGATGTTGCTGAACTACAACTCCCATAATTCTCATCCTATCTATTTCAGTTAAAGAACCATGGGAGTTGTAGTTCAGCAACATCTGGAAAGCCGCAGTTAGGGGAAGCCTGCTTTAGATGGAGAGCCAGTCATCAATCAAATGATATTTGATTGATGGAGCAAGGGGCTGTCTTAAAGCATCAAGTTATAAGCAATCATGCAAAGTTTGTATGGTGCTTAAACCGACTCTTTAACCCCTTAAGGACACATGACATGTGTGACATGTCATGATTCCCTTTTATTCCAGAAGTTTGGTCCTTAAGGGGTTAATGGACAAGACCTACTGTTAAACTGGGAGGAAACAATATTTCCAACTGTAATTTAGTCTGTTAGTGTTTTGTTTTTTGTTTTTTTACTGGATCCAGCCTTGTCCTGTTTGCTCCCTGCATTAAAACTGATACATTTATTATAATTAGGATATACAGAAGAGAGAGACATTTGTTTGGTTAATGCCATTTCTATCTTTGGAATACATAGTGGAATGCATGAACATAACACTAAAAATGTTGGAAGCAGCAAGCCCATATTATCTTTGGTTCAATGGTATTTATTATGAAAACTCCGAACAGATTGTGACTTAAGGAGTAATGTGTAGAACAGGAATGCAGTGGTTGTCCCTGCTCATTTGTTCCACAAGCCGTCTGTTCACGCCAGTTTCACAAGCCTTCTTTGTTTAGATTCAGTTGAGAAATATGTTTGTTTCAGGTGAAGAACTGCTAAGACTAAAAAATGTTCTCCGTGCAACACTTTTAATCTCTTTATTTTCTACAGATTGTAGAACATTAGCTTTTACTCAGTAGATTTTCTATTCTTTCATTACTGAGAGATTTCTAAATTAGGGATGTCCAAACAGAATTCTGCCTTTAGAAACAGACAAACCCCAAAATTTGGACTTAGTAACACACACACATTTCTTGACTGAGACAACAAACCAATTTTGAAATTAGATGTTCTCAAAATGTGCCTCATGTCTATCCCCCTTATTTGTCTAATTTCAAATCTGTAACCAAAAATTGTAGAGATGTAGTTTGGAAAAGTCCCATTGATAAATTAATGTTGGCTTCTTGATTTACACTATATTCTGTTTGAAATATATTTTAGGATTGTCCTCAGACTAACCTCATACCTGTTTAAAATAGGTATATCAAAAAATGGACACAGCCTTGTGTCAATGGGCGTTTTATAAAATAATATTTTCCCCTCCACTTACTATTATGATTAGAAGATAATGTTCACTGTCCACAGAACCTTCTTCGGACCGGACATAATGCTTTTCACACTGCCCTTCAATGCTTACATTTCGAGGTGACTTTAAATAACACCTACAATCCTTATAAATAACAACTCTGGATGTATCATCACTATGTTATCGGCAATTGCCAGGAAAAAACTTCCTTTAAACCTGAATAAGCCTTAGTCCTCCTCCCTTTCAGTAGTTTATTGATAAATAAGCCCTATTATTTCATATAAAATGGCTAAATGCACTCACTAACACCAGACAAAATTTTAAGTCATGTTTTTCAAATTTGGGGCCTCTATATTCTTAGATGTCCAAATGTAAACATGAAAAGTAATAAAAAGGAAACTACCATATGGTACGTGTACTCGGTTATAAAAACCATTGATTCCATAATTCATGTTTCTTCTTCCATTGCAAATTTTTGAATATTCTCACTTATACGATTTTCTCATGCTTAAATGCTTGCTTGACCCTTCTACTTTGCCTCTCCCTTTCTGTTTAGTTAGCATATTTATTTACTTCTCAGCAACACACACGTGTCAAGACACACAAAAGTAGTGTTGTTACATTTTATATTTTTCGTGTTCATTGTTATAAATTGTTAAGGAAAACAAACATATTACATTAAATCACAATTCATTTTTGTGCATCTCTCTTAAAGGACACCTCTTATAATATAATAATACTTTCATCAAGTTTTGAAAGGAAATATATTTTCCTTAATGAAGTATATGTGATATACGATTAGAAAAACGTGTCCCTACTTTAATATATGACAGGATCCTTCAGCTATACACATGCACCTTGGTTTGGAAATTGTTTAGAAACTGACAGTGATGGGTGTATTCACTAAAGGGTCAGGTAACAGTAGCTGAACTGTCCTTTATAGAATACATAAGCAGGGAAGACTATAAACTAATCAGCCGCAACATTAAAACCAGTGACACGTAAACTGAATAACATTGATTATATATTTTTTTAAATTGCATCTGTCAAGGGGTGGGATAAATTGGGCAGCAATTAAACAGTCAGTTCTTGAATTTCATGTGTTGAAAAGAAATATGGGCAAGCGAAAAGATCTGAGTGACTTTGACAAAAGACAAATAGTGATAACTAGACAACTGGGTGAGAGCATCTCCAAAATGGAAACTATTGTTGGATGTTCCTACTATGCAGTGGTTAGAACCTACCAAAAGTGGTACAAGGAAGGACAACCAGTGAACCAGAGTCAGGGTCATGGGCATCCAAGGCTTATTGATGCATGGGGAGCGAAGGCTAGTGTAGCTCAAATGCTTAAAAACGTTGTCTCTAAATTTTTTGGGGGGTTTTATCAGAATAATGCCATATTGGCATTATTATATAGGTGCACCTAAATGAAATGATGAAAAACTAGGTTTAACTTACCTTAATCCAACCCCTGCCCCCCCCCCACTTAGCAGCCCCTGTCTCCACCTCTAACCCAGCAGCCCTGACTCTGCCTCATCCAGCAGCCCCTGCCCCCCCACCTAGCAGCCCCTCCCTCGCCCAAGAGCCCTGTCTCCCCCTCTCACCCAGCTGCCCAATGTCCCCATCTCACACCCAGCAGCCCCATGTCCCCGTCACACCCAGCAGCCCCATGTCCCCCTCTCACACCTTGCAGCCCTATATCGCCCTCTCACCCAGTGGCCACCTGTCTCCTCTCACACTCTGCATCCCAATGACCCCCTCTCTCACCCTGCAGCCTCAAGTTCCCTTCTCACACCCAGCAGCCCCATGTCCTCCTGTCACACCCAGCAACCTCTGTCACACCATTCAGCCCCATGTTCCCTTCTCATACCCTGAAGCCCCATATCCCCCTTTACACATTTCAGCCCCATGTTCCCCTGTCACACCCTGCAGCCTCTGTCCCGCTGTCACGCCATGCAACCCCATGTCCCCTTCTCACATCCTGAAGCCCTGTGTCCCACTTCAACACTCTAGATCTCCCCCCCCCCATACACACACACATTCCCTATGCCCCTAAAACTACATGTGGACTGCAGATTCTGAGGGGCATTCAAACACTGTTATGCCCACTTCGGAGAGGCAATCAGATCATAACTCACATTTACCTGACCCCAAGACCCTTTAGGAAGATGATTGAGTGTGATGAACCTATGTGAAACTAAAGGGCAGATGTACCACCCATTTTTGTAAAGTATTATAAAGATAATACTTTTTAGCTTTATAAAAAAGAATTCACCTCTGAATAGACTCCTTTAACATTTCCCTGCCTTGTTCTGACAAATCTCCATTTTTATCCTGTTAAACCATGAAATTCTCTAGCCAATCCTGTTGCCCATATAGCTTTGAAAACCTTCATACCCTCTGCACATTTAGATAGGGTTCTGGAGACAGCATGATAAACCATGAGACTACAGGACACGATTCTTTAACATTAGACTTAGGACTAGGGTTCCATTAATCTTAGGGAGGCACATACATTGTCTGTGATGGGGCGAGTTACACTCCTGCCCAGCAGTCTTTCTCAATTCAGCCTATTTATATTTTGTGATATGGTGGAAAAAGCACTGAGGAAAAAGTTGCACTGTCTTTGTCTCCCAAACCCTCTACTGTAGCATATCACTAATGGTGTAATGAATGAATAAATAATATTTTTAATATACCGTATATATCGTTATTTTCTGACCATGTAAAAAAGGTAAAAAATTTCCGAAACAAACAAAAAAAACACCAAACAATAAAATAATACTCATCTATTAACTCTTTCGCTAGATGGAAATTTTACATGGCAGTCCTATCCTTAAGAAAACTTCAGTTATTTACTAAAATTAACGCCAGATCGCTGTTGTGGACATATATCTACTTTGTATAAATATATATATTTTTGTGTAGAGATTTTGTTTTCTGTGATGGCTATTAAACTTACGAGACAAACATACCAACTTCTAAAATTGTTTTTACATTAAAATTTTATTTTGCTTCTTGTATTTTGTGACCTGTAACTTTCAAAATAAACTGAAATCCTACACATATTACATACTCTATAAATCAAGACACATAAATGAATGTATTTTGAATTCCTAAGCTGAACATATTATGCAAACGTTATTATTATTTCCAAAACTAAAAAAAATTGTGTTTTTTTTATTTTGCTTTTTTTTTTTTGAAAATGAGAATTTATGTATGTATATGTCAGATCAAAGTGCATAAATGATAAAATGTGTTGCATAGAATGCTGTTTGAAATCACTTCTCAAGTCATACTGTTGCCAAGTATTGTGATACAGGGAGGTGATCTGCGTTCACACAGCTGGAATCCTCACACATCTGGATCTCTTCTCTTCTCTTCTCCTTACTGCTCACTGCAATGAGTTAAGGCAATGAGCTGGTAGAGGAGAAGTGGGTCAATTTCTGTTGACGTGTTTGTGTGTTTTGTTTATGTTAGTGTGAGAGATGTTTGTGTGTGTCTGTATATATTAAAGTGAGCAAAAGTATATATGTGTGTGTGTGTGTGTGTGTGTGAATATAACTGTGTAAGTAGGTCTAGGAATGCATGTGCAAGAATAAAGTTAATTAGGGGTCTTCTGCATGTCTGACTAATTAAATGTATGATTGTGTGTGTGAGTCAGTGGCTAGTTAGATATGTGTATGTGGTTAATAAAAACTGTATATGGGCATACCCCTCAACATTTTAAATGGGCAAAGAGGGATACTTTAAATTTAGGGGTGTGTGAGTGGGGGTGTGGGCATGGAGGTGCTGTCTAGGTGACCTTCTCATAATAATTTAAGCAGCTAAAATTTAATTTAGAACAAGAACAACATGTCTCACTTAGGCAGACTGATTTCTTAACACATTTAATGATGTTTAAAGACACATTACTGTGACTATTATTGCTGTAGAGCTCTGTTATACAATCAGACACACCAAAAATATGGAGCTCCTAGAATTTAAGGATTTGGGACCAAAATAAGGATTGTCCCTCATAAATAGGGACACTTGTGGGTATGTATGTATTTATGTTTAAGAGAGAGAATGTGGCTTAGAGCAGCGTTTCCCAAACCAGTCCTCAAGACCCACCAACAGTCCAGGTTTTGTTAGTATCTCCATTGGAATATAACAGGGAAATACATAAATCCTGGATTGTTGGTGGGCCGTGAGGACTGGTTCGGGAGCCACTGGCTTAGAGCATGTGTGACTAATTCAATAAGCTGTTTGAGGATGGATGCATAAACCTGACAGGGCCTTGGTCAGCTAAACTATTACATTTTGGAATCCAAAATTTAATTTCCATTCAGTTTACACTTTTGTGGATCATTTGAACATCAAAGACCCCAACACATGGTAGTTATATGCATGGCAAGTCACAGCTGGATATAGAGTATGCCATGTAGTTCTGTGTCCCAGAAAGCTATTTTTCCTATTATTAGAGAATTAGAAATTGGACCTTTCTGTTTTTATAAAGGAAAGGGTTAAATTGGAAAATCCCTACAAGAAGGTTATCAGAGGCTCAACTATGTGCTGTACATGTGTTAGTTAAGATAAGGAAATACTAGTGATTACTGGTTTTGTGGCCATGCTGTAAACAAGTGTCCATAATGTTTTGGCATGTCTTTAAATAAAATACATAATGTCTGTTAAATCATTGGTGTTGCTAGGTCTTTAGCGGGGTGAAGCACCAGATCTCTACAGCTACTGGAAGGGGCAATAGGATATTAGTGTTTTTTTGTAATAATTTCTAATTTTACAGCAGCTTTGAGATGCATCTTTCTTTATAAAGATCAGAATCGTAGTGCTTCCCCAGGCTACTTAGGGCAAGGGGTTGGTGCCCCTAGGTGACTCTCAAAATAGGGTACTGGGGAACAACACTTTGCTGCTTACCCCTCTATTAGTCAGGTAGTGTGGCAGGATCACATTGAAAACCTTGCTGCACAACTTGTGCTGCTTTCTGGCTGTGCTTTCATTGAGATCTCGGAGAACATCAGTGGCAAGCTGTTCACAGGTAGAGAGGAGGGAACTTAACTCTGAAACGCAGTAACAGGTCATGACTTCCACATTCCGCTCTTACTATAGGGATCATTGCCACTTTAGGAGGATGAAACAGATGGCTCCCCTTGTTATTGAGGCACCCTGAGTACCCCCAGCTTATTTCAACCAGTGAGTGAATATTATCAATTTTGCTCACAATGTGTGGGCCTAGTATACACTATGCCCTCTCTATGTTGTATTCAATCCACTACCTCAAAAAGGTGGCAAACTGATGCATGGGCATGCTGGGCTTGCCAACTTTTCAGTATATTATTCCGGGAAATGTCTTCAGAACCTTCAAACTCTCTTTATTAAAATGTTTAGATGGACTAATCACTTCAATATCAATCAACACGCAAGCTTTGTGTTGAACACTTGATTAATAACAAATAATTCATAGTAATTTTGTACTGTGCCATCTCTGTTTGCATGGTTTACCAAACGAGAAACATTTTTATGTAGAATTTCTTGTTTTTGAACTGCAAGGGTCATGTTATATTGTCCAAACATTTGTGTGAATTAATCTCTGCTGTACAGCATGTTTTTTTAACGTTTAAACTTTTTTTTTTGTTTGAAGTACCAATAAATATAAGCTTCATTTTATTGCTAATTGGGAGTGGTTGTGTAGGTTGGGAGTGGTTGTGTAGGTTGGGCCCCAGTGGACTGCTTTGCCCAATGGCCTATAATGCTGCTAAGATGGCCCTGGACCGGCGCCGATATGGCAGTTTCTTCCCTTGCAACTTGAATTTTGATGAATAACCATATTTTAATGCTTTACATGGATATTCAACATGGTTCAAAGCCAGAAATCAGATTTTAATTGCCTTATCAGCTGAATTTGTTATAGTGAATGCCCTAAGTGGATTTAAAAACAAATATATTTTCTGTACCATTTAGCCAAATTGACCAATTTATATTTGTATACTGAATACAGCCCTGTGAGTTTCATTGTTATGGAGGTCTGACATACACTTACATACTTTTTTGTTCAGATGCATAAGCAAGCCCAGAGTATCATGGGGCAATAAGGTTATCCTGAACACTTACCTCCACTGCTCTTTTAACTTTAAGTCCCCTTCAGGACTTTTAGGTCCAATCGCACCTGTATATTTAAGGATTAAGCAAATTTCCTTAACAATTTTTTGGAGCAAGTATGAACCATGACTCAATTCATGTTTAAACAAATATAGGATTAATGTGCACGTCTGCCATTTGGGTCGTGTTGCTACATGTAATATTTATTTGATGTGGAAGTTTTCTGTCAGGAGACACTTCCAGGTTTTATATATGCAGTACTGGTAACACCAAACAGATATTAGTTTTTAAACAGTTTTAACCCTATCACATCTGTGTGTGCGATGAAAACACAGTCATTTATTGATACATTGAAATATTGCAAAACAGCAACGGTCTAATTCCAGAAAACAAAACTAAATGCAATGGATGCTATTTGAAAAAAGTAGAATACAATTCCCAATCTATATATTTATCTAACTTTATAATGTATAATAATATCTCATTATTTTTCATTTCTTACGTATGTATTTTAATGATAAAACAATGTCATAAAATGTTTTTTATAAGTCAGTCTGGTAAAGGGATTTTATATATCTATGTGTGAAATTTACTGTGGAGGGGAACTACAACATGTATTTTCTGCACAATCTGATAACGATTGGGTTGTGCTGACACCCGATCTTGTTGGGATCTGAGGAAGAGTGTACCGTATGCTCATGTTTAACAGTGCTTGCAGTGCCCTCACTGTTAAATTAGTAAATTTGAAAAGGTTATTCCAACTAAAAAACAGTGGTTTTGGGTAGAGTAACTGTTTCTGAGGTGGTCTGCAAACACTTTAGAAAAAAGAATAGAAACACAAAAATTTACCTATATTCCATCACAGTTCTCTCTTCAGCCCGGTCCTCCTTGGCTGAGGAAGGTCAGGGAGCACACACTGATGGCAGGGAGCAGGGTGGTCGATCGGCCATTGACTGGTTATTGCCAGCATGCTCTGATATTGCACAGAATTGACATTAGCCAACCCGGGCCTTCGTTCTGGGTTGGTTAATGAGGCTGCTGGAGGTGGGGTTACATAACGCAGCACATACAGACTCCAGGCATCATAACCACTTTAAACCACTCAAATGATCCTGGTGCTTGGGATTAACTCTTTAAGCCTCTACACAAGTGCTAAATCAGCACTCAGGGTTTAAAAAGCCCTGATAGGCTGCCCAGCCAGACAGCATTTCATCATAGCACACATGACTGTCAGGTTCACGTGCACCCTTTGTGTGCAGGGATGCTGATTGCATCGCAGTCACGCTCATTTGCCAGCCACACCCCACAATCCAATATCAGACCTTTCGACGTAGGAAGATCTGTAATATTTGTTTGATTTCCCACCTGCAGTATTTGAATACTACATACATGATATCAGTACCAGTGTATAGATGATATATGTCCAGGAAAACATGGTAAACCTGTCAATATATAAAAAAAAATAAAGATTCCAAGCACACCATAACCACTACAGCATTCTGTAGTGATTATGCTGCCAGGAGTACCTTGGTCTGATCCATATGCAGGGTGACCAGATTTTGAAAATAAAAAAAAACACGGGACACCCATTAGCCAAGGAGGAAAAGCAGGGCAAGCCACGGTGATAACTGCGCAGCGCTGGAAATCAGGTAAGTAAAAACACCTTTTAAACAGCGTTTTTACAACTATAGTGACAAGAATACTTTGTATCCCTGATACTAGAGTGTTCCTTTAACCCCTTAAGGACACATGACATGTGTGACATGTCATGATTCCCTTTTATTCCAGAAGTTTGGTCCTTAAGGGGTTAAGCAAATTAAAGGAACATTTTGGTCACCATAACAACTTCATCTAAATGAAGGTGTTATGGTGCTAGGAGGCACGTGGGCACTCTCTTTACTTTATAGAGTTAAATCACTCTCAAAAAGTTTTACCCCAAAGACTATCTCTAACATCAGATCTCCAGGTCCAGCATGGGTGCCGCTGATTGGCTAGAGTGGTCATCTGATACTGTAAGCCAATAGGTAGCTCCCCATTCATAATTTTTTTTTTACTACTGATTGTCTTAGAGTGCCAGCTGACCACTCTAGCCAATCAGTGGCAACTCTACCCGTCATCACCATAAACATATAATACCTAGACGCCGCATTCATCGCTACTTCCTATTGGCACTAATGAGCCGCAGGGCGGCCATCTTGGACCGGTCACAGTGTGATCTGCAGAGCAAGGTCCTCATTCAGGAGACATGGCAGGAATCATCAGTAAACCTGGTTAGTCTTAAAATCCACACGGAGGGTGTATAGATCCAGTAGCATGACGAGTATTTCCAGACTTACCTGATCCTTATGCTCATATATTCCAGTAAAATATAGTGACTGGAATATATGAACATGATGTTTAATCCTGGGATATTAAATAATATTAACTGATAACTAATCAGCAGTTTTAGCAGCTGAAGCACTTTTGTTCTCCTCTTGTTTTCCTTATACCACTTTATTTCTTAAAGGTTAACTGTGAAAAACGAATCTTTCTATGTAAGTGTTTTGTGCATAGGCGTGCGCAGCCTATTGTATAAGGGTGTGCACCCTAAAGCACAAACACACACGCCTCGTATATATATATACATATATATATATATATATATATATATACATACATATACACACACACACACACACACACATACTGCTGTGTGTGTGTGAGGGTGCTGTGTGTGTGTGTGTGTGTGTGTGTGTGTAGGTGCTGTGTGTGTGTGTAGGCGCTGTGTGTGTGTGCGGGCGCTGTGTGTGTGAGGGTGCTGTGTGTGTGTGGCCGCTGTGTGTGTGTGAGGGTGCTGTGTGTGTGTGTGAGTGTGTGTAGGTGCTGTGTGTGTGTGTGTAGGCATTGTGTGTGTGTGTGCGGGTGCTGTGTGTGCGGGTGCTGTGTGTGTGAGGGTGCTGTGTGTGTGTGGCCGCTGTGTGTGTGTGCAGGTGCTGTGTGTGTGTGTGCAGGCTCTGTGTGAGTAAGGGTGATGTATGTGTGTGTGTAAGGGTGCTGTTTGTGTGTGGGTGATGTTAGTGTGTGTGTGTATATGTAAGGGTGCTGTTAGTGTGTGAGGGTGCTGTGTGTTAGGGTGCTGTTAGTGTGTGCTGTGTGTGTATGTGTAAGGGTGCTGTGTGTGTTTGCTGTGTGTGCAAGGGTGCTGTTAGTGTGTGCTGTGTGTGTGTATGTGTAAGGGTGCTGTGTGTGAGGGTGCTTTTAGTGTGTGTGTGTGCTGTGTGTGTAAGGGTGCTATTAGTGTGTGCAAGGGTGCTGTGTGTGTGTGGGTGCTGTTAGTGTGTGTGTGTAAGGGTGCTATTAGTGTGTGCATGTGTAAGGGTGTTGTGTGAGGATGCTTTTAGTGTGTGTGTTTGTGTGCTGTGTGTGTAAGGATGCTATTAGTGGGTGTAAGGGTGCTGTGTGTGTGAGGGTGCTGTTAGTGTGTGTGCTCTGTGTGTAAGGGTGCTGTGTGTGTGTGTGCTGTGTGTGTAAGGGTGCTGTTAGTGTGTGCTGTGTGTGTGTATGTGTAAGGGTGCTGTGTGTGAGGGTGCTTTTAGTGTGTGTGTGTGTGTGTGCTGTGTGTGTAAGGGTGCTATTAGTGTGTGCAAGGGTGCTGTGTGTGTGTGGGTGCTGTTAGTGTGTGTGTGCTGTGTGTGTAAGGGTGCTGTGTGTGTGAGGGTGCTGTAAGTGTGTATGTGTGTGTAAGGGTGCTATTAGTGTGTGCTGTGTGTATGTGTAAGGGTGTTGTGTGAGGATGCTTTTAGTGTGTGTGTTTGTGTGCTGTGTGTGTAAGGATGCTATTAGTGTGTGTAAGGGTGCTGTGTGTGTGAGGGTGCTGTTAGTGTGTGTGTGCTCTGTGTGTAAGGGTGCTGTGTGTGTGTGCTGTGTGTGTAAGGGTGCTATTAGTGTGTGCTGTGTGTGTAAGGGTGCTGTGTGTGGGGGGTGCTGTGTGTGTGTGTTGTGTGTGTAAGGGTGATGTATGTGTGTGTGTGTGCTGTTTGTGTGTGTGTGCTGTTTGTGTGTATTGTGTGGGGATGGGGGGGGGGGCGTTTAGTTAATATCCCCCCTTCCTTCTTACCTTGTGTAGGGAGGGGGGACCGTGCTGCTGCCATCCCTGGTGGTCCAGTGGTGAGTGAACTCTAGCCCCAAAGGGGGCTAGAGTTCACTCTCGCAAGATCTGAGCGTTGCTGCGGCAACGCTCTGACCTTGTGAGAGGAACCCGGCAGAGCTGCTGGCTAGAGCTCCCCAGGTCCTCTCCTGAGGGAGGAACCCGGCAGCGCTGCTGGCTAGAGCTCCCCAGGTCCTCTCCTGAGGGAGGCACATAGCGCGGGCCACGGGGATTAGGGTGTGCCCAGGCACACCCTGTGCGCATGCCTATGGTTTTGTGCAATGAACCATTACACAAAATGTAGCAGAAGGACTTGGGGCACTTATAGTAGATATAACCTTGACACAAATAAGAAATGTATTTTTGAAGTGTCTTAGCTGTGGTTAACTAGAGATTTGTCTGTAGTGAAAAAAAATATCTCTTTAAAATAGGAGCTCAAGCAGGTTCTGTATTCCATATGTTTTAAGTGTTAACATTATAAAATAATATAACAAAAAATATAAATAGGTGTATAGTTCACTTTCTAAATGGGGAAAAAAATATTTATTATGATGTCTCTTCTGTGATCAGATTGAGATTCAACTTGTTAATAATATTTGTTTCCTGCGGCTAGCGTAGGGCCAGTGCAACTGTACATTGCTAATCGTTAGAATAGGTATTAAATATTATTTCTACAGTGTACAGAAAACATTAATATCAGACTATCAAGTTTACACTAACATTCACCAACATTGTCAAAACCATTTGCTTATATTTGACTCCTTATCTGGGGTCTGCCCGACTCTGCCTCTCCTCTTCCTGTATGTAGAGCCAGAGGTTCCCAGCATATTGGCTGAGATCCTTAGTTGATAAATTTCTACCAATAAGCTAAGTCCTGCTCTGCCAGGTTTACCTCAGTCAGAGATCTTCCAGTTGTTAGCAAGGCTGGAACCAGTGGTATCTTAGAGAAGGCTAGCAAGGGCACACTTGCCTCCCAAGTTGCAATCATGCAGGAGTAGTTGGCTGCAGCTTCTCAAAATGATTTTTCTTCTGAGTACCTGAAGATGCGATAGGAACCTTGTAGCAGAGTACTGCAGGATTCAGGCAGCAGGCAGGATTTGGGCATTTGCTAACCCAGCAATATGTGGCTTTTTACTTGCCCTTTGCCAAAAGATTCCATCGTTCTCCTGTTTTTTATGACCTAGATGGTTCTACTATAGTAAATATTTTATTTTCAGCATTTGCCTGATGCCTTGATAATAGCAAAATGAAATGGGGATACAGTGTTGAGTCTTGATCAAGGGGTTTAGTACCACTCCCATAATTTATCCTTAAATATGAGCAAAAAAGTGGAATTGTACATTTCATTTACTCCTTTGTATGGTAATAATCTTTAGGACCAGTGAATGTAACACAGTGATTTTCCCACCCCTGCTCCACTTAATGGATAAGTAGATATTAAATACGTTATACAATTTCACGGTACTTAGAAAACTATTTTACTGATATATATGACTTCAGGGTACACCGTGTGATGTATTTAAGCTCCTGGAAATTTGTTGTGTTATATGTAACAACTGTAACATTGATTAATTACTAGTGGCAAGCTTTAAATTGCAACCTTAAAGCGGCACTGTCATACCGAACTTAAATACAAAACACAAATAGCGCAATATTGCTATAACAGAAATAATCTATAGAAAGGCGTATATGGTGTCACTCACAAGTCAAGAGTCATAAACCACATATGACTCAGATGGTAAGCGCTTGTGGACACTTTCAGGATGCCCAATCCTTTCTTTTGCTGATGATTCTGCTGGAAACCTGGTTCCTTAGACTTCTTGAAGTGGTACTGGTCATCCAGTGCTCCTAATATTAGGTATGTGTAGATAGGGTACCACAGCCAAGGTCTCATAAACAATATGCTTTTATTGGTGATCCCTAATACATATATACTAAAAAATAATAACATTTATATAAAATGAATATAAATACCAGGTACAAATGTCCAAATAAATGTCCAAAACGCGTTTCGCCCTTAAATGGGCTTCCTCAGTTGGTTAGTTGTGTATCTTCTCCTTGCTTGGCTATTTTAAATAGTTTGTTTGTCTTTGACTTCCGGGTTCCTCATTCCCGGTATTATTTCACTTCCGGATTCCGGCTATGTGGTGTTGGAACGCTTCCGGTTTTCGCCTGGAATGGGGTTAATTCATTCATTTTACTTCCAGGTTTCGGCGGTATAGGTTATTGGAACACAACATGCGTTCCACTGTCCTACCGCTTCCGGTTTCTGTTAGGGATCACCAATAAAAGCATATTGTTTATGAGACCTTGGCTGTGGTACCCTATATACACATACCTAATATTGGGAGCACTGGATGACCAGTACCACTTCAAGAAGTCTAAGGAACCAGGTTTCCAGCAAAATCATCAGCAAAAGAAAGGATTGGGCATCCTGAAAGTGTCCACAAGCGCTTACCATCTGAGTCATATGTGGTTTATGACTCTTGACTTGTGAGTGACACCATATACGCCTTTCTATAGATTATTTCTGTTATAGCAATATTGCGCTATTTGTGTTTTGTATTTATATTATTGCAGACATTTTCTGAACGTTTATACAAGAAGCTCCACCTTATGTATGTATGTTTTTCTATGTATCTTGTAGAGGTGGTCTAGGGGATACCACTCAAGGTGTTTGAGCTTCACTTGATACTTTGTAAACTCCATATTGTGCACCTATCTATTGATCATGCCGAACTTACCTTTCTTTAACCCCTTAAGGACGGAGCCAAATGTACACGTTGTTAACAAAACAAAATGTAAACAAAACCTGGCATTTGCGCTACATGTCTGTCCAACCGTAATACACCTCTTTCATAGTAAATGCACCCACCCTTATTATACATCATTTTATTCAGGGGAAACAGGGCTTTCATTTAATATCAAATATTTAGCTATGAAACATAATTTAATATGAAAAAAAATGGGAGAAAATACGATTTTTTTTTATTTTTTTAGTTCTACATGACATTTTAACGGTCAGTGTCATAATACTGTTTGCTTTTACTGCAATAAAATACACATATTTGTATTCAGTAAAGTCTCACGTGTAAGACAGTACCCCCTATGTACAGGCTTTATGGCGTTTTGGGAAGTTACAGGGTCAAATATAGCACGTTACATTTGAAATTGAAATTCGCCAGATTGGTTACGTTGCCTTTGAGACTGTATAGTAGCCCAGGAATGAAATTTACACCCATAATGGCATACCATTTGCAATAGTAGACAACCCAAGGTATTGCAAATGGGGTATGTCCAGTCTTTTTTAGTAGCCATTTGGTCACAAACACTGGCCAAAGTTAGCGTTAGTATTTGTTTGTGTGTGAAAAATGCAAAAAACGCCAATTTTGGCCAGTGTTTGTGACTAAGTGGCTACTAAAAAAGACTGGACATACCCCGTTTGCAATACCTTGGGTTGTCTACTATTGCAAATGGTATGCCATCATAGGGGTAATTTTCATTCTTGGGCTACCATAAGGTCTCAAAGGCAACGTAACCAATCTGGCGAATTTTAATGTGAAAAAAATGAAACGCAAGCCTTATATTTGATGCTGTAAGTTTTGAAAACACCATAAAACCTGTACATGAGGGGTACTGTTGTACTCGGGAGACTTCGCTGAACACAAATATTTGTGTTTCAAAACAGTAAAAAGTATCACAGCAATAATATTGTCCGTGTAATGCTGTTTGTGCGTGAAAAATGCAAAAAACGTCACTTTTACTGGCGATATCATCGTTGTAATACATTTTACTGTTTTGAAACACTAATATTTGTGTTCAGCGAAGTCTCCCGAGTAGAACAGTACCCCCCATGTACAGGTTTTATGGTGTCTCGGAAAGTTATAGGGTTAAATATAGTGCTAGCAAATTAAATTCCCTTTACTTTCGGCATGGGTTGTCAGGCAGGTCCTGCTAATTGTAATTAATTAAGATACCTAATTATGTAAAAATAATGCATAAATATATATGTAGAATTAATATATGTACATATATACGTATGTTTATATATATGTATATATCTATATAATTTAAAAAAATATTTTTATTTATATATAGGTATATATATAGTGATATATACGTATATATTTATGTATATAGATATATATATTATTTTGTTCTACGTGTATTTTTATATATATATATATATATATATATTAATTTCACAATACAGTTAGAACGAAATAACACACATCTATATATTTTTTAATTATTTATTTTTAATTATTTTTTTAATTTTATTTTTTAACGTATTTACATTTAAATTTTTTTTATACTATATATAAATATATATATAACAATAATTATATATATATTTAATCAGTATCAGTCTACGTGTAATTTGATATTAATATATATATATATAATTATATATATTAATAGTAAAATACACCTAGACGGTGTACATGTGTGTATGTATATGTGTATATATATACTTAGAATATATATATATGATCTAAGTATATATAAATTTTTTTTTTACACCATTAATTTATTTTATTTTTATTTTCAGCCAGCAGGGGGACCACCTGTCATTACAGGCAGCCCCCCTGCTGGCAATACAGAAGCCAGCTATCCCCGGCCATGTCATTGTGGGGTCCCCGCTAGGACCCCACTCTCACACGGCCGGGGGGCTTCCTGGAGGACGGACGTGCCGCGGGGGCTCCCTGGGAGTCCCCCCCACCGCGATCGCCGGCGTGGGACTGCCGGCGACCGGGTAAGTACCGAAAGACCGGAGGGCGTACTATTACGCCCGGCGGCGTTTAGAGCCGCCTATTAGAGGGCGTAATAGTACGCCCTCCGGTCTAAAGGGGTTAATTGATTCCTCTTCTCTTCCTCTGTCAGGATTTGTTCTTCATTTCTTCCTGTGTGCTCTAGTTTTCTTTAAAACATAAGAAAAAGTAGGGCATACTTTGTCTTATGGAGGTTTGCTACACCAGACCATCTCTGACCAGCGGAGGAACAAAGTGTGCTTCATTTCCCGTGGTCAAAGCAATTTTCCAACAATGCTCACTACTACGGAATTTTGTCCTAACAGAATCAGAACAGTTTGTTCAGATCGGAATTTCATTCTAATGAAGGAAACTCTGATCCTATTAGTGCCACGGCTGCATCTTTCAGCCGCTTAGTAGATAGCTCCCTAATTCCCACGGTATTAGGGAGCTATCTAACAAAAGGCTGAAAGACTTAAATTGATATTTCAGCCAAACGTACTCATATTGTCAGGATTACAAGTTGATCCAGCACGCAGTACTATCACACCTAGGACTAAGGATAACGTATAACCGGACCTTAGCGTGGCCGGACTTAACGTATCCAAGAATAGTCAAAATACTTGCCGAGGTCAGGGACACAGAATCAGACACAAAGAGGAGGGAAAGACAAAAGTCAAGAATGCCAGATATCAGGGAAGTCAAAACAAAGCCAAAGTCAAATATCAGAAAATCAAGATCAGGAACGCACTCTCGGATAACCATAGGCATGAAATCACGACAGGGCAATGAACAAGAGGAGAATTAGGTTTAAATACCCCTCCGGTGGATCCGATTGGGTGTAACCGACCTTTGACCTCAAAGGCAATTACCAGGTTTCCATGTGCATGATTGCTGCTCGGCACAACTTTTCCTGTCAGGACAGTAAATGCCATTAACCACATTTTTATGTGCGAATGAATATGTAACAAATACTAAGTAAAGATTAAATTTGACTTATAACAACACTCTTTCAAATGCTTTCAATCAACCAATCAGAGAGTTATGAGTCAAATTACACAGCATTGGGAAATTCCAAAGAACTTTCCCACCCTGTGTAAAATTACACAGAGCACTCTGATTGGTTGGATTTCAAGCCAACCAATCAGAGTTCCGTGACAGCTAAATGTAGAGTATCTTCATTTACCTGTCAGAGCACTCTGATTGGTTGGCTTAAATCAACCAATCAGAGCACTCTGTGCCTAATTGCAGGGCGTGGGAAGGCTTTATAAGCCTATCCCCACCCTGCAGAGCTCATTCTGCACGGTGCCCTCCATGGGTGAAGATGGATTATTTTTTTAGCGTCAGGGTTTTTTTTCGTCTATTTTTTTTTTTTTTTGCACTCAGGTTTTTTATTTTATTTTCAAAGTTCGATGGGTATTATGGATTTTTATTTGGCCTTTTTTGGGCCTGAAAAAAAGATTTTAGAAAAAAGAAGACATCAAATGGTAAGTTTTATTTTTTTTACAGGTATTTAGTTCTCTTGTTCCCCCTCACTATTTTTAGGGTGAGAGGTTAGGTAGGGGTTTAATTATTTTTTTGGGTGGGTGGGTGACTAGGGGCTTGGGTGACTGGGGGGGTAACATTTTCATTTAGGCAAAAGGTCCCTCCCTATTGTTATTTAGGACCCAAACCCGCTGCTCAGGGCTGGGGGGAAGACAATAGGTCGCCCTCAGTTGTTATTTAGGGCCCCCACCCACCGCTCAGGGGTGGGGGCTGCGTGGGGGAAGGACTAAAGGTTCCCCCTTATTGTTATTTAGGGCCCCCACCCGCCGCTCAGGGGTTGGGGCCGGGGGGAGGGAAATAGGTTCCCCCCCATTTTTATTTAGGGCTCAGGGTGGGGGTAGGGGGGGAGGACAATAGGCCCCCTCCATTTTCATTTAGGGCCCCCACCCGCCAGTCAGGAGTGTGGACTGGGCGGAGGGGGCACTAGTTCCCCCTTTAGTTTAATAGCCCCCACTCACGCGGCACGGGTGGGGGCTCGGGAGGGGGGATACTAGAGTTTTTTGTTTTTACTGTTGCTCACTGTTGAGTAGACATGCCCCTACTCGTGGCATAGCGAGTAGGGGCAGAATTTACTAATACTAAGTAATCTTTACTTAGTATTAGTACATTTGGCTGAAAGACCAATTTAGGTCTTTCAGTCTTTTGGTAGATAGATCCTTAATACCGTGGGAATTAGGGAGCTATCTACTAAGCGGCTGCAAGATGCAGCCGTGGCACTAATAGGATCGGAGTTTCATTCATTCCGAACAAAGTCCCTAATTGTGTCCTAATACGAATAGAGAAACTGTTCTCATTCTGTTAGGACGAAATTCGGTAGCTTCGCCAGCGTCCTGTCTAAGTGACAGGACGTTCGGGAAAAGTGAAGGGAGGCTTCGCGGGAACCTGGGGGAAGGTGAGAATTGTGGAAAAATTGCTTTGACCACCGAAAATGAAGCACACTTTGTTCCTCTGCTGGTCAAGCATAGGAAACCTCTATAAGACAAAGTAGTCCCTACTTTGTCTTGTGTTTAAAAGAAAACTAGAGCAGACAGGAAGAAATGAAGAACAGATCCTGACAGAGGAAGAGAAGAGGAATAGATTAAAGAAAGGAAAGTTCGGCATGACAGTGCCGCTTTAAAGGATCACTATAGTGTCAGGAAAACAAACCAGTGCCCCCACCCTCAGAGTCCCCCTCCCTTGGCACTGATTAAAACCCCTTCAGCAGCTTACCTTAATCCAGTGCTGGGCTCCCTCGGTGCTGGTGACCTCTCCTCCCCCGCCGACGTCAGCTCCTGAGTGGAACGGAATGCACATGCACCGCAATGCTTTCTCAATGCTTTCCTATGGACGTTCTGCACGCTGATGCGAATTTCGCATCCAGCGTCTCAGATGCACCTCTAGCGGCTAAGTAAAGATTACTTAGTACTAATACTAAGCCGCTAGAGGCGCCTCTATAGTGTCAGGAAGACAGCCACTAGAGGTTGGATTAACTCTGCTATGTAAACACAGCAGTTTCTCTGAAACTGCTGTGTTTACATCTGAAGGGTTAAAACCTGAGGGACCTGGCACCCAGACCACTTCATTGAGCTGAAGTAGTCTGGGTGACTATAGTGTCCCTTTAAGTGTCATATTTGCATTGTGTTAAGTTCAGAAGCAAACCATTTTTTTTAAAGAATATGAACATGTTGAATAAATTCTGTTTTTTATTAAATAATGATTTTGTTATGGGAAAATAGCTGAACTGGAAAAAGTCTGTTTTTAACGTATCGATATCTGTGACTTAAATGGTTAATCTAAGCACCATAAACTCTACAGCATGATGTAGGGGCAATGGTACCAGGAATCCAAAAGACCCCAAACTTTATTGAATTGGGAACCAAACATAATTCCAAGGACTTTTATTTCTAAGTCCAACACTTTTCCTATTTTGGGATAGCCAACCACATTCTCCCCAACTTCCACATTTCTCATCGTAAGCTGTGACTGATTGAAACAAGTTTTTTCCCCCAAATCCAGGTCAGATGTAATAGGATATATGACAAAGAATTGTGTGTGCTAACACTGCTGCGCATCCCCCCAAAAAGTTATATTGCTCCGAAAATAGATGTGCTTATAGAAGGTGGACCTGTTTTCTGTTATTCTTTCTTGCTAGAATGTAAAATGAAGATCATAATGCAAAGTAACACGATCACGCACTTTTATGATATTTGAGCATAGAAAGAAAGTCTTTGTTTTACAGCTTTTAACCAACTTTTGTTATTATTCCAATAGATCATGAAGCCATGGAGCCTGTGGAAGACACTGAACCCAGTACTTTGCTATTTGAATCTGTGAGTATCATTTCATGCATGCAATGCTTTTTTTTTTAATTCTTTATTTTTGTGCACAGGATAAAAGCAACATTACATGGGCCTATCCAGCCCCAGCATTATAGACATACAAGTTGACAATGGCTTTTCAATTGGGCATGCCAGGCACGAGAGCATCAGTGCACACTTTTATGTCCTGACTAGATGTGTGTATACAAGCTGGATTAGAGGTTTTTACAGTATTCACTGGGAAGTTAGACCCTGCAAGGGAATTGGTTGGTGTCGAGTGGAGACTACTCAGGTTAGGATAAAAAGTATCAAGTCGGCATTTTGTAAATCCTGGGGTGAGGTTCTCCGCTATAAACTATGGCATCCTAATCCAAAGCTCCACCCTTCCCAGTGAAACATATCAGTGTTTCATATCCTCTCATCTAGGTCTGAACCTAATATACACTCAGTGTGTGCTAATGCATGTAGTAAGTGGGGGAGGAGCCTAAGAGGCCAGTTGACTGCTATCCCATGGTTCCCATGTTTTGTGGAATGTTTTAGTAGTACCCCTCACCCTAGCTGTCAGGTCGTCCATCAGCCGAGTCTCTTTAGTCTCTATAGGAGAGGGCCCGAAAGAAGAGAGAGGGAAGAGAGAAGAGTGATAGAATTAGGGGGAAGGGGGGGAGGAGCCTAAGAGGCCAGTTGACTGCTATCCCATGGTTCCCATGTTTTGTGGAATGTTTTAGTAGTACCCCTCACCCTAGCTGTCAGGTCGTCCATCAGCCGAGTCTCTTTAAATCTGTTCACTACATTGGCAGTGTGAAGCAGGTCCTGAAAGAAGAGAGAGGGAAGAGAGAAGAGTGATAGAATTAGGGGGAAGGGGGGGAGGAGCCTAAGAGGCCAGTTGACTGCTATCCCATGGTTCCCATGTTTTGTAGAATGTTTTAGTAGTACCCCTCACCCTAGCTGTCAGGTCGTCCATCAGCCGAGTCTCTTTAGTCTCTATAGGAGAGGGCCCGAAAGAAGAGAGAGGGAAGAGAGAAGAGTGATAGAATTAGGGGGAAGGGGGGGAGGAGCCTAAGAGGCCAGTTGACTGCTATCCCATGGTTCCCATGTTTTGTGGAATGTTTTAGTAGTACCCCTCAACCTAGCTGTCAGGTCGTCCATCAGCCGAGTCTCTTTGATTCTGTTCACTACATTGGCAGTGTGAAGCAGGTCCTGTTTTAGCCATGTGTGTGCCATAGCACGTCGTGCTATTAAAGTGATTTTATGCAGTAACCTTTGTTCCTGTCTGGTATGATTTGGTTTTAATTTGATATATTTAGTATATGGATCAAAGTTTGGAATGGGAAAACATGGAGATATATTTATTAAAGGGACACTATAGTCACCTGAACAACTTTAGCTTAATGAAGCAGTTTTGGTGTATAGAACATACACCTGCAGCCTCACTGATCAATCCTCTGCCATTTAGGAGTTACATTCCTCTGTTTATGAACCCTAGTCACACCTCCCTGCATGTGACTTGCACAGCCTTCCATAAACACTTCCTGTAAAGAGAGCCCTATTTGGGCTTTCTTTATTGCAAGTTCTGTTTAATTAAGATTTTCTTATCCCCTGCTATGTTTTTTTTCCAATTTGACAATTTTTATTGTTTTATAAAGTAACAGTGGGGTACAGAAGAGAGTAGGGAGGGGTTACAATGAGCGTTCAACATAAAAAACACATTTTTTTTTCAATCTGACATTTGTGTGTTAGGCATGGTATTGCATACTCTATATATACCCTCTTTTGTTTGGCTAGTCTCTGTGGCCTTCCATGTCTACTGGGCTTGAGTTCCCTGCCTATGTATGTTACTCTCTTTACCTACAATTGGTCCGCTACACCTGAGTGGTGCGTGCTCTGCGGTTGCTTCGCTGCTCTTGGTGTGGTTATCCATTGATGTCCTACCACTACACTCCTCTTCAACGGGATAGGGGGTAAACCGGGGATAAACCGGGGATTGTGAGGAGGGGGGGAGGAGGGGGGTGGGTAAAGCGAGTTCCCCATGTTCTGTCTATCTGCCGCTCAAGGTTTGCCACCTTTGGTATTTCCTTGAGGCTGTCTGGCTGTATTTTACTAGGAGGTCTTCCTATTTGACTTCTAGTTGCATCCCACTAGTCAGGGTCCCCTATCCTTCTCATGGGTGTCGTACCCCTGTGTTTTCCTGTGGCCACTTCTGTCGTATGATTCGAACCTATCGTGGGAAGTCCGCTTGGAGTCTCCTCTCTACTGCTTCTCATTATGGTGAGTGTCCCATCTAGTTATTGCTTCTCTGAATCTCTGGTTGTTACCTTGTGATTGTCTGGTCGCCACTTCATACCTCAAGTTAGTGGCTATTTGACTCTTCAGGGTGTGTATTGTCGGGGCCTTTGTCGACTTCCATTCTCTAGCTAGGAGTGTCAGTGCCGCTATGAGGATGTGGTATGTCAGGATTGTCTCACTGTTACGTCGGGATCCCATGTTTATAAATAGGAGACATAGTTCTGGGGTGATCTTGGTGTTGTTGTCTACTGTCGTTTTGATAATGTCTCCTACCTCTCCCCAGTAAGGTCTGATCTCCCTACATGTCCACCATATATGGTACATTGTTCCCACCTCTTCCCCGCAACGCCAACATTGGGATGGCGTTCCCGGATATATTTTCGCTAGTCTGGTCGGTACCATGTACCACCTATAGTACACCTTCCTCATCAGTTCTAAATGCGAGGTGCAGGTAGATCTCCCTCTGTGTGCTGTGAGAGCTTGTGACCATTGTTTTGCATCAAACTCTTTTCCCAGGTCTGTCTGCCAGGCTACTCTAAACTTATCTGGTTGGGCCGTAGTGTTTTCCATAAGGAGTGAGTAACACATTGAGATTGTACCTTTCTTGGGTCTGGGGTTCAGACATGTGTGCTCAAACTTTGTAAGTGTGCTCGGGCCTCCTTTAGTGACTGACTGGTTTTCTAGCATGGATTTAAGTTGTAGGTAAGAGAATATTAGTCTAGGGGGTAGCTGATACTCGTCCTGGAGCACAGGGAATGGTAGTATTTTGTGTGTTTCCACTATGTGCTTTATGTGTGTACATCCCCTCTGGGACCATTCTCTATGCGCCAATGTGTCGTTGGTTATAGATAGGCTAGATAGCGGTGCTGCTGGCGACCACGGGGACAGGGATGTCAGTACGTCTCTAGTCCTGTCCCATGCTCTCAACAGGGTTTTTGTAGTTGGCAACATGTCGAGTTGATTTGGTCTCATCTGTTTGGGCACCCAAAGGAGCTGTCTAAGTGTGGTTCCCTTAATCCAGTAGTCCTCTATGTCTAACCACTGCGGTGTGGAGTCTCTTGTTTGCATTTCCACCATTGGCGCCAGTATTGTCGCCTGGTAGTAGGACCTAACGTTTGGGAGCGACAGACCCCCTTCTTGGGTTGACCTGTAGAGGAATTTTGCCGCTACTCTCACCCTTTTATTGGCCCAGATGAATCGTGATAGCAGTGTCTGAGTTTTGTGTAGGTAGGAGTTCGGTACTTCTATCTGTAGTGTCCGAAAGAGATATTGTAGCCTGGGGAGGAGAGACATTTTAACCGCCGCCATCCTCCCCAGCCAGGATAGATATTTATCTCCCCATCCATTCAATCTGGTGGTTAGTTCCCTGTATAGGGTCTCGTAGTTTGTTTTAAACATGTTACCCATTGACTTCGTCAATTTAATTCCCAGGAACGTGACATCGTCAGTCCTCCAGTCAAGCTCAAACTGTCCCTGCAGCACTTGCATTATAGTGTTTGGGATCCCTATTCCTAGGGCTTGAGTTTTTGATACGTTTAATTTGTAATACGAGCTGTCCCCGTATTCTTTTATTACCTTTAGGAGGTTCGGCATGGAGATCAGCGGTTGGGTCAGGGTCAGCAGCACATCGTCTGCAAACAAGTTGGCCTTATATTCTCTCTTTCCTATGCTCACACCGTGTATAGATTCATGTTGTCTGATCCTGGCTGCTAATGGTTCTAACGCCATAACGTACAGCAGGGGCGATAAAGGGCACCCTTGTCTCGTCCCATTTGAGATGGTGAAGGGCTCAGATAGGAAGCCTGCATTAAGAACTTGGGCGGTTGGTTCACTATACATCGCCTTGACCGCTGACCTGAACCCTTCCGGCATGCCAAATTTGATCATGACCATTTCCAGGAATGTCCAGTGCAGGCGGTCAAAGGCTTTTTCTGCGTCTAGGGCCATGATCAATCCCCCCCCTTTGTGTAGTTTGGGCAGGCTATGCAGTATGTCAATTACTTTTCTTGTGTTTTCCGCTCCTTGCCTCCCTGACACAAACCCGACCTGGTCGTTATGAATTAATTTCGGGAGAATTGAGCTCAGTCTGGTTGCGAATACTTTGGCGAATATTTTCGCATCTGTATTGAGCAGGGAGATGGGGCCTGCTATGTTAATAGCTTGCTAGACCCTGCAAGATCCTCCTGTATGTGATTAAAGTTCAATTTAGAGATTGAGATACAATTATTTAAGGTAAAATACATCTGTTTGAAAGTGAAACCAGTTTTTTTTCATGCAGGCTCTGTCATTCATAGCTAGGGGAGGTGTAGCTAGGGCTGCATAAACAGAAACAAAGGGATTTAACTCTTAAATGACAGTGAATTGAGCAGTGAAATTGCAGGGGAATGATCTATACACTAAAACTGTTTTATTTAGCCAAAGTAATTTAGGTGACTATAGTGTTCCTTTACGTTAACACTGTGAAGCAATTGTTTGCTAAAGCGATACATTTGGTACAGTCGGCATAAAAACACTATTTGGAGGTTTAAAGAGACACACAAGCCATCACAAGCAAAGATACATTTTTCTATTAGAGCAAATTCAGTTTCTATTTACTTAAAAGTCAACAGTCGTTTAAAACAAAATGCAACACATTTTCCTTGTCCAGATTAGCAAAAACGGTGTCACTTTGAAATGTATGTCTCATGCAAAGAAACCAACTGTGATATGATTGAGGGAATGACACAGAGGATAAATAGAACTGAATGAAGCGTAGGATAGGCTCTGTGGGTAGAACCACTATTTATAGTGGTTAGCTATATAAATGTTTACCAAAGACAACATTATCCTATGTATTCTGTGACATAACAAGTAACAAGTATCTTCTTTCAACAGACAGAAAAGTATCCAGTCCAAGATACTGAGATTCCTAAAGGTACAGTATACATTCACACACGATTAGTTCTCTGTTAATGGTATAATAGTCTGACAGTCAGCTGGAAGTTGGATATTCATTGATAACTGCTTAGACACGTTAGTGCTATATAAGAACACCTGCAGACCTATAAAATGTTATCTTTTATATTGGTGTATGATAATTTTAAGTGTTACGTTAGAGTAGGAAATAAGGGGAAACTCTATGCACAAAAACAACTTTAGCTAAAAATGACACGACACTATCCAAATACAAAACAAATAAAATATACTATTTAGTAGATATACCCCCAATGAAAACATGCATGCAGTTAATTGTGAATTTTTTTTTCTCATCTGCTACCTTTGCAAGCCCTCATTTCCCATCCTAGGCTTTCTTTGGCTGCCCAATCAATTCCATTGTAGCTCAGTGAGAAGTCTTTGCAGGGCAGGTGTACCGGTCAGTTGCCTACCTCTTGAGTTTAGCTCCATTGAGCTGATTAGCAGTCAGGGGGTGTAACCAGGTTAATACATTGAAATACCAATTTCTATTGAAATTTGCACTTTTTGTAAAATAAACAAAATAGGGCACAATCTTCACACATAAAGCAAGATACAGTGCTTTAGGTATTTGGAGTATTCCTATAATTAAGTGGTTTTGGTTTATGTAACATGCCTCTGCAGTCTCAACGCTGAGTTCTCTGCCACTTAGGAGTTAAATCACTTTCTTTGTGCAGTTCTAGCCACAGATCCTCTGGTTGTGACTCACACAGCTTCTAAGGAAAAAAAACTTTAACTTTGTACATTTCAGTATGTTTACTTTAGAAGTGCTTATCTCTGTTAATAGATCTTTAATCATATACGAGGCTGCGGTAGGCTCTGGCAGGCTATTAACCAAACATGAGATAAGAACTTCTAAATTAAATATACTGTGCAATAAGGTCATATAAAAATGTGTGCTCTTTTTCTAGAGGCGGTGTGAGTCCCCAGAAGTGGTGTGGATATCGTTGCATAAACAAATTGATTTCATTTCTAAATGGCAGATATTTGAGCAGTTAGACTGCAGGGACATGACACACCCCATAGCGGCGGATGGGGGCCCTAAATGAGAATGAGGGAGGGGGACCTATTGGCAGATATTTGAGCAGTTAGACTGCAGGGACATGACGCACCCCATGAGCGGCGGGTGGGGGCCCTAAATGAAAATGTTACTCCCCCCCCCCAAGGTGACTAGGGGTCCCCAAGCCCCAACCCCTGAGGGGACAATGGGCCTATTGCATGGGCCTGGAGCTGCAGCTTCATCAGCCCCTATGTTAATCTGGCCCTGCATGTTTAAAGTAAATTATTACATGATGCAAACTAGTTTCTGCTAATATATTAATTAGAAACTTGACGGTGCCCTGCAGGGAAAAAATCTAAACTTTCTGGCTGGGTAATTTTGGCTCATATATCTAATGTTAAAAGTATATACAATCATGTAACTGTGAGAGAGCTGGAACAGAGTAGAACATATATAAGAAATTTGTATTGGGTTACTTACATACTTTAATCCAATATAAGGACTGAAATGTTGACTGCCGCACAATAAAGCATGCACTTCACATTTTTACAAGTCCTCAGAGTGCACTCAATTAAGGTGTTTATATATATATATATATATATATATATACTCTCCAAAAAACAAACTCCTTGCACTCAAGCTTAATGCATAACAAGGGTGAAATACTTTTACCCCATAGTCCTTTAACTTGCCGGGTGCCAGTCCTTGGAGGGGGATTGGTATCCACACAAACAAAGTTGGAAGTGCACTCACGGACTTCAATTTCAAAATTCCTCTTAATTTTATGCAATAAAGAGGAATTTTGAAATTGAAGTCCGTGAGTGCAGTTCCAACTTTGTTCGTGTATATATGTGTGTGTGTGTGTGTGTGTGTGTGTATGTATGTATGTATGTATGTGTATATATATATATATATGGGCTGTGGGGGTCAGAGAAGCAATATTACTTAAAGATCTTAGTGTCACATTCTTTACTGACATAACATACACATGAAGGGGTACTGTGTCGACAAAAGGGTTTTCCCTGAAATAGTAGACTGAGCCTGAGGTGGTGATTGTGGAATGGGTGGCATTGACAAAACTAACGTACCAAATTAAAGCAGATTTTTTTTTCCCCTCAGGAAATACTGCAGCATTATAAGTTCAAACATTTGGCATTATAAGTTCAAACTATTATCTGCATGTGTTTTTAAAAGCAGAGAGTAAGCATTCTGGAATTTAAGGTGACTTAATTCACACAGAAATCTCATGTGTTCTGTGGATTCATGGTAACACAATGGGAACCTGTCTTCTAAATCTTGTATCTTGATTTGATGTTTTTATTGAGCTTATCAGACCATATTATTTTCTAGTTTTATTGTATATGGGCTGTCCTGCTTTTGTTAGAGGTATATTTCTAATTCATGGTTTTGTGGTGGCTCCCTGAATGGGGATTGGTGTCAGGGGTGTAACTAAAATCTTCAGAGCCATGGTGCAAACAACTGTTAAGGCTCCCCCCGCCCCGCTATAGAGCAGAGGCGGTCAACAGGAAGATCCTCAGCCTCTTGGGAAGCAAGTGTGCATGCATGGCAAAACGCTGCACTGTGCCAGTTATAGAGATCATCTAATAGTTTCTTCACTAGTTCAATGAAAGCGCCTCAAGTAGCTGTCATTATGACAGCAACTATAGGAAGATTAGCCCTGCCATGTCAACGTTACCTTTCCTGTAGAACAGCAATGTTTTCAGCTGTGGGGGTGAAATAGGGGGTGGGGAGAAGGGGCGGGATGGCAACCAAACAACTTCACTGAGATTAAAGGGACACTAGAGTCACCCAGACCACTTCAGCTCAATTAAGTGGTCTGGGTGCCAGGTCCCTCAGGTTTCAGAAACTGCTATGTTTACATTTGGGGTTAATCCAGCCTATAGTGGCTGTCTTCCGGACAGCCACTAGAGGTGCATCTCCGACGCTGGAGACGAATTTCGCCTCCATTGCGCAGAACGTTTATAGGAAAGCATTGACAGCTTCAATGCGCGCGCGGCACTTGCCGCGCATGCGCATTCGGCTCCAGTGACGTCGGACGGGGTAGCAGACGTCGGATGGGGATGAGAGGTCACCAGCGACGAGGGAGCCCAGCGCTGGATTAAGGTAAGCTGCAAAAGGCTATCCTAACTATAAGATAAGGCCAGGGACGCAACACTGCATTTTTATTTACTCACCCTTATCTAATGCCGGGGTTCCATCGTATGTCTATGCCTCCTACGACATCCTCATGGAGAAGCATTGGGGGCCTGATACGCATATGTGGCGTATCCAAACTGACTTTTGGTCCGTTATCTGACGCTGGACGTCCTCAAGGACCTCCAGTGTCAGATTTTCCCCATAGGAAATCATTGAATAATGCTTTCCTATGGGGAGGACTAATGCGGGCGCAACCATTGCGCATTAGGTCTCCCCGCCGGCTGACGTCGGAAGAGGAGGAGCGTGGGCGGAGCCTGACCCAGCGCAGAGGGACATTGACGCTGGATTCAGGTAAGTGGCTGAAGGGGTTTTAACCCCTTAAGCCCCACGGAAGGGGTGACCCTATGGAGGGGGGGGGGCTATTAACCCTTTAGTGCCAGGAAAATTACTTTGTTTTCCTGGCACTATAGGATCCTTTTAATCAGTGCTTTCCTATAGAGGCTTCTGTGTCACTTGAAGAAGAGCCTTTTTAAAAACTGTAGTGTTTTAAATTGCATAGTTAAAAGGGTATAAGGGTTGACTTCTCCCCTGGTGTGTTTCTGCTTTCGTCCAATTGACTGGATACCCAAACTCAAAAACTGCTTAATTTAGTTTCTCTAGCAGCCAGAAGGGTTCTGGTGGCTGGTTTGCTAAAAATGGAGAGGCCTTCATTGTGGGACGCCATTTTTAAAATTGAGGAAAACTTTATCATGAATGAACTGATTTTTAAAGTTAAACCTTCATACTCCTCCTTCTCTAAAGTATGGGATCCATGGAAAGTGATGAAGTGTCGAAGTGCCGAACCGAACCAAAGTTCCGAAGTCCCGAATTTCGGAGTGCCGAACCGAATATATTTCACATGCAGATCCCTAATAGCATTAAGTTACATACATTTTTTTAAAGGAACACTATAGTCACCTGAACAACTTCAGCTTAATAAGGTTGTTCAGGTGAGAACTATAGCTCCCTGCAGCCTTTCTCATGTAAACATTGTATTTTCTGAGAAAAAACAATGTTTACATTGAAAGCTAGGAACACCTCCAGTTGCAGTCACTCAGAGTGAACCAGGGGGACTTCTGAGTTGATGGAGGCATAATATGCTGTGCACGAGCATCCTGTGATTCAGTATCTCCTCCCACTGCATGCAGACACTGAACTTTCCTCATAGAGATTAACTGATTCAGGGCTGTGTTTGAATCATGCTGGCTCTGCCCCTGATCTGCCTCCTTGTCAGTCTCAGCCAATCCTATGGGGAAGCACTGTGATTGGATCAGGCTATCACATGTCAGCAGACTGCTTGTTTTTCCTGAGTCTAACCGCATGCAGTTTTACAGCTTCTGAATACAGTAAGATTTTTACTATATTTATGGAGGCATGAGGGGCCCAGGGGGGCTAGATGGTCATGTTAACACTATAGGGTCAGGAATACATGTAGTTGCACTGGTGACTATAGTGTCCCTTCAAGTATTTGCTTACACGGCTCCTAAAACAATGCAGATATAGATTGGGTTAGTCAGACATTGGTCTCCTTTTTGGGACTACCATGCACAAATGAAAGCAGTCAACAGTTTAATTGTACCATTTACAAAAAAAAATTGGGATTATGTATAAAAAGTGATGTATTCAGTTTTAGGCAATTTTTCTGGTGCTATTTCTATTTATTGATCGATTGTTCAAGGATTAAAAATTCCTTTGAATTGCAAATGGCTAGTCATATTACTTATTTGACATACATTGTGAATGTAGTCGATGGTAAAATCATTAGGAAAAAAGAACAAAAGTGGCAAAAAGTCCTTATTTCACACATTAGATCAAAGGAGGAAAAAGAGTGACCAATGTAAAAGAGTGAAGTAACATTTTCCCGACTTGGAATACATTTATATATCTATGAAGTCCTGTTAATGATGTTCACACATCTTTTTTTTTACTCTTTATATGATCTTTTATCCAAACCACAATAAAAATTTATAGAACACAAAAATTGCAGATTTTAATAGAAATCTTTACTTTTATAAATTTACCTTGTTACATCCGACTGGCTGTCAATCAGACAATAGGTCCTGTTACTTACTGATTGTTTAGCTCAGTGGAACTAAACTCAATCAGAGTTTGCAGGAAACTTTCTTTGTCTTAAGGATGAGCATAACCACCTAGCAAAGCATAACCACCTAGCAAAGCTATTGGATATGCGGCAGCCTCCCGGTGTCAGAATGCCTGAGCTGAAAAAAACTGCACAGCAACAATGTTTCAGCCAATCAGGTAATCAGGAGAGCCATTCTTTTTTAAATTGGGAATCTGCGGATGGCTAGCTCATGAATCACTGAAAATATATATTACCCAAAGGGTAGAGAAACTTAATTAAGCATCTAAACAAGAAAATAATTCAAGAACCCAATAGTAAAGGGAAACAAGAAAATATTGAATAAATCGTAAAGTCTTATGAGATGGACTTTAAAACTTTTGTATAATGCCCACAGCTAAACAGATAACAAGGCAACAATGTATAAACTTAAAGGGACACTATAGTCACCAGAACAACTACAACTTATTGAATTTGTTCTGGTGAGTAGAATCATTACCTTCAGTTTTTTTGCTGTAAACACTCTTTTCAGAGAAAATGCAGTGTTTACATTACAGCCTAGGGATAACTTCACTGGCCACTCCTCAGATAGCTGTTAGAGATCGTTCCTGGGTCATGGCTGCCTAAAATTCATCCAAACATTCAGTGTCTACTCCCTCTGCATGCAGACAATGAACTTTACTCATAGAGATTCACTGATTCACTCCATCTCTATGAGGAGATGGTGATTGGCCAGGGCTTTTTGAATTATCCTGGCTCTTTGTCAGTTTCAGCCAATCCTATGGGGAAGCACTGTGATTGGATCAGGCCACCACTTCTGATGATGTCAGCAGACTGCTTGTTTTTTTTGAGGCAAACAGCATGCAGAGTTACAGCTTCTGGCTTGAATACAGTAAGATTTTGCTATATTTATGGATGCATGAGGGGCCCAGGGGGGCTAGATGTTGGTGTTAACACTATAGGGTCAGGAATACATGTTTGTGTTCCTGACCCTATAGTGATCCTTCAAAGCGGCACTGTCATGGTCTCATCTGCTTTTTTGTTAACCCCCCTCCCGACTCCACTACATCTAATTTCCGCCCTAGTCATTCCCAAACACCCTTAGGCCCCCCATATTACCTTTTTTTAAATCTTTATTTTGTGCCCCTACCTAGGTCCTGGGTGCCACCATCTTTGTGTGGGTAGATGAAGGCCATGTGGGACACGTCATCTACTCACACTAGATAGCGCAGTAAAATTACAGCGCAAACCCAGTTAAACACTGGGACACTCGGTTTGTCCGAAATTCGGACAGGAATTTCGTATATTCATTCAGAAAGAATGCATGGAAATGTCAGATGAACAAACAAACACCAAATATCGGTGTTCGTTTATTCGTTTAGTTTATTACAAGGAGGGAGCTACCGGCACGCAGCTCCCTCCTTGTAATATGTAAAAATAGAAGCGGTAGGGAGCTGTGCTCGCCGCCACTTCCTAAGCCCCCCCCCCCATGTCCTCCCTCACTCTATGGAGGTCAATATGAAATCTCCCGAATGCCCCTACTCGCTATGCCACGAGTAGGGGCAAGTCTACTAAACAGTGAGAAGCCTGTGACTGATCCCCTGTTAAAAAAAGCCCCCCCCCTCTAATAACTGGACCTCATGGTGGGGCATCTATTAACTAGCAGGGAGAGACATAGTGTCCCCTCTGAGCCCACACCCATGTCCTCCCTCCCAGCCCCCACCCATGAGCGGCGGGTGGGGGCCCTAAAGGACAATGGGGGTTGAGGGGGGTAGGTAGGGCTTTATTTAATTTTATTTGGGTGGGGTGGGGGTGACTAGGGGCTTGGGGATCCCTAGTCACCTTTGGAGGGTATTTTAGGGCCCCCACCCACGGCTTATGGGTGGGAGCCAAGGGGGACCCTATGTCCCCCGTTTAGTTGACTAGCTCCCACTCATGGGGCATGGTTAGGAGCCCTGGGGGGGACACTAGTTAATAGATTCCCCACCATGGGGCCATTTATTGGGGGGGGGGGGAGAATTGCCAGATTTCTCAAGGACCAACTCTGGTGCTTGAGAGATGAGGTCAGATGTACCAATAATTTGTCCCATTTGTCCTGAGGGATTCCTAGTGACATAGTCCTGGTGTTCAGTACAAAACCCAGAAAGAGAATGCTTTGAGTGGGAATTAGGACTGATTTCTTTAAATTCACTACAAATCCTAGGTCTTGTAAAAGGGAAGCAAGATAGTCCCTCTGAGAAGCAAGGACTTCCCCATCTGGGTGCATGAGCAGAATGTCATCTAAATAGTACAGACACATATGTAACCTTTTAGTCTGACATGGGCTGATCACTGATTTCATTATTCTGGAGAATGTGTGCTGTGTGTGTGATTGTGCTGTGTGTGTGATTGTGCTGTGTGTGTGAGTGTGCTGTGTGTGTGTGAGGGTGCTGTATGTGTGTGTGCGCTGTATTTTTGGAGGGATTGTGGAGGTGGGGGCAGATTAGTAAATATCCCCCCTCCCTTCTTACCTTATGTAGGGAGGGGGGATCCTTGCTGCCATGTGCCATCCCTGGTTGTCCAGTGGAGAGTGAACTCTAGCCTGCGGGTCTAGAATTAACTCTCGCGGGATCTGAGCGTTGCCGCTGCAACGCTCAGATCTCGCAAGAGGAACCTGGTGGAGCTGCTGTCTAGAGCTCCCCGGGTCCTCTCCTGCCTCCCTCCATGCTGCTGTGGGCCAGTGAGGTAGATCTTTGATCTCCCCGCCGGCCCATGGAGGCTTAGAGCAGAGCCAGCACTCAGATAGCCGGGTACAAGTCCTGGGGAATAAAGTGTGGGAACACTCCCAAGATTCCCACCCCCCCCAAAAAATATACACTTACGTGTGTGTGTGTGTGCGTGTGTGTGTATATGTGTATGTGTGTGTGTATGTATATATATATATATATATATATATACGCATGCACACACATACACTCACAGACACACACTCATACACTCACAGACTCACACAGACAATCACAGACACACACTCATACACTCACAGACACACACATGCACTCACACACACACATACATTCACAGAAACACACTCATACACTCACAGACACACACACACACACACATACTCAGACACACACACAACAAATACCTGGAGAGCTGGCGTGGACATGTTCCTGGGGTCCAGTGGGTCGGGTGCCTGTCTCCATATCAGACGCGGCGAGGGAGCCGTGTGCTCTCTGCTCCCTCTCGCCACGCGGGCTGTCTACAGTAGCTGGGAGCCGGAATATGGCGTCATATTTCGGCTCCCGGCATCAGCAAACGGCGCGCGGCGGGGGGGGGGGGCATAGAGGACACAGCTCCCTCGCAGCGTCTGATAAGGAGACAGGCGCCCGACAGGGGGAGGGAGGGGGCCATCACCTCTTGGCCCACATGGGGGAGAGGAAGGAGGCATTTGGGGGCGCTGAGTGCCTGCAGGAACGGCGTTACTGCTCAAACAAAAGTGCAGGAACTCCATTCCTGCAGGACTCGATCCATAGGCTTGCCGTGGGGATGAGGGTGTGCCCAGGCACACCCGGCACACCCCGTGCGCACGCCTATGTGCATTGGATAGGCCAAACACCATAACAGTCCACTGCCAGATCTTTCCTTTCCACCGAAAACCTGAGGAAACGCCTGTGTTTCTTGGCTATAGGGACTGAATGGAAGGCATCTTTTAGGTCTAACTTAATGCAGAAAAATGTTTTCTGTACTAAGCCTGGAAGATCTGATAAACCCTCCATCCTGAACCTTTTTCTCTTGATGAAAGTGTTCAGAGACCTCACGTTTAGAACAGGTCTCCAGGAACCGTTTGGGATTTAGGATTAGGAACAAGGGACTGACCCATCCTGTGATAGACATATCTGCCAACTCTATCTTCCCTTGATTTAAAAATAGGGAAAGGGAGGCATCTAGCACTGGGTTCACCTCTCTGCTTATTGCAAACTTCTGTACTGGGAACCTTAAAAGGGGGAGTTGTAAACCCCTTTGAAAAATCTTTACAACCCATTTGTCTGAAGAAATATCCTTCCAATATTTGGAGTGCGAGAAAGCACACTTACTTGAATGCATAGGTTTTCTCTTGGAAGCTGGACAACCTCTGGATAAGCTCCTCTGCCACCGCCTGGGAGCTTGTGTTTTCCACTGTAGTGGCGGTACTAGGCCTGGTGAGATGCTTCTCGGGATGCTTCTGCAGTCCAATTGGGGCGACCCTCTGTCTGAAAGGGCTTCTTGTAGCCAGGAAAGGACTTTTTTTGAGCTCTGAAAAGGACCTCCTTGCCTTATAATGGCCTTTAACCCCTTAAGGACCAAACTTCTGGAATAAAAGGGAATCATGACATGTCACACATGTCATGTGTCCTTAAGGGGTTAAACTGCTGAATGAATGAGGGACCGAAAAGGTAAGTATCCTCCGAATTTGGGAACTCTTGTGATTTATGGGCTAGGTCAGACATTCCTGCTGCGTGGAGCCAGTGGGTTCTGCGAATGTTCGAGATGTAATTAAAAGATTGGCCAATAATCAGCACTGCCCTTCCAGACGCTTTTAATAAAGCCATCTTAGATGCTAGCAGAGATGAAGCATAAGGTCTCTGAGCATTGCCTTCTGTTTTTGCTTTATCCAGCATCAGTAATAGTGGGCCCACAGCATCAGCAATTTTTTTTATAATTCTTTATTTTCAAATGACAGAAATTTCAGGCATGTGAACAGTACTTGGGCTTATGCAAAAGCCAAAATTCGTGTTTTACAGCAGTTTCACAGTGATACAGAAAAAAAGAGATTGAATTGTTAGATGATAATGCTACTGTTCAGAGTTCTTCTTTGCGGTTTTGTTCTGTCAGGGTTTTTACATTTATATATAAAACAAAACAGATTTAAGTTTTAACCTTAAACAACATAAAAACACTTTTGTGTGGTGTATTTTTTACTTAAGGCGGTGCACACATGCGATAATATTTAGGCTTACGCAGAAGCCACTGTGGTTGTTTTTTTCCCTTTGTTATGCAATTTACGTTTACATAAAGAAAAAGTAGTGCGTTAGTACAGTTTACATGCATAGCGACATTTTTAGGTCAATTCAGTGGTTTATCTGTCAAGTTAAGGTTTGCTATGGGTGTATTTCGCATTTTGGTTGTTGAAGCTTACCGTGAGGTCGTGTGTCGCCTCATTTGGTGCAGTTATTTATATGTATTAGTGTAAAAAACATACAAATGGATAAATCTATAGGCAGGAAAATGGAAAACGTTTTGCTATCATGACTGTTACCTCTGCTCTATGTAGGTTCGTTATGTGCCCTTTTACTTTTTAATTATGAGTGTTCATTCAGGTCCCCTGTCCCCCCTCCGCATTCTCTTGGTATTACTCACACAGTTCCCATACCTTCCTAAATTTTTTGGTGGTGTGTCTGACTAATGAGGTTAACCTGTCCATGAGGTGGTTATCGTTTAATTTTGCTAAGACCAGTGTCAAGGGGGGTGTTTCCAGACAGAGCCATTTTTGTGCTAGTGCCCTTCGGGCAGCGAGATAAACCATGTTTAGTAGTTGTTGCTCTGGGCGTGTAAGGCCGTCTGTCGGCCTGGAGAGGAGGCAGGCCCACGGGTCCATCTCTAGTGGTCTCTGCATTATGTTTAAGCTTAGTGTGATGATTTGAGACCAGTAGGGCTGTACTGTAGGGCATGTCCACCACATATGCACGTATGTGCCCTTTTCCCCGCAGCCATGCCAGCGTAGGTCTGAAGAGGTGATCTGCATATGAAATTGTTTTACTGGGGTGGTGTACCATCTGAAAAGTGTTTTAAATGACTGCTCTTGGAGGGTGACACAAATGCATGAACGAGCTGTCGCCTCCCAGATGTCCCGCCAGTCAGAGCCCTCTATTTTTCCCCCTAAGTCTGTCTCCCACTGGTCCGCGTAGCAGAGTTCTCTTTGGCTTCCCCGCTAAGGTGGGAGCATCAGCAATTTTAAACTGTATATTATGAAAGGTCTGGTCTGTGGGATCTGTAGATACACTGCTCCCTGTGAAAGATAACTGAGCAGGATCTACCTCAGGAGCCATGAAAGCCTGGATGTCCGGGATAGCAATGTGGTTCCTGAGGAGAAGGTCATCCTCCATAACCAAGGGGGATCTAAAGGCTAGTTTGGCAAAATCTCTAGCCTCAGAATTGTGCTCCATAGCCCATCTGGAGTGAAATAATTTTGATGGGAGAGTCTTATCTAGGAGACTCACTCTAGCCATCTGAACGTTGCTAAGTATCCCTCGCTCAGTGGAAGCTGCTGAACGTACCACTTCCTCAGATTCCCAGTCTATTTCTGGAGAGCCATGTCTAGAACTGGAATGGCTTTGGGAGGAAGAATGAGCAAACTGTCTAGAAGAGGAAAGAGAAGGACTATCTAACCTCCAGCTAGATTTGTCCTTTTTCTCTGAAAGGTGTTTTTGGTGCTTAAATGAGGGAAACACACAATTCCTCTTTTGGGATCCTGTCCCTTTAATTTTTTTGCTTACTCAAACAAGTATGAGGGGAAGGAGGAGCAGAAAAATTTTCTGTGAAAAAGACCAGCAACCTTTCTTCATTTTTTTTTACGTAAAACTGGGACCATATCCTCCTCAGAAGTAGAAGAGGATAGACCCATTGCAAGGAAAGCTCTTTTATGGAGCTTTCTAACATTGAAAGAGAGGCATCCAGGGCCAGCCTTTGGGTGTGCGAGCTGTGCAGTCGCACAGGGCACCATGGCAACAGGGGCGCCGGGCAGCCGATGCAGTGAATAGTGAATGGGGAAGGGGAATAATGAAGGTGGCAGGGTACAGGGCAGGGAATTGATCAAGGGGTGATCAAGGGGTGGCCATTGGTTTGCTGAAAGAGGGCAGGGGTTTGGAGAAGGAGGGCAGGGATTTGTAGAAGGGGTGGAGGCAGCAGATTGTGAATGTACCGCCAAGTTTTGCTAGGAGGTTATGCCTCCCAGAGGACAAAGAGTTAGGCCATTGCTCTGAACACCTGCCCTGAAAAGACTTCTCCATCAGCTGTATTGGGAAGTCTGTGAATGGGCAGTCACATTAAGTCTGGTCTGGGAAAGAAGGGGAGGGCTGCAGATAAGAGAACTGTAACCTATACAAGCTGTTTTTATAAATATCTATAATGAAGAACTGCATCATTAAACATTTTTTCATTGGGGGCATATCTACTAAACAGTGATTTTCGTTATTACTTGGGCAATGTAGCATAACTTTCAGTCCATTAGGACCAGTAGGAAGATTGCCCATGCAATGCATGCTAACCTTTCTCAAATGCTATTCCAAAACAGGGCCTGTGTTAGTTTATGTTGATAATGGTAATGCTTTATATAGTTAAGCAATGTCAAAGTAATTTCAAAATTAATAAATTAGGGCCAAATTAGTGCCGCTGGCAGGCAATTAGTTTAAATAAGTTGGCTTTCTTTAAATTGTCAGTTGTGTTTTAAACAAGGGAAGCCAGCTTCACAAGTATTCTTAAATATGTAGATAAATATATCCAAAGATTAAAGGATTTCCACCCTTGCACACTCTTGGTTTTACTGCTAATGAAACTCTTTCTTGGTGATTTTTAAATAAAATAATTAAAATAATCACAGTGCTGCAGAGGTATTCGTAGCTATTCGACTTGCTGGAAGTCAGCCATGACAGTTTCTTTTGTGCGAAGACGCCCAGGGGAACAAATTGAAGGAGGTACAACTGACATGTAGTGACAAATCCACCACCTCGCCTTTCTTACAGTTAGACTTACATGAACTCACGAAGATCACATAATATACAGGCACTAGTTTGTAGATAAGTCTATGTACCTTTAGCATTTAGAATGCAGAACAAAGATGTGTCATCTACAGACATTTCCTCGGTTTTCACATTGGTCAGGTGTCGACATGTTTGAAGTACTTGCATTGGAAAAGCCGAGTTTTAAAATACAGTGTGATTAAATTCATCATTGACAATCAAAGAGCCGTTTCAATTCACCCTAGCATTGTAATAATATGTTAAAATCCTTGATCAAAGTAGCTAAGTAGGGTAACTAAATATAATTAATTTTATAATTTGGTAAATGTTTTTTATCCAGTTATTATTCTTGGCTTCTGTGCCACTGACATTATGAAAATTGGTAAAGTTATACATAGTTGTAGAATCAATTAATCCCATAGACAACCGTGACTAAAAGATGTATACTTGGAAAATCTTGACTTTAAGAAGTGATCCTATAAAATAGTGCGATGCAATAATGAAGATGGGGTTATATGACCACAGAATCATTAGCCTGTCGCATTAAAAAAGGATAAGGTTAAAGGACCACTATAGGCACCCAGACCACCTCAGCTCAATGAAGTGGTCTGGGTGCCAGGTCCATCTGGGATTAACCCTGCTTGCTGTAAACATAGCAGTTTCAGAGAAACTGCTATGTTTACAAATGGGTTAATCAGGCCTCTAGTGGCTGTCTCATTGACAGCCGCTAGAGGCACGTCCGCGCTTCTCACAGTGATTTTCACAGTGAGAAGATGCCAGCGTCCATAGGAAAGCATTGAGACTGCTTTCCTATGAGACTGGCTGAATGCGCGCGCAACTCTTGCTCACCCTAGAGCCCGGCGGGAGGGAGACCCAGAGGGTGAGTATGTTTTCCTGGCACTATAGTGGTCCTTTAAGGTCGGGGCCAGATTAAGAGCTGACAATTATGATGGGGCCTAATTACATAATCCAAAAGCACTAAAACAGTCATACCTCCCAAGCGTCATGTATCTGATGGAGAAGGTGTTGGAGGGAAACTCAAAGGATGCAGCTATAAGAAAACACATACTCTATGCTAATCTCTCTCTAATTTATGCTTTCATCTTTCAAGTAAATCCATACCCCATAACAGCAGTGTCCAGTGAATCAGGAAGTCAATGGACAGGGTGGTGGGCCACTAACGCGAATCACGTGACCAGAACTGCGAAAAGGGGCGAAGATGCCCAAAAAAGGGGGCATGTCTGTCCAAAGAATAGGAAGGTCAGCCTGGCATCAGTGTCCATATGTATCACAGTGTCAGTGTCCTCATGTCTCCCAGTGTCTCAGTCTCCTAATTTCTCCCAGTGTCCCCATGTCTCAGTCTGTCCTGTGTCACTAGGATACTAGGGAACACTGAGAGACATGGGTACACAGTGAGACATGGGGACACTAAGAGACCCAGGGACACTGGGACATTTGGGGACACTGGGAGAAATGGGGACACAGACATTTGGGGACACTAAGAGACTAGGGACACTGAGAGACATGGGAACACAGACACTGGGAAACATGGGGACACTGAGACACTAGGGAAACTGGCTGAGAGGCATGGGGATACTGAGACATTTGGGGACACTGGGAGACATGGGGACACTGACTGTGAGACATAGGGATACTGGCGGACATGGAGACACAGACACTGGGGACACTGGCTGGGAGACATGTGAACACTGGGAGCCATGGGGACACAGACACTGGTAGACTAGGGGACACTGGAAGGCATGGGGACACTGAGACACTGGCTGGGAGACATGGAGACACTGTGTCCCTAGTGTCTCCATGTCCCAATGTGTCTCCCAATGTACCTATGTCTCACAGCATCACCATGTGCCTCAGCGTCCCCATGTCTCAGTGTCCCCTAGTGTCTCAGTGTCTCAGTGTGTCCCCAGGTCTTCCAGTGTCCCTTAGTGTCCCCAGGTCTTCCAGTGTCTCAGTGTTCCCAGGTCTACCTGCTGCGTTTCCGCTCATCCCTCACTTCCCTGAGCTGTAGTCTGTCTCTGCTGGCTGGGAGCTGCTGTCTGAACTCTCTGTGCTGTGTAGCTGCTCTTAGGGTCCGTAGAGGCGACCCTCTCCCTTCCTTATCCTGTATAGTGAAAATGGAGAAGAGCGCATATGGTGCAATAATGTAGATCTTATTTATATGATGGTAAGGTAAAATAGGGTACTTACAAACCCAGAGCCTTCCAAATAGGCTCAGATGAAATTGCTTATGTGGTTAAGGACCACATTCCTTCTTTAAAATATTAGCAGTAAAAAATGCCAATAGTGAATAGTGAAGTATATAAAAATATTCCTCAGTTCTCCAGGACACGTTTCGCCATATAGGCTTCCTCAGCTGGATGAAAAAGTCTCTGTACCCTATTTTACCTTACCACCATATAAATAAGATCTACATTATTGCACCATATGCGCTCTTCTCCATTTTCACTATACAGGATAAGGAAATAAAGAACACCATTTAAAGAAGGGAGAGGGTCGCCTCTACGGACCCTAAGAGTGCACTAATTGAGCTTAATCGTTTAGCTCTTTAAATTGTGAGTTGGGAATTTACTTTACCTTTTTCAATAAAACATTATACGGTTTACACTATAAAATGTTTTTTGTATTTGTGTTTTTAAGGAACTACAAATTTACCACTAGGACCCCAATATAGGATAAAAGGTTTAAAGGACCACTCTAGGCACCTAGACCACTTCAGCTTAATGAAGTGGTCTGGGTGCCTGGTCCCTCTAGGATTAACCCATTTCTTTTATAAACATAGCAGTTTCAGAGAAACTGCTATGTTTATAACTGGGTTAATCCAGCCCTTGAAGCCTCTAGTGGCTGTCTCATTGACAGCCGCTAGAGGCGCTTGCGTGATTCTCACTGTGAAAATCAGTGAGAACACGCAAGCGTCCATAGGAAAGCATTGTAAATGCTTTCCTATGAGACCAGCTGAATGCGTGCGCAGCTCTTGCCGCGCATTCAGCCAAAAGGGAGGAGAAGAGGAGGATCGGAGGAGGAGAGCTCCCCGCCCGGCACTGGAAAAAGGTACGTTTTAACCCCTTTCCTTTCCCCAGAGCCGGGCGGGAGGGGGACTAGTATGTTTTCCTGGCACTATAGTGGTCCTTTAAGATATATATATATATATATATAATTTCTTTCTGCACTGAAAATCACCCATATCCAACTATAAGCGCTTCACCATCACACTGGTTTTACAATTTCTATTTGACAAGATAAGTTCATGGTGATATAGCCGCTGTCTGTAAATTATATTTCACAAGTTTGTAATATTCCACCTCAATATTAGTGCTGGTACTTGATTGTTTTTTCATTTGTAATCTCCATTTATACTGAGAAAAATATCTGCATTTGTATTGCCGGTATTACAGCAATACCGGCACGGCCAGGCAGCCTCATATACTGGCTGTGCCGGTAAAATACCAGTCAGGTGGTAAATGGGCCTGGGCCTGGAGCTGCAGCTCTATCAGCCCCTATGTTAACCCGGCCCTGGTTAAGGGGCGAAGGTTGGAATTACGATAGCCTTAGTGTGGTTTTTAGAGTTAAGGGACCAAAGGCCAGAAATGGTTTTAGGATTAGGGGCTCCTACCTTCAAGATACTGTACACCAGGGGTGCCCAAAAGATATCTCCCCAAATGTTTTAAAGGACCACTCTAGGCACCCAGACCACTTCAGCTTAATGAAGTGGTCTGGGTGCCAGGTCCTTCTAGGGTTAACCCATTTTTTAATAAACATAGCAGTTTCAGAGAAACTGCTATGTTTATGAATGGATTAAGCCTTCCCCCTAATCCTCTACTGGCTGTCTCATTGACAGCCACTAGAGGCGCTTGCGTGCTTCTCACTGTGATTTTCACAGTGAGAGCACGCAAGCGTCCATAGGAAAGCATTGTAAATGCTTTCCTATGCGACGGGCTGAATGCGCGCGCAGCTCTTGCCGCGCGTGCGCATTCAGCCCGGGAGGAGGAACGGAGGAGGATCGGAGGCAGAGAGCTCCCCGCCCAGCACTGGAAAAAGGTAAGTTTAACCCCTTTCCCCTTTCCAGAGCCGGGCGGGAGGGGGTCCCTGAGGGTGGGGGCACCCTCAGGGCACTATAGTGCCAGGAAAACTAGTATGTTTTCCTGGCACTATAGTGGTCCTTTAAAGCTACAGCTTCCATGATGCTTTGTCGTTCTAAAGGCATGCAAACACTATGAGAGTTGTAGTTCTACAACATTCGTAAATCTACCTTTTGAGCCCCTGTGATGTAGATTGTAGCTCCTATGACTTTTAGCTAGGTTTTAGGACTACAGCATCATTATTACATTGCTTATTTTAAAGCAACTTTGTTCTGTTGCATTTTTTTAATATAAACTAGAAAAGCTCCAATTTCTCGGGAAATTGTGTGAAGTGTTCTTGCCTCCACCAGTAGTCTACAACTGGAGTGGGCGGAGTAACTGTTATTATTTATTTATATAGCACATTTAATTGCAACGTTGATGCCCAAAGTGCTTCACAGTTACATTAAAACATACATTTATAAAAACATTAGCAGGTGTACAAAAGGCCCTGTCTATGACATCACTTGCTGCTGCAGCCTGGCACAGGTCAGAGTATTTTGGCGGTTGCCATCTTGGTCGTATTTTAAAAACTATAAATCCTACAGCAAAGAGCTTTATATTGTGAGAATCACAAGACCCAGACCTACATTTTGATGCATAGTATGTCTCTGACGTAATAAAAATGAAGGCACAGTCGCAGTTTAGAAATTGCCCTTCAAGTTTGAGCTGGCTAGAGTGGAGTTTCAATGAATGCCAATGGACAGCATGAGTTGCAAACAAATGGTCATATTGTGAAAACTATCAGGACTATGGCTTAGCCGTTGACATGTTTAGTGGCAGCAGGGATAGCTGAACGTTTTGATATAAGATTTGTGTAGGTGGGCCTGAAAATGAGGGAGTGGTGGCAGTTTAGAAATCATGTCCTGATTTTTCAGCTTTTGCCAGCTCCCACTCTAGTTTTGAACATTTTGCCATTCATTCCTATGGGACCAATTTCGCCACAAGAATGACGATATTCCGTGAACCATTTGGCGAAACATTGCAAAAAGTAATAGCACACCAATCGGGAACAATCCGCACGTTTCGGTATATTACTGTCTATGTAGTGTAGCAGGCTTATGCAATGTATGATCATATAATGTAACTAAATCCCCATACTTTTCATATATAGTGCTTAGTTATGTCTCCTCTTGTTTTACCTTGTATCTTTTGTCTTGTTTTATTTTGTCTTGTATTCCCAGTTCATGTACAGTCCTGTCCTGCCCTGTTCTTGTTTTCCTCATGTCTTGTGTACATGTTCTGGGTTCTGCTTTCTGTCCTGCTCTGGTTCTGGGTTCTCCTAGTTTTGTCTTGTTTTCATGTATGGTGCTTATCTCTAGTCTTGCCTTGCTTCTGTACTGGATACACTCCTGCTGCAGAGCCTCCCTATTCAGCTCCTGGGAGGTCTGCTTAATTCCAAGCTCCTAGATCCTGGGATCCGCTGTAGCTGCATCAGGGTTTTGGTATGTGGCTGCACAAACGCTGGTGCTCAACACCAGGGGGCGTGCGGTTACCAAGCACCAGACCCTGACCTATCCACTCTCATGCTAAAGACTCCCACTTATCATCAGGCATTCTGGGTCCCGGTCCAGGCCCCGCCGCCCGGACAGTGTCTGGGTCCCGGGCACAGGACCGCCACCCTGACACTGGGGAAATTTCAGAATTTGCTAAGACCCCCAACGGTGACATCGTCCAGTGGTCCAGGGTGGGCAAACAAAGGTAAGTTCTACTTGCCTGAACCTGTCCCTTAACTGGTAATACTTGGGGTATGACGTGGATAGAGGAATAACTTAAAAAGCAGATAGAGATAAAATGGTATAACCGGTCAGAAACACCCGAGAGAGTTGCAAACTCAATTTCTTAGAGAGGAAAAAAGCATTTAATGCAAAACACCAACAAAGATACTATCTGTTAGTGAAAGAAGCCATGCTGGGCAAAATTCAAAGTCATACCTTTAAAATCACCATGCACCTTACTCACTAATCAGAGAGATGTTTTGAGTTAGCAGTATGAACAATATATTAACTAAAATAACACAAGAAATGGAACTAAATGGAAATATCAAGTGGTTTGGAAAAGAGAACTGTATTTTTTTTAAATTATTGTTTTCATTTTTATTTTTGTAGTGCAATGACAGATAAAGGCAAATGTAAGCAAGTTACTGTGAGAAATTCAGATGGTTTCAATGCGGGATATGGTAGCAAGTAAAATATGTACATGCACCCATAGGTTGTTGCACATAATAAACTGGCTTCCGCATTCTCACTGCTTGCGTGAGAGAGAATCGTATTTATTTTCCATTCAAAAATGTTACTCATTTAAACATTCCTAACAAACTTTTGATCTGCTAGATTTAAATATAATTTTTTTTGTCCAGAAAAGCAATGTAATAGGCACATATTGGATTGTTGTTGCGTCAGTGCTCAGTACAGAAGATCTGATGGTGATAAATTAGTTAATTTAACAAATTTTTATTTGCGAAAAATATATAAGGTGATAAAGTTTGCCTAAAGATTTCCTTGTAACCCTTTAGAGGACGATTGTCTTGTGAATCATATCCCTTTGGAAATTCCAGCTCTTTCCCCGGGAGCTCCCACATCAGACAGGATAAAGCAGGTACGAGCTTTAATTTGTAAACTATTAACTTGACGATTCCATATTTTTAATGCTGCTTCCTTTCCTTCCATCAGCTTCAACATTCTAGTTCATATTTTTGCAGTTTTTGAACAACAAAAATTGTTATTGGTGACAAAATGAATATATGAATTAAATGTGAGTCTAAAAAGTGCTCCGTTACTTTATTAATTCCAGTGTGGCTGCTGGATTGCTGCTGCTGGGCTGGCTCCTGTGCTGCTGGGCAGACAGGAAGTTAATGGAAGCAACAAGGGAGCGGTAATCTTCCTGCTCTGTTCCCTTGTGCGCCGCTTAGTTATGCTGGGAGCTGGAGTGATGTCATATCCTGCCTCCCAGCAGCACAGAAGGGCACGCGAGGGAGAAGAGGAAGACCTCAGAGGACAGTGCTCCCTCGCCACTCACTAGCAATAACAGCCGCCGCCCACCTCGAGGGGTTGGGGAGGGAGGCTAAGTTGGCCAGCCAGCTCTTGTAGCCCCAATGAAAGAGGCTAACAAGGCATCTGCCACATTGCCACCCCTCTGAAAGTGCCGCCCAAGGCAAATGCAGCACTGATGAGGACTTTGGAAGGCATTTCTCCCTGTACTAGAGTGTTTCTGCAAATGGGAAACACCAGATGTCTGGTGGGGCTTCAGTGTGCAGTATTTCTTTTCAGAATACATAAAGGGAATCAACACAGTAAAGGAGGAGACTATATTTAAAAGAAGAGAAACTACCAAGAGGACATTGTCTTAAATTAGAGGGGGAAAGGTTTAAAAATATCAGGAAGTATCAGTTTACTGAGAGGGTAGTGGGTGCATGGAATAGCCTCCCAGCTGAAGTGGTAGAGGTTAACACAGGGAAGGAGTTTAAGCATGCGTGGGATAGGCATAAGGCTAGCCTAACTATAAGATAAGGCCAGGGACTAATGAAAGTGTTTAGAAAATTGGGCAGACTAGATGGGCTGAATGGTTCTTATCTGCTGTCACATTCTATGTTTCTATGTTAATGCATTCATCCCACATCACCTGTAATTAATTTGGGCACACCAAGCATGAAGCTCATCTCTCAACTGAATTAAGAACCTTACATGGAATGTTTGTGTAAATGTGCATTCCTCAGCATAGACAGCTGTGGTTTGGTGTTGTACAGACAAATAAACTACTAGTACGGCATAATAAATAATACAATTAGACACAATTTCTCAGACTAAAGGTGCCACCTGCTGCCAAATTGTGAAAATGCACATTTACAGAGTATGCCAGTGGTTCTTCATTTTCTTTATACATACATATTTCTACTGGTATCCCATTCTTCAAAAGTATAATTAGCACAGTGTGTCATCAATCATTTATAATAAATGTAACAAAACACATTTGTTGTTTAACTTTGCCAGGCTCTTCCTATTGTCAAAGATGTTTCAACATAATTGCCTAAGGGCCAATAAAATAGACATTAAATGTGATACTGCTACCAGCTAAATTTCATTAGAGATCATTGGTAGTATTAATTCCTTAGCACCAACCAGTGCAAGCAACACAAATTCCTGATAATGTGATTGAGTTTAAAAAGCAGAATGATATCCATTTGAATCAGGTTTCCCTATTTCTGTTAGGCTTTGGGGGTGTAGGTTTTAAAAGAATATTGGGTGGGGCGCTCTCCACTGCATTGTTATTGTTTTTTTAATTTATCTCTTTTGTTTTGCATTTATACATTCACAGATGTTGATAGAGTAGCATTAAAATATATGATGGTGGCAGGGTGGGGGGGGGGGAGGTAGGGCCGGACCGCCATGGTGAATGGTTGCATGTTATATAATCACCTGAGGGCAGCAGCCTTTTATCACTGACAACAGGGCAGTTTTCACTCCTCATGTGTCAGAAATCTGAGGCTAAAAGCCCAACCAACTGCTGATGTTGTTCCTGCACTCGGGACTCGGAATTTTGGCTCCTTTGTGAGCAACTCGAGGCCTCCTGAATTGCAGCCTACCTGGCCTGGGAGTGGGGTAGATGGCTGCTGCCCTTCCCTATTGCTAACCTGCTACACACCGCCCCTTTGACATAATCTGTTGTTTACCAAGAATATTAAATAGAGGAACCCTTCAAGCCATGCGGCTTGCCCAAGATGGCCGCAGCATTGAAACTGCAGCATAACCAGTAGAGCCTGACAGGCCAAGATTGGAGAGAAGCCTTCAACAAAAGATTTGATGCAATCTGTCAGGTCTTTTGGGACTGTCTCACCAAGCGACAACCCACACTTACCCCTCCTGTGCCGCAGACAACCCTGGAAGCAGTGCCGGTTGCCTGTTCCTCTTCTAGGCTGGGTGCCCAAATGGAGTTATCTCCAAGCCGCAGTCGATATACCTGTGGGGAAGCCTGATTTTCCAGAAAACATGTGGGCCCACGATCCAGCTGCTCAAAGCAGGAGGATCCATGGACTAAGGGCACTGGCTCGGAGCCGCAGCTACAGAGAACTGCAGCACTCAGAGCTACTGACCACCCGCCTGCTGCACATACTGCTTAACATGCCTGTGTGGAGCAGAGGGGCCAAGACACCAGACATGGAGACGGACTTTCTGCTATGGCCCGCAAGTGGTGTGGATTGATCTCAGCCGACAATATCTGCTCCTGTACCTCGCCTGTTGCCGGAAAAACACTAATTAAATGCTCAGCGCTGATGTTTGCTGGTTTGCCTAACACTCCACTACCTGCTATCATCCAGTGGCACCATGCCTATATTACCAATGTTTTTTCTTTCTTTTCTTCTTAGTGTTTGTCACAGTAAACTACAGCATAATGTCCATGCGATGTATGATGTATTCCGGTCTAAGCGTAGATATCGACTGTTGTTTATTTTAATTACTCTAACATAAAGAGAGGCTTGTGCAATCTTGTGGCAACGAGCAACATGTTTATCTAGCATCATATATTTTCCAGTGTAGACCTAGCCTGTTTATTATATTGTAAAAATGTGCAGTTGTATCAAATTACCTTGTCTGTTGTCTAATCGAAACGCTTACATTAGCTATAGTGGCATTGTGAGCTTGTTGTAATCTTTTGCACTACAAAAAATTAGAATTAAAATATATATATGATGGCAAATTGGTAGTATACACATAGTTATGACAAATATAATGAGAAAAGAAAAAGCATCAATCAATTGCTATTTTATGGGGATGACTAGGGGATTGGGGGACCCTAGCCACAGAGGTGGGGTATGACATGTCATTAAAGCATTGTTTGAAAAAAACAAAGAGTAAAATGCACACACAATAAAAGGGGGAATACTTTCTGCAGGGTGATCCAGAAAGGGAGGGCCAATACCTGAAGACATCAAATGGATGAAAAGAAATATCCAGGCACACCTGAGGTTTCTTTTAAAAGGCAGTCTTTATTTGAAACAAGGAAGTGGAGACAACGTTTCGGCTCCTCTCTGATAAAGGCTTAGAGAGGAGCCAAAACGTCTTTTTGATGACAGTATAGCATTACCAACCCCTTATTTATTTTATTTAATTGGAGCCCCTACTCGCGGCCCATGGGTGGGGCACTGGGGGGAACACTAAGTCCTTCCCCCTCATTTTATATTTAGGGCCTCCACCCGCCACCCATGGCTGGCAGCCAGGAAAAGGACATCAGTTCCTCCACCTTAGTTATTAATATTAAAGCCCACACCTGCATCCAATAGATAGGGCAGGTGGGGGACAATAGGTCCTCCACCCTGAATATAATATTACCCACCTGCTGACCATGGCTGGGAGTGGGGAGACAAAAGGATGTCCCCTCCTTATTCTATCAAAATTCCCATCTCCTGGCCATGGGTATGGTACATGTTCTCCTACAACCCCATGTTATTTCACCGACCCCATCCCCACGGGATGCAGCCTTTACTAGCCACTAGGCAGCATCTCTTAAAACTCCCCCACCCAATGCCCACTGTGGGGACCGTGTTTTTCTTCTTTTTTTAATGTAGCTCCTGGCTGGCAACTGCTGGCCAGCTGCTAAATAATTAACCTTCTAGTTGCTGAATGATTTGTAACTATTCGTTTAGTTTGGATTTTTTTTTTTAAATGTAACACTCGGTTTACATATCAGACATCTGACGGCATTTGGTCTGGCTGACATCTGGACCAAGTTCAGGCCTGTTGAGGGCCTGTATTTTTAAATCTGGAATTTCATGAGCAATGTCCGGATTTTGCAGTCAGAATGACTCCATATGCAACCGAGCCATTCAGACTTATGTGAACGACCCCATTAATTTACATCTACACGCTCCCTATACCAATAACCAAGGTGTGTCAGTGCACACTAGAGGGCAGTCTTTAGCCATTTAGCTAGTTTGCATTCGCAACATAAGTAGTGTTCGACAAGAGCAATCAAAATATTTTTCCACTTCTGGGCCTAGTTAAAGTATTTCTCTGCCTCAGTAAAATTGAAACAGATATACTTAAAGTCTGAGCCATTGGTGGCCATTAAAACAACACTTGAAACACAATGATTTACAAAACAGCAGAACGTTATATCCATTATTTAACCTGTCAAGGATCAAGGTAACTGTCTAATTCATAAGCAAAACAAAACCTAGAATTCTGATCCATTCTTGTTCAACTGTAATTTTAACTTTCATGTTAAAGGGGCACTCTAAAAACAATTTTAGATAATTATGCAGATTTGGTACATAGATTATGCCCCTGCAGTCTAACTGCTAAACACACACATACACAAATATAAGTGGGATATACTGAGTATATATAGGCAGGAATAAGTAGAGCTATCACTAAGCTATATCCAAGTACCAGTTGTTCGACATCCCACTCAATTACCTTCTCATTCCCTTTACACATTACCAGTGGCTGCAATTATTCTTTTAATTCTCTCAGGCCATCACCTCCAAATTCCCCCTGCTACCTCTTGCCTGAAGTGCCCACTTAACTTTTATATTGTAAGGTCATGATCTATCTAGTTTTTTTCATAAAAGAGCTTCAGTGGCTAATTCTCAGCTCAGGGTCAGGGCCCTCTATACCTTGTATATTGGTCTAGTAATATGACAGTTTAGGCAAGGGTCTAGTTTGTCTTATAACAATTGTATACCGTATATACTCGAGTATATACGGTATGTAGTCTTTACTATAAACATATTGTGCTTAATAACATTTTATATGTGTTTAAATTCTAGCCTGAAGAAAATGACTGTCCGATAATGACTATCAACGCATTATCTGGTATGTACCTTATATATATGTGTGTAATTCCCAGGTATATTCATTTTATTATTTTCTTACATATATTAGGTTTGTAATATTAATGCAGTAAATAAGAATATATATTTCTTGACAGACAAGACAGTAGTAAAAAAATATATATCAAGAATTCCAGTTTGCAAATTATTTTTTAGTGTTATTTCAAATGACATTAAGACAACAGTGCACTAGTGCCAGGAGTCCTCTGGTACTGTCACATGGTAAGGAGTCAAATAAATGTTAATTGTATTAAAGCTTACCTGCGTCCCTTGATTACCTGCGGTCCTTTCGGGACTTTGGTTATAACTCTTAAGCGGATGTTTACCTTCTGCTTTAGCAATATCAACGTTGTCCTTATTTGAAGGTCCCAGCTCAGTCAATGAATGGATACCATTCGTTGACTGAGCTGGGACTTCAACTTTAGCAATGTAATTGAAGACCAGAAGGACTGCAGGCACCCAGGGAACCCAAATAAGTGCCAATTCATTTGAAAACGGATTTCCTTCCTACCATGGGGCTCCGCCAGGTAACTCCTTTCTCCAAAGCGCTACAGTTGACTGTATAGGTTATGGTGCTAAGACTACCCTTTAAATTATGGAATCATTTGATTAAATTTTTTTTTTCCAACCCTGCTTTTCTAGAGAAAAGCGAAGTATGGTTGCCCTAGGAAATGGCTATTGTCTCATTAGTAAAGAATCTTTCAGAATGACTTGTCCACTGATGTTCATTTGTGGGAGACATAGAGCCTACCTTTTTGAATGATTCATAAGGTTGACTTTGAGGTGCTCTGTTTATATTTTATCTGTTGAGATTATGCAATACACTTCAAAAATGTCTTTTTTATGTCAAAACCTTTCTCAAGTATTAAGCCTACAAATGAATCAAAACAATAGTTTGCTGTCCAACAATATTTTTTTTTTAAATTTAGATTTAACAAAAATCACCAACTTGACGCAGGAAAGCAACGAGACCTGCTGTTTCCCACCAACTATTAGTGACTTGCTGAATGACGAGGATATGCTGTATACTCTCCAGATTAAGTTAGATCCTTGCTATCCTACTGTGAAAAACTGGAGAAACTTTGCCAGCAAGTGGGGAATGAGTTATGATGAGTTATGCTTTCTGGAGCAAAAGCAACAAAGTCCTACTATTGGGTTCCTACTACGCAACAGTGAAAGGACTGTGGATCAGCTGATTGACTTGTGCAAACTCTATAAGCGGGTTGACGTCCAGAAAGTGTTATCGAAATGGGTCAATGTGGAATGGCGTCTGAGGCTACATAATAATTTCAAAAGCAGTGTGTGAACTAAAATACTTGTGGACTTATTTTGCTTCCATATGCATCATTATTATGGCATTTACTGTATGTCTGGTCTAGCCAATAGAAGGGAATTCGTCTTAAAAAAAAAAAAAATGAATATGATATGGTAGCATTATATTATTATCCTATACCTTCAAAGTGGCAAAATATATGCATTCTTGGAGTATCTTTCTTGCTGGTATTTCCATTCTAGACAGGAGATGGCTAACCTGATACTTAATATGTAAGTAATTATAAAGAGACTCAGACTAAGAAATAGATTAAAACTGATATGATTTCACTGTGTACAACTACAGTTTAAATATCCCGGACAAGTCCTCCCTCTGGGCGCCATCAGCCAATCCCAGAGCGAGTTCGGCTTCAACTCTGCTGTTCCTCAATATGTGTTACTTTAACTCCACTGTTCCTCATTATGTGTTTTTTTTTCTTTTTCTGTCTGAGGATTTCAACTATGAGTGCTCTATTATCTTCCTACTTGCAAATAACCTTCTTTTCAATGTAAATACTGAACCTTTCTTTAAAACAACCTTTATTAGAATTATCCAATAAATAAAACATTTTAAAAAAGAATTATGCATATTCCATCAGTTTATAAAGTGTTAAAATCTAGGGGGTGGGGCCTAAGCGTCATGGCAGCAGGACGTATCTTGATGGAGCTTCTACTCCTGAACTAATATTCTACGAGCTATTCAACTACTACTAGTCTCAGTTGACACTGAAACATCTGTACCCAGAGCCTTTACTGGACAGGATGATTTTGATCGGTACTTTACAGTGTCTGCTCCTTCTTTGGGGTACGTGAGTGGCCGGATGACCGTGGTCCACGCAGCATCGACCCTTACCAAACTCATCTATGGGTTATCCTGGCCCCCACTGGACTGTTCTGTATACAGTTCCTTACCGTTGAGCATCTAATCCCGCCATTTCCGGCAAAACAGTGCACACACAAGATGGCGGAAGCTTTGCTCCCATCATGGAAGGCTAGACGCTGCCACAGACAACTCTACCAAACTCCACAGAGTACTCCCTCTTGAAGCTGGAAGGTATTTTCAAATGCTTTTGGGCAACCTTGACGGTACCACCCAAATCTAAAGCTGGGGATCGGAGGAGTAACTGGCAAAGAGTTAGAGTGCCCCCTTTGGGTACATCATTTAAGCAAAATCTTGTTTGGCCCCAAATTATCACCCACATTGGTAGAGGTCCATCCGCAATAAGAGGTTAGTAAACACCAGGACCCACTCCTCTCCATAACATATGAGGGACTTGGACTTTGCAAGTTCATGGTATTGAAATGCTGTCCTACACTTCATCTGGGGCAAAGGTAAAGCCCTACTTTACTCCAGTTCTGCAGCTGCTCTCCATTACCCTCCTATTAATCCCAGTGGCCTGCCAACTTCTGGAATCGGGTAAATTTGGACTCATGTTATGTGAAGGCCTTTCACTTCAGATTTACTATTACATAATCAAAGTGAACGTCATCTTGTTCTGTTGTTTTTTGACATGTTGCCTTTTCTTTTTGTTTTCACTGGCATGATGCTTGTAGCACTTTAATGTGGACGTAATGTCCAGTCCCAGTGGTATATTCTCTATGGAATGTGTACCTCGACCATGTAACGGTGTCCAAGCATACTCCTAAGACACTGTTTAGTAACTGGTGCTTTTTATGCTCTCTCAGTTGCACACTCTGCATCTCCCTTACATATCTCTCAATTTCTTACTGACTACATTACCTTTTATGAAACTGTGGCCATCTAAATTATTGCTTGTATACTCTTTCATTATTGTTTTACTTTATAAACATTAGGCTGTTTTTTCTAGGAACTTAGTTTAACATGTTGCAATTCTTGTTCATGTGCCATCATTCCTAATGCTACTTTATATCTTGTATAAATCTAATGTCTCAATAAAAGAACCATTGACAAAAAAAAATTACAATCTAAATATAACCACATCAATTTATTTTTTTATGGTGGCTAATATTTTTGTTAAAAATAAATATGGGCAAAAGAGAATGTGTGAAACTGGAGAACGTCTAAACTAAACTTCTGTTTCTGGTGTTAATGGACTGACCTAGAAGAACCGATATTCCCTTAGCCAAACGAACATTGATGCTCACCAAAAACAAATTTACCTCTCGCTAACCACAGAAATGCACAAATTCTGTGATTCCTTGTGGGATACAGAGGCTTTGAGTCAATAGAGGGATTTTCCTTGAATTCCACAATATCTATGATTTTTAAGAAGATGTGAAAACGAGGCAATTTTGACAGCACCTTTAAGACTGATAAGACCATGGTTACTCTACTCCAGAGGATAAGTCCAGAACACCCATAGAAGTTTCTAATAGTTCCTAATCTTGCAACTAAGTGGTTGGTGAATCACCTTCCTGCACAGACCCTAAATCGTGTAGCATGGATTTTGAATGACTGCACCTCCTAAAAGTTTTATGTCAGCCAGAAGTAGAAACATTACTGAACTCCAGGAACCTGTCCATATCATATAGTTTTACTTTTTGGTATCAGAATCTTTTTTCAGGGGCTTCATAATGTATTTTCAATTTTAGGGATGCACTGAAATGAAAATTCAGGACCGAAACCGAAAATTCTGAATGCCCTTAGCCGAAAAATTAAACTGAAAATGACTTTTTTTCCCCAAATGAGTTTAAAATTGTTTTTTGTATCATTTTATTAATATTAGACTTTTTAATGAATTTAATGAATCTAATATGAAAAACTACAAGCCAATAAAGTACAAGCCATGTCTCTCTCCCCCTTCTTCCATCTTTCACTACCCATTCTTCTATGTCTCTCACTTTCCCCCTTCTTTCATATCTCTCTCCCCCCTTCTTCCATCTTTCACTCCCCTTCTTCCACTCCCCTCTTCTTCCATGTCTCTCACTTCCCCTCTTTTCCATTTCTCACTTCCCCCTTCTTCCATGTCTCTCTCCCCCTTCTTCCATCTTTCACTCCCTCCATCTTCCATGTCTCTCACTACCCCCCTCTTCCATGTCTCTCTCCCCCTTCTTCCATCTTTCACCCCCCTTCTTCTTTCCACTCCCCTCTTCTTCCATGTCTCTCACTTCCCCCGTTTTACCATCTCTCACTTCCCCCCTTCTTCCATGTCTCTCTCCCCCTTCCACCTTTCACTTCCCCTTTCTTCCATGTCTTTCACTCCCCCCTTCGTTCATATATTTTACTTTCACCTCTTCTTAGGTGTACCCCTCTTCAGTGTATCCATACCTCTCCTTCCCAACCGGCACCTGTCTCCCTCACAGAGCCAACACCAGCTCTGCACACACACTGACGGCCCCCTTCCCTGCTGTTGTCCCTCTCCTGGCAAGGACGGGTGGCTCATCAAAATCCTCTGCATGTTTTAAAGTGAGCGCCGGGTAGTCACATGACACTCGGTGCTCTAACGCAGAGTGTGAATGAGAGGCGCTCTCTGCTGATTTAGTGCATGGGGATCTCTTATGGAGCTTTCCATGAAGGATCACTTTAGAAGCAAAGGGGAGTAAGGGCACAGCGCAAGAAAGAGCCCTCAGTGCTGCACAGAAATAAAATACATCACCGAGCCTTATCAGTTAGCTGCAATGAGGGTGGTCGGCGTCTCCCTTCTCCCACAATCACTTTGCGCCTGGGCGTGGTGCACCCTGTGCACCCGCCCAGGATCAAGCCTGGTGTAATTTTTGGCAGATTTGACCCTTTTTCGCCCGAAATGGGATAGGCCATAAATTTTGGGAGCCGAAATTACGGTGCATCCCTAATTTTCAGATCCAGATGCTAACAGATTCAAAGCTTTCAGAAACTATTATTTGTAAAGCCAAACGTACAAAGTTGGCTACCTCATTTTAGTTTACCTATGTGTACCATAGAGAAATATAAACCAATAAAATTCCACTTGTCAAGTATTGAGTTGTGAGTTTATCAAATTAGGCTTGTAAAAAAAATGTAATATCAATTTAATGGAACATTTAATGGAGCATTCCAGGTATTCACACATGTTAGAGAAACACTCTAATGGAAAAATACTTTATTTCTTTATTTTTTTAAAAATAATTTAGTATATATATATTTTCTCATTGGGGGGTTTACCTAAAAACAGAATGCAAAAATTGCAGATCTGCTGTCTATGCCTTTGCAAGCCCTCCTTCTAACACAGACCAGACTTTCTGTGGCAGTACAATTTTTTAAAAAGCCAACAAAAAACACACACTTCACACATAAATTGCTTAAAGTGTGCGGAATGTTTTATTTAGTTTGATGGGGTATTTTTGCATATTTTTCAGTGCATATATAATGTAATGCATTAGACAAACATGTAATTTATAGCAGGGAATATCAATTTGACTACAGAAAAGTGTTTAAAAGGACACTCGAATGCCAAAATACAAAAAAAAAACAAAAAAAAAAACAGCAACAAAAAACACTATTTAGTATGGATACTCTAATAAAAATATGCATGCATTTCATTATGCATTTTTTTTAAATTGAGGGGTGCATCTAAAAACAGATTGAAAAAGCTTCAGATCTCTTGTCTGCAACCTTTGCAAGCCCACCAGCCCAGCCTAAACTTTGTGTGGTTGTCCAATTACAGGCTTACCAATGAAGCTCAATGAAAAGTCTTTGCAAGGCAGGTACTCTGGGCAATTGTCTGCCTCTTGAGTTTAGCTCCACTGAGCTAACATCCAGGAAGTAACAGGTCCAGACAGCCAGGGGGTCATAACAAGGTTAATTTATAGAAGTGGCAATTTCTATTGAAATCTGCTCATTTTATAAATTGAAAAAAAGAGGACACACTCTTCACACATAAAGCACTTCATGAAGCTATGGTGTTTATGGTGTTTGGATTGTTCCTTTAATCTAACTAGGTGTGTATCATCTGTCATAAACTCTCAGAAAATATTGCATTCTCTCAATGGGAAGAGAAGATTGGAGATGAATCTATAGAAACAAATAGATATTCAAGATTCCATAAAGTGCACAGAGTGGTGACTGTGCGCTAGAGACACGTTCTTGCCATAGCTGATATGGTACAACTCCTATGCAATAAATAATTGACATGCAAAAACACAACACAAATACTTCAAATACCTAAGTGTCAGGTATTATTAGAAAACTCGTTTTTCAGGTTTGCGTCAAAACTCTGTTAAAGCATTTACCCTAAAGCCTAAAGGAATTCTTTAAAGATATATCTATATTTTTAAAAAATCTGTCTTTCATTTGTTAAACATTTTAGATATTTATTTGATATGCAATAATCAGTAAATAAAATGTCCTTATCTTAGTCTACTGAAATATGGTGGAAAGTTTGACTGTTTCTACTGACCTGTTTAAAAACTCGTGCTCAGAGCTTTATAAAACAATGTTCCCGGTGGCCCACAGATGCCAGAAACTTGAAATATCAGCTAAAGAAAGCAGAGCATTAGACATCAGATAGGTATTGCATTAACCCCTTAAGGACCAAACTTCTAGAATAAAAGGGAATCATGACATGTCACACGTCATGTGTCCTTAAAGGGTTAAAGCATCCAAACTGCTCAAGTGTCTCTGGAACACGATATGAGGTATGAGATGTGTGCAATGATATGGAAGCCTGTTAGTTGTCTCCAATGTTTTGGACTTGTAAAGTTCAAACGTTTCTTAAAGTCATCAGTGTCAAGAGTTCATGCAACATGCATCATCAGAGACAACTCATACAGGGCAGTCTTTAAGGAGGGGCAAAAGGGGCAGCTGCCCCGGGCCCAGTTACTCCTGGGGGCCCTAAGGCAGCTGCCCCATGGGCCCCCTGCAGCACCTGAGGTAATCAGGGGCCACAGCCCTTTAATACTGCTTTGGACCGGGCCCTTGTAATATGGCGGTTGGCTGAATACAAACACACAGCTAGCCCCTCACACACTGCCCTGTGATCCCTTTTCTTCTCCGTGGCATGCTGGGAGGAAGTGAGGTCAGATCACTTCCTCCTCAGTGCCGCTGGGGAGGAGGCACACACCACATGGAGGAGGATGCAAGCATTGTTGGGGAGAGGGACTGAGAAAGCTGATGGCAGACTCCCATCAGCCTGGGCCAACAAGCTCCCACTGGAACCCAGGGAAGCCACCTTTCTGTACCCAAAAGGTGGCTAAATATGGAGGGTGGCTAAATATGTTTTGTTTTTTTGTTTTGCTTATTTCTGATATCACTTTTATTCAAGTGTTGGTGTTTGTAATGTAACACACAGGGAATAAGTACATGTTAAAAATCCTAGAAGAACCTGACAGTTCCCTATTAAATATAAATTTTAAAAGTATTTATTTTAACATATTATTGCATCAAGTGTTATCAAAGGCTGTATACCATTTCCAAATGTCACTTTTGCCAAATTCTGGACCAGGGTATGTAAGAACAGAGTTGAGACATTATAATGGCCAAGGTTGCTGGGAGTTGTCTGTCCAAGAGCTGCTAGAAGGCAAAGATTAAAATATGTAAATGTACACATATATGTGTGTGTGTGTATCTGGCTGTGTTTGTGTCAGTGTGTGTATCTGGCTGTGTTTGTCTGTGTGTCAGTGTTTCTGTGTGTATGTATACCTGTGTATGTGTACTTGTGTGTCAGTGTGTATGTGTACCTGTGTGTGTGTTGTGTGTGTATGTATGTATGTGTCAGTGTGTGTAAGTGTGCATCTGAGTGTGTGGTAATGCATACATCCCAGCATTTTAATGCCAACACAAATACACTCCATCTCTAGCACTGTACACATATACACCCCTGCATTTATACCTTTATATATGTGTGTATTTGAGTGTGTGTGTACATACCTGTGTCAGTGTGTGTGTGTGTGTGTGTGTGTACCTCTGTGTGTGGATGTGACAGTGTGTGTGTGTATCAAAGTGCTTGTATCTGTGTGTCAAAGGGTGTGTATCTGAGTGTGTGTGTGTATGTGCCAGTATGTGTCAAGGTGTGAGCCTGTGTCAGTGTGCCTATATGTGTATCTGCGTGTTAATGTGTATGTGTATGTGTATATGTGTTATAGAAATCACACAACATGCAAACAGAGCCCTGCAAACACAAACATTACATACAAATACACCAGTTTGCTGAAACACCAATACTACACACAAATGTACACAACACTACATCCAAACAACCCCCTGCATGCAAATACAAACATTACATACAAACACATTCCTGTATTAAAACGCTAAAATTATATACAAACACCAACTCTACACACAAAAGTACACCTGCATTTAAAAGCCAACACTACAGTCAATCACACATAACTGCATTCAAACGCAAACACTACACACAAGTACACCACTGCATTCCAATGGTAACAGTACATACAAATACACCCCTACATGCACACATACACTCTATACAATAACATGCTGACATTCAATTGCACAAACACTGCTCAAAAATACAACCCTGCAAGGATGGTAGATCCCCACCTGGCATAGCCTCGCAGGAGTTGTATGACAGATGGGGATCTATCTTTTCTTTACTCTTGTGCTACAGGGCAGGCCTGAATTATTATTTTTTTTTGCACCAAGGCACTCTCTACATTAGTTTCACCTCTAGGTTGGGGTGGAGGGAGTGATTGCATGCCCAGGGGGCCCAAGCAGATACTTGCCCAGGGTCCAATCAATATTAAAGACGGCCCTGTACCCAGCTGTGCCTTAGGCCGTTATTAGCCCTGTTCCTATTTTGAATAAAATATAACTAACAAACCTCTGTTCCCTTTTGATTTTCTTTCATTCCCAACATGTAGATTACCATCTTTTATTTACCTTCAAATTGTCGATTTAGGCGAATGGGTGGGTGTTTTATCCCATGAGGTTCACTGTTGGATAGCAAACAGTTTGTGTCCTTTCCTGACCCAGAGCCCTAGCATTACACCCTCATGGTCTGCCAGAGCACCATACAGGTTCTGATATCATCGTGTCAAGCAGTTCATTAGATAGCGATGGAACTTGAGGGAACACTGCTTATGGTATGTGCAAAGACAATATATCTTCTCTGTCCTGATTTTTCAATCTAGGGCAACTGAGCCGTTCATTCCCGTTTGGGTCAATGGCTCAGAATAAAATGCATTAATTTCCTATAAGTGGCACCAGCGCTGAATGCTAATTGACTACAACACAAATTTCGTGGTTACTTATTCCCACTGGTCTGTATCACTCCAATAACCAGGGGCGGACTGACAGGTCGGGCAGATCGGTCGTGGACCGAGGGCCCGAGCCAGTCAGGGGCCCGGCAGGACAGCCATGCTCTGGCTGGGGAGATCTATCTTTGATCTTCCCAGCCAGAAAGCAGTAATTCCTCCCTCCCATGTAGTGTCCCCCTGCCATCCCTTCAGAGTTAGACCTGGCAGCCATCCTGCTCTGCCTGGTCTCCTCCGTGCTGTACTCTGCATGAGAAGGGAAGAGGCGGGGCCGGAGGATAGGAAGTGAAGTCACTTCCTGTGCTCGCTCCTCTGTCCTGCGGAGTGCTGAGACCAGGTATGTGCTTTTTATTAAGATTTTATACTTCCCTCCCTGTATCTCTCACAGCCCCCCCTCCCTGTATCTCTCACAGCCCCCCCTCCCTGTATCTCTCACAGCCCCCCCTCCCTCCCTGTATCTCTCACAGCCTGCCTCCTCCCTCTATAGTACCCTACACAGCCCCCCTCCCTGTATTATACCGTGCACAGCCCCCCTCCCTCTGTGTATCTTGCACAGCACTCCCTGTCTCCATAATAACCTGCACAGCACTCCCTGTCTCCATAATAACCTGCACAGCCCTCCCTGTCTCCATTATACCCTGCAGCCCCCTGTCACAGCCCCCACCTCCATGTACCCTGCACAGACCCTCTCCACGTACAATGCACAGCCCCCCTCCCTACCTTCCATGTACCCTGCATCCCTCCTCCCTTTCTCCATGCACCCTGTGCAGCCCCTCTCCCTCCATTATACCCTGCACAGCCCCTCCATCCATTATACCCTGCACAGCCCTCCCTCCATTATACCTGCACAGCCCCTCCCTCCCTTATACACAGCCCCCTCCCTCCATTATACCCTGCACAGCCCCCCTCCCTCATTTACACCCTGCACAGCCCTCCCTCAATTATACCCCTGCACAGCCCCCCTCCACACTCACTCAGACCTATACACAGTCACATACGCACACATAATCACAGATGTACACTCACAGACATACACATACAATCACAGATTTACACAGATACACACACACACACACACACACACACACAATCAGACTCCCACACACATAGAATCACATACATACACAATCACAGACCTATACACACAATTACAGGTATACCCACACACAATCAGACCTATGCGCACAATCACATACATTCACACACAGTCAGACCCATACACACATAGTCACAGACCTATACGCACAATCACATACCTACAAACTCATCAGACACACACAAATAATCAGAGATATACACACACAATCACAGACCCACACACATAATCACTGACTTACACCTACGCACAGACCCCCCACCACACACGCAAAATCACTGACAAATCATTCACAAAAAATTACATTTATCACTGTGTCATGTAGTGTGTGTAAATATACACATACATACCCCCCCTGCACCCTGCACAGAACCCCTTCCTGCACGCTGCAGTCTCCCTGCACCCTTCACATACCCTCTCTCCCACTGCACCCTGCACAGAACCCCTTCATCCCTGCACTCTGCAAAGACTCCTGCACTCTACACAGACAGACCACTTCCTCCCTACACTCTGTGCAGACCCCTCCCTCCCTGCACCCTGCACAGACCCCTCCCTCCCTGCAGAGACCCCTCCCTGCCTGCACCCTGCAGAGACCCCGCTTCCTGCCTGCACCCTGCAAAGACCCCGCTTCCTGCCTGCACCCTGCAAAGACCTCGCTTCCTGCCTGCACCCTGCAAAGACCCCCTCCGTGCCTGCACCCAGCAAAGACCCCCTCCCTCCCTGCACCCTGCAAAGACTCCATCCCTCCCTGCACTCTGCACAGACCCCTTCCCTCACTACATACTGCACAGACCCACTCCCTGCACCCTTCACAGCCTTCATTTCTCCCTGAACTGTACTAAGTAGAGCCCCTGTACCCACGCACATGACTGGGCAGCACGCACATAATATCTATGTATGAGGGCCTCGCAAAGAAGGGGAAGGAGTAGTAGCCAAAAAAAAAGCTTTGCACCAAGTAGGGGGCCCTTGATCTCCTATTGCCCGAGGGCCCTGTGAGTTGTCAGTCCGCCCCTGCCAATAACATAACACAAAAGATATTTATTGAAAGTAATTAATTTATTTGTTATAGCATAACATAACAGCTATCATTGTAGGACCTTTTGTTAAATAATAAAGTACAGAATTCCCAGAATGGGGTAAAGTTTGGTAAATTATAATACATAACAAACGCTATACATAAATGAATAAACTCACATATACAGAGAATACAACTGCCTTAAAAGTAAAAGGTAATGGTATAAAACATACTCAAGACTGTTTTATTTCCACATTTTATGACACAGGAGGTATGTTTAAATGTTTGTGATCTAATATCTAGGTTAGAACAGTGTTTTGTAATATTAGATTCCTTCTTTCATCACTAAAATATCAAGTCAGAAAGGTACATTTGCATTCATTTTTTTTAATCTTTCTTGATCTACCCAGAGTTAACTAAGTTTTACCAAAATCCTCTTGTTGCGCCAACAAGGCCTGTATAATGAATAATGCACATCGATCATACAGATGTGCCAAACACAGACACAATCTTTTCAGGGATTGGTGCATCTCTGTTCAAGAATGTCCATAGTAACAGGACCAATGGATGCTAACTCTGGTCTAGAGAGAAATAGTTGTTTGGGTCAACTTTTTTTGTAGCACTGGTATAGCAGTGGTATTTGATGGGTAACGTACTAGAATATAAATTGAATAGGTTTTATTCAGTACTGATACGAATGCCTGAGATGCTTGTTGAGAGTAATAGCATAGCAAATTATTCAAAGAGTACCTTTTGAACTAATTGGTGTTTATCAATATAATCCTACATACATAACATAATAATTATAATACATATATTTCTGCAAGTGCCTTGCACTCTTACTGTAAATGTCCCTGCTTGGGCGCTCCAGTGCTGCAATTCATGCATAAATACATTCACAAGCCAGTATGCACTGACAGGACTGCTTAATTCATGGTTTAAAATTCGGAACAAAGTACTGAAAAGTTGATCTTGAAGTCATGCACTCTATAAATAAAGAAGCACTTTCAACTATGAATTAGAAAAGTCCTGTGAGTTCATGCTATCTTGTGTGCGTGTATATATATATATATATATATATATAAATATATATGTTCCAAAACATTATAATAAAAATGTATTGGTTTGTTAAAAAAAAAAAGATCCGCAAGAGTGATCACCTTTTTTTTTTTATTATTATTCATTTCTCCACCACAAGCTGCTTGTCTAATGAAAATATAAAAACCATACTGATTGAACAAGACTTTATGGAAATTTGCAAGCAATTCATCACTCTTTAAGTATGAACAAGAACGAGTGAAGTGATTGGTTTCTCTCTCGAAAAAAGTCTTCGGCATAATGCTTGCAATTATAATAACAGTGTTGCACAAAAAAAAGTTCTACACAACAACATTTTTGTTTGCAGGAATAGGCAGAATTCAGCAAAACAGACATTATTTGCTTCATATAGAGAATTTTTAACATAGAAACATAGAATGTGACAGCAGATAAGAACCATTCGGCCCATCTAGTCTGCCCAATTTTCTAAATACTTTCATTAGTCCCTGGCCTTATCTTAAGTCTAGGATATAAGTGAACGTCTGTGCAATGTGCAGCCACAGTCAAAGGGTTGAGCATAATTAAGCACACATACACATATATTTTGATACTTGCTCTTATGTAACATAAAACAGCATATATGTTTTACTAAACATTATTGACTATAACCCTGTAATACCCACTTACCAGATTAATCACAGAAACAGGAAATTTCAATCAATGAAAACATTATCCTCATTAAAAGTCCTCCAAACATATGTATCAACTCTTTGTTACTGTGATGTTGTGAAAATTCTTGTCTAAAGAATTAATAACAACCATTTGATTTTTGTTCTTTTTTGTTGTTGTTTGCAATAGGTGTTCTTATGCAGTTTGTCCATAATGGAACTGAAGGTAGCAGAGTAAATTTAGAAAGTGGGAATTTACGATGTTTTTATTCTTGGACCTGATAAGTCAAAGTCAACGTCGGGCAAAGAGAAGTTGGATTCAGGAAATTTAAAGGGAAGCTTTGAGAGTGGACCAAAGCTCGTTTTGGGTGAATCTATTTCCACATTTGCACTAGGTACCTTAAACTGACTATTTATATCTTCCCCATTTTCTTCTGTTTGGCCAGTAAAAGGTATTTTCCAGTCTGGAGAATTCAATTGTCCATGTGGCAAGTAGGCATTCACAGGCATGTGGCAATGTTGGCATACGCCATCTTTGTTACCTCTAATTTGAGGCATATTAATATCTATAGCTGGCACCTCTGTATGGCCTGAAAATGGTTTCTTCCATTCTGGAACATTAAAACTTGCGGATGGAATTTTGTCATCAATGTCTAGATCGTTTAATCCATTAGTTTCCAGTTTTGGAGCAGAAAAATTCAGATTGCCTTTTACTTGGGGAATTTGTACATCTAAATCATTCACTGGAAGCACAGGAGTTTTAATTTTCAGAGGTTTAATGTTGGCAGAGGGCATGTCCACATTTATTTTAGGGGCAATTATATTGGCAGGAGGTGGATCTATGTTAAAAGAAGGGCTTTTTATTTGCACAGGTGTATCTCTCATTTTCATTTGGCCATCTGGTAAGTCAACACTAGGGCTTGGCATTTTCACAGAGGAGGTTGGAAATGTGGGTAATGATAAGGTGCCATCTGAACTTTCCATAGTAATCTTGGGTGCTTTAACTTGAACATTAGGTGCTTGTAAGCCACTTTCTAGTTCTGGGGCCCTCACTTTTAAATCAGCATCAGGAACATTGAATGTGGCACCTCTTGTTTTAATGCTAGCTGAGTTATCATTGAATGATGGACCTTCCATCTCTACATTTGCTTTTGGCAGTGAGGCATCAGGTATTTTGATTTTAGCATTATAGTCTGTTGACGGTGTTCGAGATTTTCCAAAGCCAGGAAACTTAAACTTTGGCAAAGTTGCCTTTTTTTCTTGACTTTTAAGACCGACATTTGGAGAACTGACATTCATATTGGGCAATGTGAGACTTCCATGTAAATTGGGAGGGGTAGGCTTATCAAACTTCACAGGATCTAATCCACCAATTTCAACATCCGGGAAGTCTGGTACATTAAATTTCCCTGGAAAAAGGCGCAAATTTGGCATCTTAAATTTTGGCTCTTTTAAATGAGCTTGTGGCATATCTGGAATTCTGACTGTGCCATGAGGCAAAGCCATATCTACAACTGGTTTGTTAATTTTTCCACTGACATTTATGTTGGGGCCAGAAATATGTGGACTTGGTAGGTCAACTGAGGGCACTGTAACTTGAGGTGGATTTATTTTTTGTTCTGAACCTTTTATATTTATTTGGGGTACATTCATATCCACTTCAGGAGTCTTTAATTGGCCATCTACTTTTAATTCAGGTGTTCTTAACTTTGGAACAGGCATTTGAAAAGAAGGTTTTGAAAATGAAGGCATATTCAGTTTTGGAGCATGTATATTTGGAACTTTTATTTGGGGTGCATTGATGTCTACATCTGGGGCATTTACATTTACATCTGGAGTTTTAACACTTGGATTTGACATTTGCAACGAAGGCAGTTTAATCGTTGGAGTATTTATTTTTTGCTCAGAACTTTTAAAGTTTAAAGAAGGCATTTTAAATTTTCGACCTTTTAAATCAGCTTCTGGAATATCTATATTTGCTTCAGGAACATTTAATCCCCCCTTCATTTTAGGTGCTGACAAGTTCACATTGGGAGTATTAATATCTAGACTTGGCCCTTCTAAATTTCCATCTACACTTGGAATGCCACCACTAGCTTCTACCTTTGGTGCCCCAAATGATGGTAATTTCAATTTGGGCCCATTGAACTTAGGCTCTGGGGTTTTAATATTTAGGTCAGTGGTCTTTAAATCCACATCAGGGATTGATAGATTAGCATCACTCCTTAATTTTGGAGGTTTAAAATCTAATTCAACATCAGGTATCTTTTTGGAACCAAATAAATTAAAGGTGGGCATTTTAAATTTTCCTTTCATGTCTGGTTTTGTAACATCAAGGTTAACATCAGGGCCTTCCACATTTGGAATTTTAAAATCAGATTTTGGAAGATGAACTCCTGGAGCTTTCAATTGTGGAGCATTTAAATCTGCATTGGGAAAATCAACATTTAATTTAGGACTTTTTAGTTTTGGAACATTTATATCTATATTTGGAAGATCAACACTTGCTTCTGGACCTGTTAATTCTGGGATGCCTATGTCAGCTTTTGGAAGATCAACTTTTACTTCTGGTCCCTTAATTTTGGGAACCTTTACATCAAATTTAGGAAGATCAAAGTTTGCATCTGTACCATTTAGCTTTGGAAGTTTTATATCTCCCTTTGGAAGAACATTCACTCCAAACCCCTTCAGTTTTTGAACATTTAAATCTGCTTTGGGCAGATCTATATTCACTTCTGGCACATTTCCTTTTGGTAATTCCAGATTTGCCTTTGGAACATCAACACTGATATTTGGACCTTTTAAGTTTGGTGATTGCAAATTGACATTTGGGACACCAATATGTGGAGTTTTGAAATTTGGAAGTTTAATGTCTGCCTTGGGAAGATCAACATCCACTTCGGGAGCTTTCAGTTTTGGGATTTGTATATCGGCTTTAGGAAGACCTACATTCAGTTCTGGTGTTTTCACTTTTGGCAACTGCAAATCAGCTTTGGGTAGGCTAACATTAAGTGTTGGTCCTTTTAGCTTTGGTGCTTTCAAATCAACTTTTGGAAGATTCAAATTCATCTCTGGCACTTTCAGTTTTGGCTTTTGTAAATCAGCTTTGGGAAGATCCATATTCACTTCTGGTCCTTTCAGTTTTGGCATTTGCAAATCAGCCTTTGGAAGATCCAAATTCACTTCTGGTCCTTTCAGTTTTGGCATTTGTAGATCAGCCTTGGGAAGATCCAAATTCACTTCTGGTCCTTTCAGTTTTGGCATTTGCAAATCAGCCTTTGGAAGATCCAAATTCACTTCTGGTCCTTTCAGTTTTGGCATTTGTAGATCAGCCTTGGGAAGATCCAAATTCACTTCTGGTCCTTTCAGTTTTGGCATTTGCAAATCAGCCTTTGGAAGATCCAAATTCACTTCTGGTCCTTTCAGTTTTGGCATTTGTAGATCAGCCTTGGGAAGATCCAAATTCACTTCTGGTCCTTTCAGTTTTGGCATTTGCAAATCAGCCTTTGGAAGATCCAAATTCACTTCTGGTCCTTTCAGTTTTGGCATTTGTAGATCAGCCTTGGGAAGATCCAAATTCACTTCTGGTCCTTTCAGTTTTGGCATTTTTAGATCAGCCTTGGGAAGATCCAAATTCACTTCTGGTCCTTTCAGTTTTGGCATTTTTAGATCAGCCTTGGGAAGATCCAAATTCACTTCTGGTCCTTTCAGTTTTGGCATTTTTAGATCAGCCTTGGGAAGACCAACATTCACTCCTGGTCCTTTAAAATTTGGGGTTTTCAAATCAACTTTGGGAAGGTCCAGATTGATTTCTGGTCCTTTAAGTTTTGGCATTTGCAAGTCAGCTTTGGTAAGATTCACTTCTGGTCCTTTCAGGTTTGGTGTTTTCAAATCAGCTTTGGGTAGATTAACATTCAATTCTGGTCCTTTTAGATTTGGGATTTGCACATCAGGTTTTGAAAAATCAACCTGTATACCTGGAGCCTTTGTTTTTAGATTTATGTCTGTTTTAGGAATGTCAACACTAAGTTCTGGACTTTTTACATTAGGAAGATCAGCTTGCACTTGTGGTCCACTATTTGTCCCTGCTACTTTATAATCACCAGTCTTCTTGGACGGGAAAAAATTAAGTGATGGCATCTTAAATTTAGAACTTTTCACATTTGGTTGCGATATATTCATATCTGGACTTACAACATGACTTGGTATGGATGGCATAGAGAGTTGCACATCTGGAGTGTTTAGCTTACCATCAACCTCTGCTTTAGTTGCAGGTAAGCTGATCTTTCCTTGCACCTTAGGAGTTATGTTGGTGTCAATGTCAGGGGTTTTCAGCTGTGTTTGTAACTTGAAAGAAGGATCTTTAGTGCTTATTTGTAAATCTGGAGTAGGAATACCAGACAAATCAATTTGTGGGCCCTGCAAGGTGTTAGATTTAAATTGCAAATTATTTTTGTCCGGTTTGGATACATCTTGCAAGGAAGTTGACCCTTTAAGGTATCGGCGAACCTTATTTTTAAAGATGTCATCATATACTGAAGCTCTTGTACCCTAAATAGACAAAGCAAGACAAAATATTATGAAACCAGTTAAATCATATACTTTAGTCAAACATGGCAAAGACAGAAACACTCACCACATGATCTGTTTTAAGAGCATATATACCAGTCTGAGGCACCATAGGCTCATTTTTTACATGTAGTTGAAATCCACCTTTGTATGGCTCTGCTTTTTTCAAAATATCCATGACCTCTTCTTTCTTCATGTTTTCAAAATAAATGGTGGCTCCAAGGAGAGCATCTCCTGAAAAACATACATATATATATATATTATTATTTTTTCTCATCATAGTGCATGCTTTTGTTGGTCAAACAATTTCACAAGTAGAGACAGATTCAAGCACTACCATCCTTTTATGAATGAAGGACAATGTCTGCAAGCACTGTAACAAGGTCTTACAATAAAAATAAACAGACTTATTTAACATTAACATTCAGTTCTCTGAATACTTCAGAAATATAACTTATGTTTTTGCTGGCAAACTGGATAGACTTGGACATACCCCATATCCAAAGATGGTAGGAGAGATACGCATCCATGTTGTGCAGGTGTGATGGTCATTAAATTTCTTACACTGACTTCCCTGGTCTAGGGGCTGTGAGACTGTAAGAGGGAGACTCTAGAACCATAACCTCTGTACCGAAAACGTTGCTGTGCTTAGATTGTCACTTCAACATTTTACCAGCAATCAGTATTCAGATAGATCCTGGGTTATCAATAGAAATCTCACTCTTCAAAACAAACACATACAAAAAAAAAAAAAAGGTAATAAAAAAATACTGTAGTCTTAAAATGCTATGATATAATGTTAAAAGATTAATAATCTTTTAAGGATAGAGCCCCTTTAGAACAAAGGTGCAAAATGAGTTTTTGCAACATAATCTCTGCCATGGCAGAGTTTGAAATTGAGATATCATTTAGTATTTTGTATCCATTCCTTTCCATAACCTCTATAGTTTCTCATGACATTTAGTATATTGTGTTTTTTTTTTCATCTTAAAGTGACACTGTAGTCACCAGAACAACTACATCTCATTGTAGTTGTTCTGGTGCATATAGTCAGTCCCTACAGGCATTTTCATGCAAACACTGTCTTTTTACATTACAGCCTATGGACACCTCCAGTGGCCACTTCTCATATGGCCACTGGAGGTGCTTCCTAGTCCAGTGCAGCACAGTGTGCAGCACTTACATTCAGCATCTCCAAGCTATGCATGAAGACGCTGAACTTTCCTCATAGAAATGCATTGATCAATGTATCTCTATGAGGAGATGCTGATTAGCCAGGCCAGTGTTTGGCCCCGTCCCACCCCACCTCTTTGGTGATCTGATCCAATCCAATGCTTCCCCTTTGGCTCATAATAATTCATTATTTTAGCCAATAGGGAAAGCATTGGATTGGCTAAAATAATTAATTATTATGAGCCAAAGAGGCAGATCGGGGCAAGGCCAGCGCTGGAAAAAAGGTTAGTTTAAACCCTTTCTAAGAAGGTGTAAGGGGGGACAAGACACCTAAATGGTGGTTTTAACACAATAGTGTCAGGAATACATGTTTGTGGTCCTGATCCTATAGTGTTCCTTTAACTTTTATTGATTTCATTTTAGTGAGCAGAATGCCTACCTGATACACATACAAGTCAATTTACTTGTAGTTGGATAAAATGTTGCCTCTGAGTGTGTGTCATCTCTTTCAGAGAATCAGTTCCCCTGGTCTATGTGCAACAATGACAAATGGTACTTCTTTGCTATTGACCAACGCAAAACCACAGCCATGCAGGGAAAAAAAAGATACATATTGCTATCGGTAAGACTTGCATGTAAGAAGAGATCTACAGTCAATTTTCTCAAACTTTCTTTAATAAAAATATTAAATATTAAATATCTCAAACTCTATTTTTAAGCAACAGAGGTCTGACAAATTACTCCCGTTTTACCTCCAAATCAAGTGTAGTTGACATGGAGAATAATACCATAACTGGTCAGGGGCCTTGAGAGTGGACCATACCTTTTCTTCTACATCCAGGGAAGTGGGGAAGAGTGTCATAGAATTAATAAATATAATGTGCGTTAGGGTGTCTAAGTTCTCTACCCTAATAACAGATAGACAAGAAGTCAACCCTTTGGTCCAATTAAATTCCCCACCTCCTCAACAAAATCCCTTACATATGACCAGGAGATGCCTTATTAACCCCTTAAGGACACATACATGTGTGACATGTCATGATTCCCTTTTATTCCAGATGTTTGGTCCTTAAGGGGTTAAAGGAGATTAAAAACATGCTTATATTATCGAAACTGTGTGAAAACATACCTTCTTTCAGTCCCAAATTATTGCTAACTGATTCATGTTCATTTATGCCAGCAACGACCACCTTGCCATTGTCATCATCCAGTTCCAGCAGATCAGAAATGCTCTTAGAACGTCCACTAAGGACTAACTTATTGCCTTCATCCAAATTAAAACTCTAAAATAACATGAGTGAGATTTTAACATTTTGTAAATTAATGCCAGCTTGGTCACTGGTATAAAAGTCAGTTTTAACACAAAAGGCTTTGGAAGGCAACAATCTGAAATATCCAAAGTCAAGGAAAGTGGTACACAGATTGGTTAGACAAGTTAAATCGAAGGTTAGTGTAAGACAAAGACAGGTCTATTGACAATAGCATAATAGAATAATTGATATGCCAAGCTGGGTCAGAAAAAGAATTATACAAAAAAAAAAAGAATTAGGATAATGAACACACTATAGGATAAGAAAAACACACAATAAAGTGATTCAGATTGGGCCAAGTTGTCTCTTACTGACAGCAGTTACTGCACAATTATCATTCTGCTTTGCCAAGTGAACTTGTTTGGATTGACCTTTGGCCATCACTGGGATTTGGATGCAAAGGGAGATATGATGTCAAGAAGCAGCATAGAGACAGCTTCCAATGTTGCGTACTGTGAGTACTCTATGGAAACTGAGACTTAAAGAGATACCCATTGTACAGCGCTTTGGAATTTGCTGGCTTTATATAAATAATAAAAAAATAAAAATAATATAGTGTTAGGAATAAAAATCAGTATTTCTAACACGATAGTGCCGTTTAGTCCCCCCACTCCTTTGCACCCCAGCTCCAGCAGCTAGAGGGTAAAAAAAGCATTAGTCATGTACCCGCTACCAGCACCGATGTCCCTCGGCGCTGGGTGGGCACTCTGACGTTATCCAACAGGGGGGGCTAATGCGTATGCACGGAGAGTGCCGTGAGCGCATTGGGCCCTCCCCATAAGAAAGCATTGCTTCAATGCTTTCCTATGATGATTTCAACGATGAAGGATGTTGTCATGCAGAGCCTCTAGAAGCAGTGTTAGTCCTGCAAGTTAATTATTGGAGTTTCTCAAAAACTACAATGATATACATCGCAGGACCAGGTGGGACAGGGAGACTGCACCTAGACCGCTTTGATTAGATGAAGTAGTCTGGGTGACTATAGTGTCCTTTTAACATTTCATATAAACTCTTTCAATTTAACACTTTGCACCAAAATCACTCTAGTAAATATGGCCATAGTGTTTCCACTGATTACGAACTCATACCCCAGAACGTTATTTGTTTGGAACACTTACCATGTTGACTGCAGGTTCAGAGTTTCATGCTATCAATGGATATTTCCATACATTCCTGCAAAAAAAAAAATCTCTTAATGGTAATGCATAGTGTATTTTGTCCATCAAAAATGGCTATAGTAAATCAGTTAACAGTTTGTTTTTAGTCCCTCAGGCAAGTAAAATGCTAATATATAAAGCAATTTAATATTTAGTGTAGATCATCTCTGATTTCAAGCATGTCTTTGGGTATAGATATTATTAAGTAACAATTCTATTTGTAAGAGAAGTCCCACCACAACCATGAGGTCTGGACTGATAATGTTTGAACCATATAATCAGCGGTGTTTACTGTTTTGGGGTTTGTTGTTTTATATATCAAGGTCAAACAAACTATGAGATGGCATGGATAGAATAAATCGAGCACACTGTCATGTTTAGCCGAATAGTTTTTCAGAATGCTGACTAACACATCTCCAAAGACTTTATAAGTTTCTTCTGCTTAGAATTTCCCAAGGAACATTCCAAGCACCATAACCACTACATATCTCTGTAGTGGCTATGGTCTTAGGAGTCCCCAGTCCCCTCTTTGTAAGTAGTCAAACCATTTCTGTATGGTTTGACTTTTTACCTGGAGCCAGGCAGGCACTACTCCCCTCCTCCATTACTAACGAGGGAGAGTTGGAAGTTCCTAAAGCAATGCAATGCAGGACTAAGCACATTGGCTGAGAGCATCAGCTGTGATCATATTGGACCTGATTCTCCAAATGATTATAAGCTACATTGGCCATCTGTCAATGACAGATCCACTATGAAGCCTGCATTGTTCGGATGTTTTCGCCATCCCCGAAGTGTCTATAAATTAAGTAGTGCAGTCAGTGCATTCCTTTATATGTTTACTCTACAGGAACATTTTTCAGAAACACCTCACCTTTAGGACATTTCTGCTTTTGGCTTAGCACTTACTGCAAACACAACCCAGATCAACCAGTATGGACAAAATATGTCGACTGTCTGCATTCCTATGGCTTCACACATTAGAATATGACTATTGAAGATAATCGATGCACCTTGTGGTAGCAAAACTTTCTCGTCTTTCATAAACAGGCAGCAGCAGCAAAACATTCCTTTCCCTTTTTATTAAGCCAATATCATAACATTTATGATTCAATGTTGGAGTCAAACAAGTGAAAGTCCAGCAGTTTCTTTCATAAACATGAATTGCTAATATTTATAAAACTTTAGATAGTTCAGAACAGGGTTAGAGAAATGTGTGAAACAGTACAGTATAGGAAGATAACCCCTGACGAAGGTGCTTCACAAGAGCACCGAAACGCGCATCACAAGAGCACCTCATCTTTTTCACTTATAGGGCACTCTGTCACCATGTGCAGGCAGCCAGCATTCTAAGCATGGCTCTGCACATTTAGCACACTGTTTTTTCACTATTCACTTTATCTCTCTCTTATGCTTTATACCTCCTAATATGTGGCATATTATATAACAGATCCATTTGTGGATATATTTTGTCTATTCAATAATTTTGGACTTAGTTTATATGTGGCAGTTATTATGATAGATACTACTCTTAATACATTTTATTTTTTGGATTATTTTATATCCAATATATAGTATCTATTTATACTCTTCTGCTTATTCAGTTACTTATGTCCCAATATGCTAGCAATTGAGTACATGGCAGTTAACATTATAGATACTTTTCTGATACAATTTACTGATTGACTTATTTTCAATAGATCCAACATATAGTATCTATTTATACTTTTCTGCTTACTCAGCCTCTAATGTTCCAATATGCAAGCAATTTAGTATTATATCTTATACAATGCCACAGCTTGAGACTTACTAGGTAAAAGCAAGTCCTTAATGTCTCTTATATATTCTTTGGATGTATTGATACTAGCCTGCAGTCACAGATATTGACCTATGAAGCATTATATATTAAAGTCTAAACCTGTGTACTGCAGTATCTACTTTTAGAGACATTAGGAAGGGAGTTTTTTGCCATTAGGCAGTTATTTTCTACTTTCACCTGACCCATTTTTCTATTATTGTATTTTCTCATTATATATATCTCTATATCTCACTTTGTATAGAATCATTATTATTCATTATTCCAGTGGATACTCAGGTACTAGTTATTTTGAGTATCTTATAGTTTTCAGTATAGGAATATAATATCTGTATCATTACAAAGTGGTACAGAAAGAAGGATACACGGTTGTGAGTGTGATCCAATCAGATATGGTTTTGATGGAAACATAAAATAATGGTGTGGAGAGAACCACTACTGGGCCCATATTGGGGAGGAGTAGGGACTCTTGGTTTATAGGCTTGGCTTCAGGTAGAAATTTAAAAATCCACAGAGTAGTGTTTTTAAAAGGTTTTCCGTATTGTTTGCTTTAAACTTGCATTTCTATCGCTAGCTATTCAATACCAGTAATCTTCCATACAACAGTATTTTTACTTATTATGCTATGGCATGCATCGTATAACCCTTACCGTTTACAGAACTTTAACAATAACACGGGAAAGACTAGAATTGGCTGTGCGTTCTCAGTCACATTATAGCACTTAATAAGGGGGTGAAATCCTGCCTGCTTTTTAGTGTTCATTTAACAGAAAAAAAAATATATACAAATGGTAGAATGCAGGCATAAACTGTAAAAAGTGTATCTACTTTGTATAGTACATACTATTTTCACTATGTAAGCACCGTGGGAGATATCTTTAAATGCAGGGTGAATTTAAAGTGATCCTGTGTTGCAAATATCCTTTATTCTATAAAAATATATATCTTTTCATTGTGTTAGCTAAATGTACATTGGTTGTGCACCTGTCAACTTTGAGGAGTGCCATAAAATGTTTCAGGTAAGTAGATTTTGTAACCTATGCATACGCTGCTGAATTCACAAGCACCATTTATATCTTTAATTTGTCTATCTGAAGCCGGCCTTTATACATTAATACTGCCACAGCAAATGAGAATCCTAGCTTGATGGTGTCTGGCCTTCCTCTCAAAGAAAGGATTCCCCCTAGACACTTGGGAAGGGGTAGCATGACTGTTGCCCACAGTAGTTGGGTTTGGCTTTTCGGGGGTCTTTAAGAAAGTTTGAAATTTTCTGACTTCTATTTGGATGGCAGGGTTTTTAGGGGAGTTTGTTGTGAGTCATTTTTGATTTGTGCTTTGTTTGTGTTTGTCTTCTTCCTTTTTGACAAGGTTTGCTGGGTCCTTCACCAGTGCAAAGTTGAAGAGCAGCACAGTTATCTGATCCAGATTGTAACACGCAGAATTACAGACTGTGTAATGTATTAAATAAGACAGAGACACTTCCATTTAACTTCAACACATTCTTCCAGTTAGATAAGGTGTGTTTGTGCTCTACATTCGAGCCTTTACATTTACAGCTTAGTCTACTGTGGTGTGAAACGTGTTTCCACTCATGCTATTGCCAAATGTCCTGATGCATTTATCATGTGATGTAGTATTGTTATTGGTGGTGTTTATGTATTATTAAATGTATTATTAATTATGTATAACTAATACACCCTAATCAGATTTATAATTAGACATTTTGATCCATGTGAGCTTACAGTAAAGTGGGAAATAATATGAAGCAGAACAAGGCAAACAGTAATGGTAACTTTATATTACGCAAAAATTGGTGCCAGTATGGAGATTGCGTAATGGTAGTGATAGAACTATAATAAACAAGTACTTGTTGTTGGTCCAAAGCTATGCTAATGAGGTATAATGGATTAAGATGCTATTTATATCACTCTCTCAAATGAGCATACTCCCAAATGACATACAAAGCAGATAAAGAAAGTATAAAAATAACAAGTAAGGTGTTTTTTTTACATTTAAGAGGAAGACTTACAATCACACCCAGCTCAAGTACAGACATTTAGCATGGGCGGGATGAGGTGGACAGATATTTCTATGGGGGGGCATGACATGGGTCAGATACCCACCCCCTGTCAGGCATCAATAAGTTACATTTCTCAGCCAGCACATACAACAAAATGTTCTTGGCCGGGAGACAGAGTAAGATGGGCTGACTGGGAGATCAGAGATCTCCCGAATCTGTTGAGCACTCTTTCTTTAATCTATGGTGTAAATTAAGTAGCCAGCACCGGTCAAAATTGTAGTCTCTCCATGCCGTACGAAAAGTTTTATTATTACTTTAATATGTGGCGTGAGATTCATGCGGTCTGAGGACTTACCTGCACTCCCTTGCAGGCTTTTCTGGCACAGATGCTGCACAAGGGATGGTGTGGCGTTACCCACATACAGGACAGCGCTGCCGCAGAACAGCCCTGCGAGGGAATGCACAAAACCATAACCACATCCTGCTCAGCTGTGCTATATGTTAACGCTGAGACAGGTGGCACTTAAAATGAGAGTGAAAGAGGGGAAGAGATATATGAATTGAAATGGCGGAAACATGAAGAGAAATGGGGAGAGACATAATTAGACATTTAGAGAATATAAGGAGAGATATGTGGAGAATAATTAGGAAAGAGATGGTGAGAGGAATAGGAAAGCTGTGAAGGGAAAGCTATGGGGAGAATTGAGGGAGTCCCATGTGAGAAATGGGAGATAAATATTTCGATGAGAGATGTAGAGATATACAAGTGGACAGATGTGGAGTGTAACAGACGAGATGTAGATGCAGAACAGTGGTGGGAGGACTAGTAGGCAAGGTTATTTACTAAACTAAACACTGGATTTTGTCATTCTGACCAGAATGGCTGTTGTTAACTTTACTAAAGCTAATTCTGGTCTGAATTTCGCCAACCAGATCTAATCTGCACTAGTCGGCCAGATGCATTCGACGTCCACTTAAACATCTCTGCTCTTTGTATTTGAACCATATACAAAGTATAGTACGTGGATTACTCACAAAGAACAAATGTGTGCAGCACAAAGCACGCTTGCAAATTGTTAATTAGCTTTTTGCATTTACAAACCCTCACGCTATTCACAAAGTGCCCTGCAATTAATCACTCACACTGATTGTATACACACAAGCAAAAAGCCTGCATGGTATACAAACAGACATACAAATACACACAGAGGTTTCTTCATGAAACAGAGGATTGAGGGATATTGATAACGGAATTGCAAATGGTGTGCCAAATTAGCAATGCTGGACAGATAACTGAGTTGGAGAATTTCTCCAGTTTAGCTATTTTGGCTTACATTTTGAAAATAAATTTTTCATTTTCACTGATTAGTGAACAATTTCCAGACCTCCCAATTATCCAGATTTTGGTGGGACCGTCCCAATTTTCAGGTTCTTTTCCGCCCAAGTTCCCTGTTGGTGTCTCAATTTTTCGAGGGCATCATTAGAGGTGCGCGCATTATGTTCAGGGCACTAGGACCATGCAGATTTCACTGAAACAGTGCTCCCTGCATCTGAACTCAGTGGGCTTCCCTATTGATTTGACAGGCAGCCTGGAGTGCATTTAAACCAGGCTGACCTGCCAGTTAATCCTGTCCCCTTTCTGGGCAGATCTGTCACTGGCCAATACATTTTACCCCTTCTCCCACCGGCATTCTGATTGGGAGGTATGAATTTAAATAGTGTTGCTACCTCCTCATGCGTGAGCTTGTGAGCTTGTGAGGGGAGGGAGTGGGGCATGGACCGGTGTGGGAAATTAAAATAAAAAAGAGTTGCAAATGAAAAGCGGGGAGGCGGAGAACCGTCGCGGGCTAAATAAATGAAGAGAAGGTGAGTACATTCAAGCTTCCTAGGGTGTAATTAGCCCCCTGCACGCAAGTGCTAATATCATTGTATGTGCAGCATTTTAAACTTTAATCTCTAAAAGTGAAAAATTCGACTGAAATCTGCCCTTTCCTCTAAATGAGAAAAAAAGAGGACAAATTCTTCACACATAAAGGACGTCAGCAAGGTGAAGTGTAATACAGATCTGGCATTTGAAATGTTGCCATAGAAATTGCACATATCAAATACCAATTCTGAAGATGTGCAATATTCATTAGAACACTGCAGTATTGACGTGCCATTAACTAAAGCGCCATTTATAGCCATGCAGCAGGAGTAAGGTTATATAACTTAATGAATCATTTGGCACAAATGAAACAAACCTTTTAAAAAAACGGTCCTGTACAACCAGGGTTATACTAACCAGTCAACATGATATGAAATTACAGAATGCAATATAACATACAAAAAAAATATTAATGGTGGGTTTACAGACTAAAAGCCCTGGCCACATTGGATAGACCTTGTCCATTTGAGGGCCAGTTGTTTACAGCCAAACAGGCCCTTACCTGAGAATCAGGGCTGTTCACTAAAGTGAGAATTAAAAGTGAATTCCAAGGGAATTGGAAATTTAAGGTCAAAATAGCCGAACTGTAAAAAATCTCCAAGTCAGCTATGCTTTCTGTTAAACTACTTTGACCTTAAATTTGAAATTCACCTTGAATTCTCACTTTAGTGAAAGAGTTGTGGTTTAATAGTTGAGGTTAGAAAGTGCACTGAGTCAAAGGAAGAGATCGAAAGGAATCAAAGTCAATAGAAGGAGAATTACTGGCAAGAGCAGGGTTTAAGGATGAATGTTTCCAATTTGTATTGTACACCCAGTTCTTAATCCTCATTAGTCACAATACCCAGCTACTCATAGTTACAGAATCCTGACCCAGGTGAGATTTTAATAAATAATTATATATCTAATTTATTTAATAAATATTATTGCACATTAAGGAATTAAAACATTGATGTCATACTTCAACGCCAGATACGTCCAGAAATGTACTTTAACCCATTTATTAGCAAGGAGCAATGCACAGTATAGCAATGTATTGATTATCCCAATGGCATTTGAATATTTAAACAGATCACCTTACTTGACAACATTCTTAACCCCTCCAATTCCAAGCCTTTTAACTCACCTGTCAATCTTTGCAATAACTAACCAGTTCTGCACATAACACTCCTCTCCCTGCTCATTATCTCTACATAGATCGCATATTTTACCAGTGAACATTATCTCTTCTTCTCCGAGACCAGCTTCCAATCAGCCATTGATATAAACCTCACTCTGAGAATTGCTCATCTACTTAGTCATCCCTGCTAGTTTGAAGTGTGTTACGTGTGTCTTTTCTACCGGTGTTTTTGATTTTTATAACTGGCTGGATGAATGATTAGGTCTCTTGTATGGCAAACTGTTGTAGCATTATTCTTTATTAACAGATTTATGATGACTATAATGGTTATTATACGTGTTATTAACACCTTGGTGACCTGAGGAGAAATCGGATCTTTAGAGCCATGGATGAATTGTTTACCTGTGTGGGGCTGAACTGGAAATCCATTTAAAGGTTTTTCTCCATCTTTTGGATCAACAGATATGGAGATGTTAGAACTTTTGAACTTGATGTACTTAAGTCTTTTTACCCATATTATTATGTGTCTACAATATATCCAGGTGTCAGGCAAGAATAATATATACAATAATGAGTTATGCACCCTAAGGCATGGACTCTCTTATGGTCCTTGTAGCCAACATTTTATTACCTCCTGAGCAGAAAATTATCATGGGCCAAGTGATGTCACAGCCACTGCCGACCTAGGCTACAGGAACTCCTTGTGTGTGCCGCTATACATGCCTCTCTTGTGTGTCTCTCCCACTCCCCATATGTTTCTTGCCATGTCCCTATTATCTTGTTGTGTGGCCGAGCCCCATGGCTGTCCCTTGCGCATCACTACTCAGCCTCCAATATCTTAATGTGTTTTCAGAAGGTGGGAACAGAGCATAATGCTTTCAGACTCTCACTGTGTCTCTCTCTGCCACACTCTCCAGATCAGGCAGTATGGGGCCCACTCAACACTATAACCACTACAGTGCATTGTAGTGATTATGGCATCAGGAGCGTCTTGGCATCTGCTCATCGGAAGTAGTCAAACCACTTTAGGATGGTTTGACTTCTTATCTGTGGTTAGCATGGCACAGCTCAGTAGAGCTTTAAGTGCATAGTTGTAGCTGTGGCGCTTTCAGTGCTTCTTTAAGGGTCTTTTATACTTATTCTATGTTTAAACATATTTCTTCTACTCCTTTTTTTCATATATTTTTCTAGATGTATATATGTTTAACTCACATATTGGGATTCATTTATGTTTTTAAATTTTTCATTTTCAGGACTTAGAGCACCATAGGTGTTAAATAAATTTATATTTTATACTATGGCCTGCACAGCCTGGCACATGGTGTAAGTAAAAAAATGGAACAGAAAAATAGGACACCGGCCAGGGTTAATTTTTAGGAGTTGTGCAACAAAGATGTACCAGATCTCCTTTAACCAGCTATTTGTTATTGATGTGTGTGACAAACTGCCCTGGAACCCTTTTATTTTCCCTAAGCCCAAGTTGTTTCCCCTTTGGTTCGGTACTTCTATCTACCGAACATAGACCACCCCCTAGCTCATTATCTTTAAGTTCTCTCTCTGGGTGGCTACCATTCGTCTAACCGAAGGACAGGTGCTCTGGAAAACAGAGGCAATCTTGTCTCCCGAACGTAGGCAGCGTTACTTGGTCGTCGAGTGTCTGGAACTCCAAGACAGGTACTGTAACTCGCGAAACCTCAGTAACGTTGTTCTGCCGCCTGCTTCTGTTATCATCAGCCAGGAGAGCGCTGTTTGGTGAAAAGGTTTGCATGAACAAGGCGAACAATCACTACCTACGAGCCAGGGAAAGCATTTGTTTATTTTTGTGTAGAAACTTCCAAATGCTGACCGAACATGACCACTTTTCTTATGGAACTAATTTGGGCAGACACCACGTGTGCGGTCAATCCAAACTTTACCCGGATGGCGATTTCCTTCCACCGAACGTAACCAAGCACTAGTCGGACAACTTGGGCCCTCGGATTCAGGCTTATGGGGGTTCCCATTAATATTATGTATGTTTTGAGGTGTTTTCTATTTTATGCATTGTACCTCTAGTGCCTGGGAGATAATTAGTTTAGGCAAAGCAAACTCACTTATCTCTTAGACACAGAGACTATATGGGTATGCGAACGACTGAGAGCAATAATTCACACAACCTTTGCGGGATTTCGGGAGATTGCGAACAAACGTACGACTTGAAGTACATGAGGTTCGTTACAACGTGGCCATAATTCTGTGTATTGGCGCATCATTTTAATTGTTACTTTAAATGATATGCACTGGTAAATGAATACATGGTCGGAGCTTGTTACACGGGAGATATGTGGGATGGGTACGCATGCTGTGCATTGCAACTACAACCATTCTCAGCCAGGCTCTACCCACATTCCTATTGTAGCCGATTCTCTTAGTATCGGGTAACACAGAAACACTCCGGATACAGGTCATTGGAAAAAACAGACAAACTATTTATTTGCAGCTGCAAAGTCCCAATGTCATACTAATGTCCACAATACACTGAGCCTCGAGTCATCAGTGAACAAAGCTTATATATTATAAATGACGTAATATATACGTACAGAGGAAATACAAGAGTTACACCCAAACTGCAGCAAATATTACCCAGTTAGCAAGCTATTACTTATCACTACATGTATTGGCTACTTGTAAGCATTCCACACATGCAGCCTGGTCCTTAATATTTATACAGCAATTTAAGCACACAAGTTCCAGATGTGTCTGAGGCATCCTGTAGCCTCTATCACACTATAATCATAACACGGTGCAGGTTATCCAAATAAACCCATGATCCAATTAAACCCATAACTCCTAACCCATGCAGTATAATACATTCAAATTAAGCTTCACACAATGCTGTATGTTAAAGCCTTTATATAATATGCGGTAAACACTCAAACAAAAGAAGTGTCAGTGAGTTGGAGCAGCCTAAACCAATGTAATTGTACAACATGTGCCAAGCTATGACTCACTAAATCTCTTTAGCATTCTAAAAATACAAGATGCTCCACCTAACCTAAAATTAAAACAGACCTATGTTCATGCACTCTAAGATTTCTGGCCAACCTGAGCTATCTGCATGAAGATTCTCTGTCACGTGCATCTTGATATTCACTTACCAACACACCCCACCCATCCGTCATATAAGAATAGAAATTAGGCTCATGCTTTATACAGGTGAGGTCTAAATATAAGCATAAGTCTAAAAAATGTTCTACTGGGGTCCTGAATCCATTAGTCCTGAATTCAATTTAGTATTTGTACTTTCCAATGAATTAATATATACCCTTCTACTCAGAAGAAATCTTGCAGGATTATTTGCTAAAGTGAGAGTTTAAACGGATTTTAAAATTAATTTAAAATTTCAGGCTATGGTAGCCGATTTTGAAAAGTTTTCCAGTATGGCTATTTTGACTGTAAAATTATAATTCTCTCTGGATTCTCAATTTAGTAAATAACCCGTCTAGGACACTGTTATGTAGCGTGCAAACAGGGCAAGCCTGTACTTTTTATAATATCATTAATTATTCTCAAGTTTGACTCTGAAAAGCTAATATTTCTATATAGATGTAGCGTCCTGTACAATGTACATGGAGGTTTAAACCCTTCCGGCTCGGACTAACTGCATTCACTGTGGAATAAATGTAAGTATACACAGTTTCAAAACTTCGAAGATGCCATTATCAACAATGACATGCAGCCATATTTATTACATATGAGATACCTCACTGATAGTTGTGCGTCGGAGAACTTGGCTCAAAGGAAAGTGTTTGGGGGAAAATGTATTAAAATCACTGTTAAAAATCTTAGTAGATACTATCTGTACTACCAGCCATTCTATTCTCTTTGGATTGCTTGCTGGTATATATTCTTGGATAACATATTTTTTGAGCCCTTTTAAAGTTATGCACAGTGCCGTACATACAATATCCAGGGGGCCCGGCCGCTCTGCGGACCCCTGCAACCGGGTGCCCACCACCATGTGTTGTGGCCCTGACCATGCGGTATAATTGCCTGGGCCGCACGTGAAGGGGCCCATCTGGTGGCCCGTGCTGTTAGGGCCACCCGATGGAAATTAATATCATCAAACTGGGCCCGGTAACAGCGCGACCCATGGATCAGTTTTGCACCGGGGCCCCATGGATTGTGTGTACGCCACTGGTTATGCAAGTACATAAATTCCAGATTGGGGGGTCTTCTATTCACATTAAACTATGAGACTGATAATTTGGGTCATGACAAATTGTATAACCCATCATTGTTTTAGAATTCTGTGTCAGTTATTTAATTGCTGGTATTTGCATCTAGTCTCTCCAAATCAAAACATATTGGAATGACAAGTACATTGTCTAAATAACCTTTTATAAGAAACAGAGGGTGATTTTACATTCCAAAAATTAAATAGAAATGATAAATTTCTTGAAAAGAGGTATCCCAACAATCTCACAAAAAATAAAATGAAACTAACTGCATATTTTACAGCAGCCGATGAAACAAATACATACCTACAAAAGAATATTTACTTTTTAAAAACCACACTATTATGCAGTGAATTTAATGACAAATGTTCCCACAGATCTACTGTTAACTAAGTGTGAACACTGCATTCACTGCATTTATACAAAGTATGTATAATACATCCATGTAAGGGTAACAACAACATGTGAGGTTTTAATGACTACCCCGCTCCCATTCTCAGGTACTCCAATTTCTATATTTTCATTTTTTTATCCTTCTAATTTTTTTCACATTTTTTGCTTGTTTTTTGTACTCTAGTATTGGTTTACTGTTAAATAGTTATTCAATTTGAGCATGTGTACTCCGATGCTTTGGTCATATGGTCACGTCACTTACAAGATAAAGTTGTTTTTTTAAAAGTCTAATCTGTGACTAAAGCAGAGTTGGAGATTTTTTTTTTCTTTTTCCAATTCGGCAATCTTTCCTTAGATTTCATAATTCTGTTTCAATGTACCACAAAGTTCTATCAGAAATATTGAAAGCAGGCTGTCGGTGCCAACAAGAGCCATGTTCCTAGTCAAAAATCTCCAAAGTGGTTTTACAAAATAATTTACAAAATAGAGCCCATAGACCTACAGTGACATAACCAATAAGATGAGCTATAAAAATGATGATGTTTCGTTTTTTTTCATTCTTTGCTTAAGGGACAAAAGAAACCAGTCAGTCTACATTTCAAGTCTACCTTACAGAACGAGATATTTGTTCAATCAATGTTTTGCATCGTTATAATGTCATAATAACAATATCCACTAACATGTTTTGTTAACAGCAAAATAAGAAGTAAAAAGAAAAAGGATGGGAGGGGGGGATTAGATATTACTTTACATTACTTTATTACTTTATTACTTTACTGAGAGGGTAGTGGATGCATGGAATAGCCTTCCAGCTGAAGTGGTAGAGGTTAACACAGTAAAGGAGTTTAAGCATGCATGAGATAGGCATAAGGCTATCCTAACTATAAGATAAGGCTAGGGACTAATGAAAGTATTTAGAAAATTGGGCAGACTAGATGGGCCGAATGGTTCTTATCTGCCGTCACATTCTATGTTTCTATGTTTCACCTCGATGCAATGAAACTTATACAAATGGGTTCATGGATACTTAAAAAATATAAAAAAAATTTATAGATTGATGGTTCAAACTCAACGCTTGTTGGAAAAGTGCCTCATCAGGAAAGGTTTGTATCTGTGATAAATGTTCACGAACATTTTCCCACTTTTAATTGTTTAATTTAATGGCTTAATTACTGATTTTATAGGAGGATTTAGTTAAGTGTTACTGATAGAAAAGTGGAACAAATGTTTTAGAAAGGGGACCAGTCATATTCCTGCAGATTCCACTGGTTTGCATAGTGATTGCTCCACTCTCAGAACCTTGCCGAACTTTTCTGTTAGCGACATATTTCTAATATACCCATTGGTTTACGATTTTAACTTTACCCTCCTAATCCTTATAGTGCATGTTTAAAACCAACTATGCCATCTGCTACTGAAGCTATTATACAGCAATGCCAGGATCATACTTTACTTATAGTAAATCTTATAAACTCTGTGGGTATCTCCCCAATACACAATATATGGATGCACCATGTGGAAGTATATTTACTTTGAATAAATGTCTATTACTTTTAATTGCCCCAGGGAGCCTTGTTTTACAATAACAATCCTTTCAGTAAGTTATGGCAAAACAGTTTTTCCCTAACTTAAAATCTCATGCTAATATGAATTGTAAACCATCCAAATAAGAGGAAATATTCCCTAGCTCTGCACTTGAAATAGCTTTTAAAGTGTCACACACCTGATTAAAAGCATAAGGAAAACTCAAAGCATGGTGTAGCTAATCCAGTAATTATACATCTAGAGATTAAAAATACACTGTCTGATGACGTTGAAATACTAAGACTTAGTATTTGTTTTTTAAATAGATTTCTTTTTAAATAATAGTAAATCAAATTATTTTGCAATCAATGTACTTTAACAATATGCATGTTTATAATAGCCATGTGTAATATTTATTGATTATTGGCATGGCTATTGATTATAGATATGTGATATATATGATACATTTATCACATATCTATAATCAATCAATCAATATATATATATATATATATATATATATATATAAAAGATAAGTATGTGTGTTTGTGTGTGTCTGTATCTGTATCTTTTCATATATAAGTAGGAAATGTTGCAAGAAAATATTAAAGCCTACAAATATAAGTGCTATAATAGAGTGAATGAAGTGAATATAGGATAGTATCAATTTTCTTACCCTTGGATGATACTCAAGGCGAAGTCCTCTGGTGTTCTGCCACTGAAGAAGTGAGTCCCTGTCACCTGCTTCAAATATTACTATACCTTGAACCATGAAAGAAGCCAAACAAGTATTGCAAACAGAAATATGCTGGGCGGTCACATTTTATGACTTCAAGGGATGGGCAGAATAAGAGAGAAGACAGGTCCTATTAAGTGTCATCATTAGAACATGCATCCAGAATGATGTGCACATTGAAGCTGCACAAGGTACATGGGAGGATTCCTCAGCAAGTGGACAACTCCCTCATTCAGAAATCTGAACAGAATGATCCATCACTGGTTATGGATAGTAGTATGTGAAATAGTATGAAGTTATGAAGGTTGCAACATTCACTGATGAGTTTTCAAACTGACCAGGTGACTAGTTAGTTGTATTAGCTTATTATATGATTGGAAGTAGAGCCAGACTGAACATGAGCTTAAACTTGATTCCCCGTAACCTGTGTAGTCAAGGATTGCCAATGCATGCATAGGTTGTTGGAGTATGTATTCCCGACCACTGGGTAACCCAAGAACTAGCAGTGTCCCACTAGTACCATAACAACTAATGCAGAACATGGCTCTCATGACACTCAGCAGGCAAAGGCCAATGGCCTGCATTACTGTGCTTGATGGACATTGAAATTAACAAAATATTGAGGTAATTGTTAAAGGAGCACTCTAAAGAACATGTATCTCTGCAGATTAATATTAACAGGTCCCCTGTAACCATTAAATACATAAATGTTAATTACCTTTCATCCCACACTGCTCCGGTCTTGCCATGACCGCTGCTCCTCTCCTGGTTGAGGACATCAGTAATGACGATGTCAACAAATTAAATGCTTTTCCAAAGAGAAGCATTGGGAGGGCCTACTGTGCATGCCTGGTGATTGTCATATTGCACTTATCACATGTCTTCATCGAGATACATTACGTCAATGAATCTCTGTGTTTGATGTCTTAATGCAGAGTGAGAGGAAAACAAATGTCGGTCCAGCAAAGATTACAGGACTGTAATAGCAAGCACATCTAATGGCAGCCACAAGATGCGTTCAGAGGGACAAATGTAAATGTGGCCTTTTCACAGAAAAAGCATGGTTTATACAGTGGAACCTCAGAACTCAAACTTAATCCGTTCCTAAAGGCTGTTCGAGTTCCGATGTGTTCGAGAACCAAATCAACATTTGCAAAAAGAATTAAAATTGATTAATCCTTTTCAGACCCCCCAAATTACAGCATTTTTAACATTTATATGTATGCATTAAAAATAATTCTCAAATGACCATACCGCCAGTGTACCATACTGCCAGTGTACCATACCGCAAGTGAATTAATTTGTCTGTCAGTATGGTGAAAATAATGTTTAATATGTTTTATATTACAAAATTAAGAGTCCTGACATAATGCATTAAGGAATGGATATTTTGTGCATGATTCTCTTTTAGAATTGCACCATAGTACACTTTTTTTTTTCAATTTGAAATTATGTTTTTTATTGATGTTTCACATTGGTTAGCTTTTGGCGCCTGCTCGCCAGGGTACAGAATAAAACGGGAAAATGCAGGGACATTTTGTTACAGCATGGGGGTTGTACAATACATTTATAGGTTCCCTCCGAGTTGGTCCCCCCTTCGCTTCCCACTTTTTCCCCGGTGATTTTCCCTCTTCCCTCTGTTGTATCCTGTGTTGCCCTCTCAGGGCTCGTTTCTTTTTCTTGTGTTGCTTCGGTTGCCCTGTTGTGCTGGTTGCTCTGTTATGTGGCCCTGCTCTAGTGGTGTTGTGCGTTGGTGCCGCGGGTTTTCTCTTGTTGGGCCTTCCCTCCCCCTTGCTCCCCCCTTCCTGGTGGTGTCGCTTCCTCTGGGTGGTGTTAGGGTGAGCTTATTGTTCTTGTATGTACTCCTGCCAACGCCTCCCTGCTGTAACCGTATGTTTCCGCGTTCCTAAGTGTTTGTTTGCCATCAGTTCATATTTCCAGTTTAGGGAGATTTGATCTAGGAGAGCCTCTTTTGTAGGCGCTGTTGGAGACTTCCATGCCCGCGCTATGAGTGTTACTGCTGCTATGAGCAGGTGAAATAAAAGCTTTTCCTCAGTTTTACTTAGTGTGGCTGGAATCATGAATAATATACTTTGTTCTATAGTTAGAGGCCATGGTCTATCTAATATGTCTTCCGCAATTTTTCCCACCTCCCCCCAGTATTGTCTAATTTTTGTGCAGGACCACCATATGTGGCTCATGGAGCCCCCCGTGTCCCCACACCTCCAGCATATATTGGGTGTGTTGGGGTATATTGTTGTTAATTTTTCTGGCACCATGTACCATCTGTATTGTAGTTTTCGTATGGTTTCTAATTGTGTGGTGCACCGTGTGTTTCCCTTGTGTATCTCGAAAGCCCACTTCCATGCATCTGTTTCCAGTGTTTTCCCCAGTTCCGTGTGCCATGCTTTTTGGAAACTCTTTTCGATCTCTGCCTGGTCCTCTAGTAGGGCTGTGTATAGTGTTGAGAGTGTTTTCTTTGGGGGCCTGTCTGTCAGGCAGAGATTTTCTACCTTATGTGTTAAAGGCTCATCTTGTTGTAGTGTGATTCCTGCGAGTAGGGATTTGATTTGTAGGTAAGAGAACAGTGCCTTGCTGGGCATGTTATATTGGGTTTGGAGTTCTGGGAAGGGTATCAGGCTGTTGTCTCTATATAAGTGGCTGATCGTGGTGCAGCCTGCTTCCTTCCACATTTTGACGTCAAGGGAGGGAATGCCCACCGCCAGGCATGAGATTGGGGCTTGTCCTTTTATGGCTCTGTGGTCTCTCTCCCCTGCCTTCTGCTCTTCCCAGTGTTTTAGGGTCAGGGCTGTGGTTGGTAGGGGTTGGAAAAGTTTAGGACGTAGGGATCCCGGGAGCCAGAAGAGGTCTCGTATCGTTTGTTTGTTTGCCCAGTGTGCTTCTATCTGGGCCCATTGTAACGGTTCCCCCTCCGCTGTAGCAGTTTTGATTACTGTTAATTGGGCTGCTCTATAATATGTCTTTATGCATGGTAGGCCTAGTCCCCCCCTCATGGTCGGTTGTTGTAAGATCCCTGAGGCTATCCTGGGCCTCTTGTTGGCCCATATAAAACGGTTAAACAGTCTCTGCATGGAGGATATGTACGTTTTTGGCAGTTGTATGGGGAGGGTGCGTAGTAGGTATTGGAGCTTAGGTAGCAGCATCATTTTGATCGCTGACAGTCGCCCCACCCAGGATAGGTACTTCCCCGTCCAGGATTCCAGTGTGGTGGCAATCTCTTTCATTAGCGCAATATAGTTTTTATCTAGGAGTTTGTTTAGATTCGGTGGGATTTTTATGCCCAGGAACGTCAAGTGGTCAGACCTCCAATCAAAGGGGAATGTGGCTTTGAGTCTCTCCAGTGTGTCCTCCCGGATCCCCACGCTTATGGCTTGTGTTTTATTTATGTTTAGCTTGTAGTATGAGTGTTTTCCGTATTCCATTATAGTGGCCATCAAGTTTGGTAGAGACATGTGTGGTTGGGTAAGGGTTAGCAGGATGTCATCGGCGAATAAGTTCGCCTTGTATTCTTTGTCCCCTATTGTCACTCCATGGATGGATGTGTTTTGACGTATGGCCGCCGCCAGCGGCTCCAATGCCATCACATATAGTAGTGGTGAGAGGGGGCACCCCTGGCGGGAGCCATTGGTTATGGTGAGGGGGTCCGAGACGAATCCCGCGTTTAAGACCTGTGCTGTGGGGGCGCTATATAGTGCCCTGACCGCCGAGAGGAAGCCCTCTGGTGCCTCGAATTTATGAAGGACTTGTTCCAGGAACTCCCAGCCCAACCGGTCAAAAGCCTTCTCCGCATCCAGCGACAACAGCACACACCCCACTTTCATGCGTTGGGCGCTGTGTATGATGTTCATGACTTTCCTAGTGTTATCGCCTCCTTGCCTGTTTTTGATGAACCCTACTTGATCTGTGTGTATAATGTGTGGTAATAATGAGCCAAGTCTTCGCGCGTAGATTTTCGCGTAAAGCTTGGCATCTGTGTTCAATAGGGATATGGGGTGGAAGTTTTGTGGGCATGTGGGTGGTTTCCCTGGCTTGGGGAGTGTGATAATATGTGCCAGTAGTGTCTCGGCGGGTAGTTTGTGGAGGCGGGTGGCTTAATTGAATGCGTTTGTTAGGTGCAGTGCTAGGATGGTATGAAATTTTTTGTAGTAGCCGTTGGCGAAGCCGTCCGGGCCTGGGGATTTGCCCGACTGCAGGCTGAGAATGGCTGTTGTTACCTCTTCTTGTGTTATTATAGCGTTGAGTGCTTGTTGGTGTTGAGTCGTAAAGGTGGGTAGCTGTATTGCGTCTAGATAAGTTTTTATGGCCTGTGTTTGTGGTTGAGATGTGTGTGTGTCGTCCGCCAGGTTGTATAGAGAAGTGTAATATTTAGCGAAATTGTTGCTTATGTCCCCAGGTGCTGTTACTTTGTGTCCTGCTTCCGTGGTGAGGTATGCTATCTTGTGTTTTATTTGTGTCACTTTGAGGCGTTGCGCTACTAGTTTGCTTGCCTTGTTTCCTTGTGAGTAGTTGGTCGCTTTAAGCTTGCACAGGTAGTGACCGGTCTGTTCTAGGGCTTGTTTGTGTATTTCTCGTGTTATTCCCATGATGCAGGTTTTTAGTTCTTGTGTTGGGGTAGATTGGTTTTGATTTGTGAGGTCCTGGAGTTCTTTTTGCCACTCTCGCATTTGTTTTTGAGCTTTTCTTTTTAGGAAGGCTGCTCTCTTTATTAGCGTCCCCCTTATCACTGATTTATGGGCCTGCCATAGTGTGTTGTGGGGGATGTGTTCTGTATTGTTTTCAATGAAGTAGTGTGTTAATTCTTTTTCTACCGTTTGTGTGAATTCTGGATCTGCGATAAGGGACTCGTTAAGCCTCCATGGGCTCCTGTGAGAGGATTCGTATAGGTCGGCTAGGGTCGCTACTACTGGGGCGTGATCTGACCAAGTGATCTGTTCTATGGAGCAGTCTTTAACCTGTTCTAAATGTTGGCCTTTTAACAGTATGCCGTCTATCCTAGAATAAGTATTGTGTGCCGTCGAGAAAAAGGTGTATTGTCTTTCCCCCACGTGCGTTGCCCTCCATACGTCATAGTAGTGGTTTTCGTGAAGTAGTTTGCATATTGCCTTGCTCTGTCTCCTGAGTGGTTTCATTCG